TTTAAGTTCGATTTTTGAAGTGAAGGAGATTTCAAAAGTAAGTCATTGGAATGTTGTAAAATTAAAAGAAAAGTTTTAAAATGTTCTCTCTTGTTAACATTAATTTGGATTAAAACATTTAATTAATCAAATTAATGAAAACATTAAAAAAGTAAATAAATTGATGGAAAACAAATGAAATTGTGAAAGTTACGTAAACTCAATACGTAATTATAAAATTCAGTCTTTTAAAGTGTTAAGAAACATTATCCGTTTAATTTGAAGGAATTCTTGAATATTCAAAGAAATAAAAGCAAAGGCGGAAAAAAAATTTGTAAAGTTTGATTTAATTATCCTTTCCAAAAAGAAAAGTCCTATCAAAATGTCTTTGAATCTAAATTATTAATTTGTCAACAGGAAATTTGTTGAAAATATTTTAATATTGATTAATATTAAATTAATTAAATTATTATTGATCACAAATTGAACTTATGTAGATGAAACTCATTCTTGGAAAATTTGAAGATGTTCGTTTTATCGCAATTATATTCACTACACGATTACCTTCAACCATGAAATTTTCCCTTATCTCAATACGTATTTAATTGGACAATTAAAAAAAAGTCTATCAATGTTATCACATGGTCTTAAAAACATATTAAATGGTGTAATTGACAGTAGTATTTGATGATTCACATATAATGAATTTATTGTTTTGATAATATTAAAGACGTGCAAATACAAAACAAGTCAAGCAACAAGTGATAAGATATTTATTACCTTTTAATACACAATCATTAAGATTACATTATTTTACAACTTGAGAGTATTTGAACTTCCTGTTTTATAGCCATGAAGAACTTGTTGCTGCTATCATTTGTCATTGGCTCGGTTTTATCGTCATCACCTCACAACAACCCAAACATCGTTGAGATTACACCTTTTGCGGTTGGAGATGGAAATTATCGATTAAACGACGATGTTCTTCCCGTGTCATATGAAATCACTTTGACACCATATTTTGAAGATGTAAGTGAAAATATTTCAATTTAACTAAATCAGTTTAATGAATGAGAATAATTCCAGCAATCAAATGGCAAGAAAGCTTTCACCTTTGATGGTGAAGTTAAGATTTCTATGAAGGCGACGAAAGATAATGTTGATAAGATCGTTCTTCATCACTATGACATGGATGTCGAAAGTTATTTCTTCACCAGAACTGGTGATCCTGAAACTATGGAATTATACGATCCATCAACTTATGATAATCAAACCGATAAATGGGAAATTATTCTTCCAGCTCCAATTTCGCCATCTGACGACATAATTCTTACTGTTAATTATGTTGGCAACATGCGAGATGATATGAATGGTTTTTATAGAAGTTATTACTATGAAAATAATGAAAAAGTTTGGCTCGGTTCAACTCAACTTCAACAAACAGAAGCTCGTCGAGCTTTTCCATGTTTCGATGTAAGAAAAATAAATTAACAAACTTTTCCTTTATTCTTAAAAAGCTTTTTAGGAGCCCGGCATTAAAGCTGAATTCAAATTAAGGATGAGACGACCACAAACTATGAATACAATTTCCAATATGAATAAAATTTCAGAAGTTGATGTGCTTGTTAATGGACTGACATGGAGAGAAGATGAGTTCGATTGGACACCACCAATGTCAACATATTTGCTTGCTTTCATTGTCTCCAAATACAAAGCGAAGCAAAACAGCGATGGAAGTTTTGGCGTGTGGGCAAGACCAGAAGCTGAAGAACAAGCATCTCTCGCTCTTGAATTCGGACAAAATATGCTTGAAATTTTTGGAAATTATCTCGGAATTAGTTACTATGAAACAAATAATGTTAAAAATGTCACGAAAATGGATATGGCGGCAGTTCCTGACTTTAGTGCTGGAGGTAAAATTTTTCTTCATGATTTCTATTCAATTTTTATAATAACAGTAAATTTATTTAATTTCAGCTATGGAAGTGAGTTTAAAGTAATTAAAGTTATGATTCAAAATTTTAAAAATATTCAATTTAGAATTGGGGACTTCTGACATATCGAGAGACGGGAGTTTTATATTACCCTGATGACACCCCAACATTAAGCGAACAAAGAGTAAGTTAAATAATATTTAAAAATGCTTTTGAAGTAATTCTTCATTTATTCATCAGATTGTTGCAGTCATTGCTCATGAACAAGCTCACATGTGGTTTGGCGATTTAGTGACGTGCAAATGGTGGAGTGAAACTTGGTTGAATGAAGGCTTTGCACGATATTTCCAATTCTTTGGCACTGCCATGATTTATGATGATTGGGAGTTGGAAGAACAATTTGTTGTTGAAAACTTACAGCAATCAATGCAACTTGATTCAACTGATGACACGCATCCAATGACGAATCCGAACGTCAATACAAAACCTGAAGCTTCGGGAATATTTGATAATATTTCTTATAACAAAGCTGCATGTATCATCAGAATGTTATCGCATTATATTGGAATGGAGAAGTTTGAAGAAATTTTAAATCATTATTTGGATACCAAGTGAGATTTGATTAAAGTTTAGTAATATTCAAACACTTTCATTAATGAACTTTTCTTTTAAGTCGGTACGAATCTGTAATTCCTTCGAATTTGTTCAATGCTATTGACGATGTGATGGGAGAAGAAACAGAAACGAGTAACTTCTGGGCACCTTGGACTAATACCAGCGGATTTCCACTTGTAACTGTCACAGAAGTTGATGGGACAACATTAAAGTTAACACAACATCGATTCATGAGATCGGGAATTGATGACAGCAAGAAGGAACTTTACAATATTCCCATAACTTATGCAATTGATTCAGAGAACTACGACGACACCGTTCCAAAAGTCATTTTCGGAATTGAAGACGGAGAAACGAAAGAAATTCAACTGCCGAAGGAACCAACAAAGTATTACATTCTCAATCCGAAGCAGACAAACTTTTACAGAATCAATTACGATGAAGAGAATTGGAAACAAATTCGAGAAGCTCTTTACATGAATAATCACGACAATATTCACGTCATGAATCGAGCACAGATTGTCGATGATTTATTCAACTTAGCAAGAGCTGGAATCGTTGATTACGAAACTGCAATGGACATCATTGGGTACATTAAGGGAGAGAAGCATTACATTCCCTGGTTGTCCGCTTTCAGTCATGGTTTGACTTTCTTATCTCAACGACTTTCCACTGATGAAGATCATGAAACGTTCGCGAATTTTATTCGAGACATGACGACCGATATTTACGATCATCTCGCCTTTGAACCCAAGACAAGTGACAGTCGAACTGACATTTACAATCGAGTCAACATCTTAACATGGACTTGCAAATATGGACACGAAGGATGCATCGAACTGGCGAAAGAACATTTCGCTAAATTCAAGAGTGATGGAACGAAACCACATAAAGATCTTCGCAGCGTAGTTTACTGTAGTGGCGTTCGTGAAGGAGATGAAAGTGACTTCGACTTCTTGTACGATCGGTTCATGAATGAAGACATTGCAGCTGAACAACTTAATTTGTTAGGTGGCATGGCTTGCACCAAAAACTCCGATTCGGTCAATGTAAGTTCACGTCTAGAAATTTAATTTACATTAAATCATTGTTGAAATGTTTCAGAAATATTTGGATCGTCTTATTAAGACTGATGACATTCGTGCACAAGACAGAACTACAGCAATCAACAACATGTTGAATTCCAACCCTGAAGGTCCACAATTCTTGTATGATTACATCACCACCAATTACGTTGACTGGCGAGAGAAGTAAAATATTTAATTAACTTTATTTAACATGGTTGATTAGATTCTGAATTTCTTTTATTTCATTGTTTCAGATTCAACGGATTGGCAACATTGACAACTGTTGCTGGAAGATTCACGAAAGTTGAACAATTCGACACTTACCAAACCTTCCTTGATGGAATTCAAACTGAACTCGACTCTTCCTTTGATTCATTACAGAAATCTTTGAATGACTTGAGAGCTAATTTAGATTGGGATGAAAAGTACATGAAAGACTTCCTTGAAGCGATCAGTTCAGCGCCAATGACAGTTTTCTCCATCATCGTATCAGTTTTATCGTTCACCGTCTTGCAGATATTCAACTGATTTGTTTTTTATGTTTTGAAAGAAATTTAATGAAATTAACTGCGATGATGATCGTTTATTACTTAATTTTATCCAATAAAAAATAATTAAATTATTTTAATCTGTTTTAATAAATGCTTAATTAAAATCATCATGACTCTTGTTGTTAAATTAAATGTTCTCAATAAATTATTTTTGAGCACGGAATGTTCTGTCAATGCCGATAAAATCGAAAATTTTGAAGACTGAAGAATTAAAATTCTTAGAAGAAATCGTAACAAATCATGTGCATAAGTTTATTAATATTAAGATTTAAATTAAAATATGACAGAAAAGGATTTTAAAAGTTCTCATTTCAATCATCACTTTTTAAACTTATAATTTGTTTTTTATATTCAAGATTAGAGTTTTGTTTAATGAATGTCTCAATGATATTTGTTGACATTAAACTTACCTTAACTTGACATATATGACGTCTTGTATTGTTGAACAAGAATGTGTGTTAATAAAACAAAGTCTGATTTCGTACTTTGTAGATTTACTCATCATGAATTTCTAGCTCATATTTACTAACAATAAAAGTACCAAATGAAAAAGGTTTTTCGTGGAAATTCAGCGAACGATAAAAATAAAGTTGGGAGGTTAACAAATGATAACCAAATCTAATCTTAGAACACAAGACTTATGTAAAGTTTGAATGAAAGACGAGAAACTTGTAATAAATTATTTTTCTTTTATTAGGATTTAGAGTGATGATGTTGCGCTTGTTAGACAACTTAAATTACGTTTTTGATAACGAGATGTATGATGGACATGTTCAAAAATAAAACATTATTGGGCCACATAAATTTGTGAGATGTTATCTCTGACATCTTGTCACAGTAAAGTTCTTAAAAAAGTATTAAAGCAAGAATTTTTTCAAGCAAATCATCAGTTTCAGTTCAAAGTTGTAGCGAATTGCGAAAATGAAGGTTTTTACTATTGCATTGTTCATTACAAGCTTTTTTGGTAATTTCATCTCCCAAAGTTGAATAAAATTTCGAACTCAAACTTTTAATTATTTTAATAGCTTTCAACAGCGTCAGTCAACTGTTGGATCCAAACTCTTTCTTCAGAGGATTCCTTGAAACTTCCAAAAACAACTTTGCATGTGGCTTCCCAGGTGTGAATGTTCCATCATTGGATCCATTCCAGCTTTCTTCATATTCAACATCTTTCGGTTCGGTTGGAGGAATTTCCAAGTAATTTCATTAATGTTTAATAAGTTTGAAGATTTTCTATTAAAACTTTCTTTTGAAAATAGCGTACAAATTACTGTTGATAATGCTGCTGTTACTGGATTGAGCAACTTCAATATTCTCGCTTTTGATTCAAATTTCCTCAGCTTGAGCATCACTTTCTTGTTCAACTTCCCTCAATTGAACATTAATGGAATGCACACCACATCTTACGATGATTCACCATTTGGCGGTGGAAACATTGAAAATGGAGCTGGGACACTTCTTGGATCTGCATCAAGTAAGCTTCAACTTTTCATTTTTACTTTGAAATTAGTTTTTGAACTTTTTAATTTCCCACAGACGTTCAAGTTGGTGTGACTCTCGGATTCAGTTTGTTCCCCTTCGGATTGTCATCTCAAAATGTGAATAGTGTTTCAGTAGGAAGCACAAGTTTCACAGCTGATGGATTTTCAACTGCAGCTAAGAACACTCAATTCAACAACGCTCTTAGCAATGGCATTCCAAACTGGGTCGCCAACAATTTGCCTTCAATTAATTCCCAATTACAAGCTGCCTTTGTTGACTATGCCAATGAACGTTTGAGCGGATTCTTCAGCGTGGACAGTATCATCAATACAATGACCAGCTATGTCCCACCAGCTTGCAACTAAATTGTGCTGAGACTCTTACCATTTATTCCAACAAAAACTACCTCATCCCATAAAAAATTAAATGTAATAAACTTTTCAATTGAAAAAGAAAATTATTAAAGAGAATGAAACATCTGTAGCACAAAAAATATCTTTGAGTTTAATTATTCTTTCTTCTTGAATTGAAATTTCGCAATGATGAATAAAATGTTGCAAACTGACAAAGTTGTTTGTGATTAATGCATAAAAAATGTTATGACCATCGTCTGATTTAAGTAGAAATAATTCATCAACATCGAATGTTAACATTGACAATATGTATAAAATATATTTAAAGTCGAATTGAAGATGGAAAGTCTGTTAAGAAATTTTCATCTCCAAACCAAAATTTTAAGCTTATTTAAGTTAAAAACGTTTGACTCTCTCTAGATATTTTTTATTTGTAAATTTATTTAAAAATTTAAGGGAATGCATCACATGTGGTGCTTTAGGGAAAAAGAAAAGCTTTAAAGAGTTCATAAGAAAAATCAGTTCAATGAAAATTTTATCGTCCCTGAAAAATCAGTTTGACGAATAAATTGAGAATAAATTCTTCAAAGTTTGAATGTAAATTTGTTTTTCACTAAAAGTTAAAAGTTATTTGGCTTAAGTAAACAAAAACCGAGACAAAAACCATGTCAGAAACATTTCTAAACGATTGTTCCTTGCAAACAACCCTAAATAACAAAAAAAGCGTCAAATATTCTCATTGCCATTGAGGTCATCTAAAAATCATCTAGATAATTAAAATTAAATTAAATGTTTATTCGAGGTTATTTTAGTTCTTCCACGAATAGGAATGTTATCATGTCATGATTTGTTGACTGTTTGTTCCCGCCAACATCTCTTAAAAATGATTATCATCATCACTCATCAGACAGTGTTTTATATGATTAGTTTATCTTAGAACAACCACTTAAAGACCATAACATAATTCACTTAGTTTAGTAGAGAAGAAGCTTCTCAGTTTGGAGGTTGAAATGAAGATTGCGTTTTTCATAGTTTTCCTCGCAAGTTTCTTTGGTAAAAGAAATTTAAAATTAACTCACTTCAAACGTTTCTAAATTCATAAATTTTGTCTTTAACTAGCGTGCAATGAATTGGCGAAAGTCTTAGACTTTAATACTTTTCTGCGAGGCTTTGCGGAATCCACGAGAAAGAATTTCAAATGTGGTTTTCCTGGCACAAACATCCCAGTGTTGGATCCACTCCATGTGGCACATTATTCGGTTGCATTTGATGAAATTGGAGACCTCGAAGAGTAATAATTTTGTTATTGTTAGTAACGATTCTATTTAAATTAATCTTTAAATATTTAGTTTCCATTCAGATCTTAGTTATGTGACTGTGAACGATTTAAGCAAGTTCACGATTACAGACTTCAAAGCAAATTTGCTTGGATTGACGTTGACATTTGGTCTGACATTTCCAACTTTAAGCATTTATGGGATCCACGACTCGTCTGTAAGAAGAAACAAGAACAAATTTGATGATGGTCACGGATTTTTCTCAATTACAGTTGAAGGTAAATTTTATTAAATAAATTTTATTCCAATTCTTCATCAATTCATCTGTTTAAAATATTAGACGCACATGTAGAAGTCGCGATATCTTTTGGATTATTCCCGTTTACAATCAAAAGTAATGCGATCACAGATGCAAGCATTGGTCATATTGACTCAAACTTTTATGGTTTCAAAAACAAAGCGAAGAATAGAAAAGTTGGTGAAGGTATAAATGAAGGAGCATCAGAATGGCTCACACACAATCTCAACCAAATCAACAGCGATATCACAAATGCAATTACTGGCTTTACAAATGATCGTCTTGAATCTTTGCTAAGCATTGATAATGTTCTTGATGCAATTAAAAATTACAATCCCGCAAACTGCGTCTAACTTTTTCTTGAATGAAATTTACAAACATACAAATAAAGAAGTTTCTGAACTTGAAAAAGATTCAACACCTCATATCACCTGTTTAAATATTTTCCCCTTGATAAAGTCTATTTTTACTCACAACATTATGTTTGCCAACTTTTGACAGACTTATGCAATCTGAAAATCTTTTTTATCTCAGGCGATATCAAAATAATGATAAAAATGTACAAATAAAAATGTTTGTTTTGACTTTAAATATGATTCATTAATCATATTTTTAATGTTTATTTTTGCTTTAATGCTGCAATAAATTACTTAACCCTTGGTTCTTCAAAACTTAATCACTACTTTTAACTATACAATTATTTATGCATTCAATACATGAATCAAGTGTACAAAAATACTTGTTCGTTAACATTTTGTTGTAAAGATTTTCTTTTGTTTCCTCATTGAAGTTATGTTTTATTTCATTAGAATTTTTTGAAATTAATATTTGAACGAAACATTTTTTCATTCAGTTTGAAAGAGTAATGCGTAATTAATTTACTTACATTTTGGTTTCAGTAAGTTTCTTTTAAGGCACTATTATACCAAAGAGATAAAGTATTCAGAATTGAATGCTTGTATTAACTGAAATCGAGGAAATTGTTTGGAAATGGAGTTTTTCTTTCTTCAACATTAAACATGCTTAGAGAAATATTTTGATTCAGATTTAATTTTAAATGGCGAAAGGAAACATGACACTTAACATTTTTCAAAACTTTGGACAACATAAATTCAGAATCTCTTAAATTTTGAGAGGCAATGACAAAATCAAGATTCAACTGATACATATAAAAATTTTAATTACAATGCCTTGCGAAATATGCTAACAAAAATTTCCAAAACAGTTTGAGAATCACTGAATTTATGGATGGTCGTGTTGAAATACCTAAAACTTATTCAGCAATATTTAAACCTACAATTGTTTGAAAGATTTTCAGTATTTAACTTGTTCTTTTCTTAATAGAAATAGCCTTTAATCTTATAATTACAATTGGTTATGGTTACGATTTTTGTTCAAAATTTTGTGCTAAAATTTTCCTTTCCTTAACTTTTTTTTTGTAACTAAACTTTGAGAACCTTTGATAAAAAATTTCCATGAAAATAATTTCGATTTGATGATTTTTCGAAATATCAAAATGATTTTGTTTGATCTTAGGCAATTGATAAATTAATCATAATTACAACCAGAAATATCGTTTACAATTCATTCAATACGCATATTTAAGTTTTGTTCATTCAACTTGCTTTGATGATCTGGTACAATATATTAACTTGAGATAAGCATAAATAATTCTAAGAATTATGGATATGTGAGGTTCAACGATAAAGCAATTAAATAAGACTTTCACACAAAACAAAATACTTTACTTTTATAGTTTTGGCTCCCATTTTTCTATTCTCATTCGTAAATCTATTTAACGAGAATTGAGACAATAACTTTGACATCAAGATTCATTAAATTCAATTCTAACTTCAATCGACTCCTATTATCTAACATGGTATAAAAAATACTATTATAGATATCACTTTTCATTCTTAATCAAGTAAACATTATCGTTCCGAAAATTTTCTTTGTCTATGACTGAGAAGTTTTCACATGAAAAAAAAAAACTAATTAAAATAACTTCTTCGAAATGATTCAAGATACCAATCTGAGTAACTCGAGAAGTTTGCCAATCGAAATCTCACTTTGAATGAACGTTCTTCTTAGGCTAGTTTCATGTTTTACAGTCGTAACAACAAGTGAAATAGAAATGGTAATCATCATCGTAAAGTTTTGGACAAAATGTCTTTTTTTTTCATTTGTTATGTGAACATTTTTAAAAAATGCCAACCATATGTCAGGCTTTTAAAACATGTAAGAGTGTTACATGTTTCGGTTCGTTTTACTATACAGCACATCCTTTTCGAGTGCCATAAAGGACTTGTAGTTCTGGGTAAATTATTTTCTTTATTAATTGATTAGTTTTAGCGGCAAGCATCGCGCGTTTGGGATCTTTTTTAAGAACTTTTATTCCTGGTTTATGCACCAAGAAAGCATTATCGAGAATTTGAAATTCATAATCAAGAACACAAAGTGAATATCCTTGCGTCATCTTATCGCTCTTCCCCTCCCAACTTAGTCGCTCGTCGTAGTGTGGATCCATATGCGTTCCAATGTAAATTGGTTCCCAATGAACAAAATAACCTGTTCGTTTCCCAATGTAAAAGATTCCGAGATCTGCAAGAAAATTGAGGTTTATTAATGTGAGAGATCTACAAAGTATCTACTTAAGTAGAACTCCGTGAAACTTACCATCAGTTTCATTTGCTGCCATCCACTCTTTTGACTTAGGAACACCATGACAACTTGCACAAACTCTCTTATGAAATGGAATCGCTTTATTGTTTCGAAGTAATTCCTGAAGTTCGGTTTTATCACGTGGCACAGCCACTGAACTGTCGACTTCAAATATCGAAAGAGGGAAAACTCTGTAAAAATATCATTCATTAAAATCAAATGAAAGTTTATATTATTTTAATAGAAACCTTGGGTTTTTTCTTCTTAAAGGCGCATCATTTCTTGCAATCATTTCCAAAAATTTCCTTACTAATCCTGGGTTGGGATATAATTCAATATCACTAGGTAGAATAAAGTGAGTCATTGCAGCATCACGTGCGATATTTCTTCCAACATTTACAGGATACAATAACTTCTTCTGAGTCTTATAGAGAATTGTGGATGAAGAGTTGTAGAATGGAGGATTTAAGGAACAATTGAATGATGGTATGAGAACTTTATCTTGCCTAGGAACCTTAAAGGGAACAGAAATGTTAAAACATTCCACTCAAAACTGGATAGATAAGAATAACTTACTATTTTAGGTACATGTTTAGTGCTGAAATAAATGTGAAACGTCACAAATTGCCGCACTGTGCTACTTTCAGGAAGGCAATCCCTAAGATATTTAATGGCATTGACGGTTGGTAAAAAGTCAGTTCCTGGCGCATGCAAAGCTATGCTTATTGGTGCATTCCATCTGGAATTTAAATAACTTTAAATTAACAAATTCAAAAGCCAGTTTTTAACTTAATTACCTTTCCAGAAGTGGAACTAAATTATCTAAAAATGTGTAATCAGCATGTGTTGTGTATGTAATTGTTTCATAACATTTCAGTTCGCCATGTTCAGCTCGAATATAGTTTTTAAGCACCCAAAAGTCACCTCGTTGTTCTGTGTATGGCTTATAATCTTTGTTATGGCAATTTAAAAGTAATCTGTTGAGAAATATTATTTTATGTTTAGAAAATGCTTCCATTATAACATTGTCAAGGGATTTAAGTCGAGCTTTCAAATTGTTACTGAATATTTAGAACTTTTTGAATCAACCGTCAATTAATTTAAATCACTCGTGAAACATTGATAACGAAAATTTAATTCTATCTAGTGTGAGAAAGTTTTTAGATCATGACAAATTGAATTCAATTTACTTTAATCTCGTATCTAAATCATTCGATTGGGTTGTGAATAGTTCGCTGTTATTTGCATTATTGCTAGGAACGACGCCATCTGAATAGATAACTTCATTAGCATTCTTTGATTGAACTGCTTGGTCTGTTGGTATTTCAAAGCGATTATCCTCTTCGTTGGGCTGTTCAGGTGGAATTTTCCCTATCCACGATTCCTTGATCTCATTAGTTTCTCCCTGCTAATGAAAGCAAACATAAATACATAAATCAATAAAATAGTCGTGTTGGATCATTATGTGGAAGTCATTTTTATTCAACCATAATTAGTCACACGACAAATAAAATTATTTTGAGCACATTTATGGAAAAATAGAAAAATCAATGAACGCTCATGGTTGCTTCAAAGTACTTTTATAAGCATTGGAGGTTGTAACACAAAAGCAGCCGCTACAAAAGTAAATTATCAATCGAAAAACATTGATTGTGTTCGGAAAGTCGTCATCAGAAAGTGACTTAGTCATTGATAAATAAATGATAATGAAAAACTATTTTAATGTGTGTCTAATGCTATTTTAAGTTCTTTCTGAATTATCATCAATTATTAAAGTGAAATCAGACGTCAGTCGTTACTTGTCAGTTGTTGAAAGTTTTCTTTTATTCTTGAAAAATTTATAACTCAATGGACATTGTCCAAGTCAGCATTACCGTGCGCACGTAATTGAGTTCAATGTCAATGATGAAAAAAGCTAACAAACTAACAATAGAGAAAAGAAAAAGAATTCATCGGGTAAATAATAATTATTTATAGTTCATAAACAAGACGTTTATCTCTATCTGTCTTTAACTGACATTTCTTATAGTTAATGAAGATTTTCCAGTGCATAAAATATCTTTATCAGCACAAAATTAATTAACATTAACTCAGTTAACAAATATTCGTGAAGAGATAAGATCGATGAAAATACTTTTCAACTGGCAATTAAATTCTTCACCACTCCTTCTTCCATTTTCACTTCTCAGCCTAATACCAATAAATATTGTGAAATGTTGAAAGGATGAATTTACAAAAGAAATGAAACATGAAGGAAATTTTCTCACCTTAGAAATAAATAAATTTGAAGCTTTTTCATCTTCAACACAGCAAAAAGAGAATCAACAAACTTTCCGCTCAATCAAACACTCAAATTCAAATGAATATTGAATGATGAATGTTAAATGAACCTTAACTTGACGGTTTTAATTTGAATCTTGCACCACCAATATTTAAATTTATATTTAAGCTTTTAACTATGAATGAAATCATTTTACGATTGTTGGAATGATAAAAGTTAATTTGTTGCTGATGGTATGAAGATACATGTTGGTATATCTGAATACATAAGAATAGCTTTTAATGTGATATAATAAGACTGTAAGAAATTTAATTTTCTCTTCGATTAACCATAATTTGCATTATATGTAAACGCAAAGGGAGTGACGTTGGATGATGATAAACAATCTTTTCAAGGCGATTTTGTTCAATGATGGGGATAATTTATCGCGTAAATTCTAAATATTCACCCTGTAGGATGGTCTCGAACGATGAAATTAAGTAATTTGCATGTCCTTGTCACACGATTCATTTTATCGCAACATGACGTCTTGTGAATCGAATGAATGCCTTGACTAAGACAAAAAGAAAATAATTATTTACGACAAGAATTTTATTTCCAATTTATTAAGCAAAGTTAATCTGAATATGCGATGTCGAAGAGTTGAAGTTGGGAATAAAAAGTTGAGGTAGAAACTTAAAACTGTTGCATGGAAAGTTGGCTAAGAAATATTTAAATTAAATTATTATTTATCATTCTAGTCCGATGTTCGTACTCAAACGTAATCAAGTCAATGAACCACGTTGAATGTTGTGCAAGGCACGGAAATATGAAACAGCAGAGTAAAAAGAGAGATTTCAAACTGTTTGGCTACTCCAATTTCAGCAGACGATTGCCGATACGATATTTTTTATTTTATTCGCTCTGCACATTCCATGATTGCTAATTAGCTTCAATTCTCGGATGGTTTCTATGATGTTATTTATTGGAAATTGCATTCCGTATTTAGTTACTTAGTTCACATTTCAGTGGAAAATCGAGATTGACATTGGAATGAAATTGTTAATTTTACTGCCCACCACAATTCAATGCGTGATACTTAACGATGTGATGATAACTTTACATGCATTTATCGTATTTCACCATGGCGTTGTAGAGAGATTTTAACAAGACGATAAAGAGTCGTGTGACTGTGTGTCATTAATTGATAGTTTGAAAGCTTGTTGTTAACTCACCGAAACGCCTTCTCTTGTTTTCATCTGTTTTAGCAGTTCCATTTCTTTGTTCCGCAAGATTGCTGCTAACTCTTGTTCGTCTTGTAAAACTTGTGCAGGTGACAATGATGACTTTTGCTGTTGAGGTTGAGGTTGCGATTGTTGTTGTGAAGTTGGTGCTAACTGTTGTATGAGAAATGAGCTGCTTCCTGTGCCGCTCATTCCAAAGTTATTTGTGTTATTGCCGACCATCACATGACTGCAAATGTACAGTAAAACGGCAACGTTGACTAAGATGCTACATTTTAGTAGCCAATTACGACGGGCAATCATTTTTTCCCTCTCAATTTTGAAACTTTTTTAACTTAATTTTTTAAATATTTGTTATAAATACTTTTACGACTCAGTGCTTCTTCTTCTTGAGGTCAAGACAACAATTGTTGATCATTCAATTATTATTTTTTGTTTCGAATCTTTTTTTCTTGTCACTGAACTCGCTTTTGTTTGCTTGGCATTAAACATTTGAGTATATTTGGTAAAATTGATTTGATTGCTGACTCGAAATCATCATCATTGACGACAACTTTTAATTTGCCGCTTGCATCTTCCGATATTTTTCTTTCTTCTTATCTTTCATGAATCAACATCATTGTGATTCCTTTCAACTGCCTGATAGATGTTGTTGAAAATGTTTGTCTGAAAATATGTTCAAGAAAACGAAAAAGATAAATAAAAATTGAGTTAAGAAAGTTGAGAAAAGTTTGTGATTTTGATTTAAAAGAATTTCCGGAATATTCAAGAACTGAAAGATTTTTATTTTCTTTTTATTCCTCTTGTCAGTTCATCGTAAGAAGTTTCAAACAAAAATCTGAAGATGAAGAGAAATATTTATTTTAAAGTCTTTCCTTCACATGATTAAGTGCCAATTTCTTCGAAGATTTCATTTCAGACAATGAATCTTAACAGTTAATTGATTCGACAAAGGCAATCAACGAAAAATCCCCTCGAATACCTTCCAAATCATGTGTATACGAGCTCAATTTTAACCGCTAACAACTCGATGAACAGCAAAAACTGGATGTCGTTGAAATAAAATCAATAACAACAACAAAAGAATCGAAATTAATTTCGCTAAGGAAGTAAAATTTCACAACATTCTAACTGTCTTTATATCATTTTGATTGAATTCAATGATATATCTGCATGATTTGATATCTGAAATAATTTGCTACTAAACGTTTATCGAAGTGAAATGTAAAAAAGGTTCACAAAATTATAATACTATGCATGATTAGATTTTATTTTTCCAACAACTTTTTTTAACAAGAATCATGACATTTTGTGGATCGAAATAGCTGACGAAGCAAAGAAGTCCCAATGGAATAAAGCAACAAGTCAATGAACTAATGCTTTTTAAATAGGCTTTAGGAAGAAATAATATAAAAAAGTTATTGCTAAGAACATGGGGAAGTCCCAAAACGTGGTAGATTCATGAACGCTTTTTATCAAACTAAACGAACGTTTTCGGCTATTGTAACGCTGGAGAGTTTACATTCTAGACTTGCCATATATTTATACGGAGAATATTCAATAGTCAAGCTCAAGCAACACAGAAATAATAAAAAGAACGAATGTAACAAAGCTGAGAATATTTTTTGGCACATCATCATTCATTGTTCTTTCAGCCGCAGTTTTCGGTTCCACAATCAGCCACGAAATTCATTTACTTTCAAATCTTGAAAAGATAAACTCGACTCTCGTTAATTCCACTTATGTTGATTTATTAATGCTTTTAAAAGCCATCACATAGTTTGCCAATGACAAAGAGATTTTTTTTGGCGATCGAATGTAGAAGGTAAAGACGAAGGCAGAGATAAATTGAAGTTTGCTATGTATAAGCAATTGAAAGCTATGTTTATCCATTCTTGAAGTAAACACATCATCAGATTGAAACGAATCTACTGAAAAGCAGTTGCGAAAACTGGCGAAAACTAATTTTGGAGAGAGGAATTTAAAAATAGTTTTAATTTCGAAAATCTTAACGGGTTCTTTCCCTCCCATCATGTCATGGACATGATAACTTAAAAAATACCGAAATATCCACTTGAGAATTCGATTTGCTGGACTTTCTTCTTGTAAAACAAGCGTAAATAAGAAACTGCTTACTCTCGTCTTGGTTTGACTTCTTTTAATCAGAGATTTCATGTGTTCTTAAACGAGGTAAATTAGCGAACTAATTCAGTGTAAAATGTGAAGAACAAAGAGTGAGAAACGAAAAAAAAGATGAAATTAATCTGATCGACGTGTTTTTTTCGCCATTCGGTCTTTGGTCTTCAAATGTTATGGGAGAATGATTCGGCTAAGGTCTTTCACATCTACACACCAGTTTAAGCTTCAGATTTCTTTTATTCCATCATTCTAACTAGAACTTTATACAGAACATACTTAACAAGTACTTAACAATGAATTAAGCAAATTCACAAGAGTTATTAAATTCTATTCCCATCTTCATTTGTGTATCGTACGCTTGCAAATAACAACACAATTTGTAATTCCTTCTAAATGAGGCGAAAAACTCATAAACAAAGTTTGTTGAAAACTTGAATGAATGAACATTATAAATAAATACGTAATGAGAAAGATGGGAAAATTGTAATATTTGCTTACATCATAATAATATCTTCAAAGTAGTAGAAGATAATCAGAAATGACCATGAGTCACAGTTAGGATTCTTTCTCGCTAACTTTTATTACTTTATTTAAGGTCATCATCGGTGGTTAAGAATGAATCAAACGAGAAGTTAAAACTATTTACGGGGTCAACCGCCTGTTGCGACACGACGATAAAAATCTATTCTGTTTCACTTATCTATTGTTGTAAATATTTTATTGAATTTTCAACATAAAACTGACGTCATTCATGTACAGCCTCTTCTATGTTTATGACGTTGGGCGTGATTAATTGAGAAATCAGTTGCATGTCTCGCTATGTAAGTATTTGAAGCTTGAGATTGTTAAAACAGAGACGACTATAAAGCAATCTAATACCGGTAGATAATAAAATAATTTTAACAATGCAAAATATCTCAAAGACAGACAAAGAGGAAGATGATGATTGCTTTAAGCTATCAAGTAGCGGAATGAAATTTGTATCGGCTATTTGTAGCATGCCACATTAACAGAAGATTTTTTCTTCAATGATAAAGGAAATGTGTCAAGTACAAAGCACATGACAAGTGAACGTTATTATTATGAAGTAAATTGACAGAAAGTTTTAATAAAAAACACAAATTTATTGACAAGAGAAGCGCAATTTTTTAACTTTCATTATTGTTTGACATACCAAACGTGCTTGTCAGTTTCATAATTCCCTCTAGTTTTTTTCTTTGCATGGTTATCTACTACACATTTTGAAAAACCGCAAATGATGTAATATATTTAAAATGAAATTGGAATTTCTCCTCCGCCTTTTAACTGGAAATTTTCTTTTGCATTTAAGCTTGCATTTGTAAATATTTACATAACGGAACTAAGACACACATTTCAACTTTGTTGAAGTACATCAGATGATTAGCAAATGGCAATCCTTTGTTGGTCGATACGAAGCGATGCGATTCGATCTTGCTATTGATGCACAAACATTGTAAACTGCAATTACGAACTTCTATCGGAACTTGTGAGAACCTTGTCGTATTAAATTAACCTTTTATTGCTTTTCAATGACTTTGGTGAAGCGATCTGTGGCTTTCTGTTCTGTACAATTCAATTAACATTTCCATGTGAGAACATAATTTATTGTAATCGGGATTTTTATTGGTTTTCCATTGTGTTACTTATTCTCATACTTAAAAGCGGTCTTTGTGGTTGAATATAAAGAAAATCTAATTGACAGAGCGATCGAGACGAGTCTCCAAATGTATTACGGACAGTAAAAGATTTTAAATTACATCTTTACAGTCTAAAGCTTATTCCGTTTTGTCGCTTTATCATTTGAAGTTAAAAGGGTGAAGTGATTAACACATTTCATGTGCATAAGATGACAAACTTAATTAGCAAAGATTTGTTGGAATTTTAAGCTTCCTCATATCAACTTTAAGAATTTAAAAGACGTTTTCAACAAAGCACATATGCTGAGAAAATTTAATTAAACTTGTGAACAAGACAACTCAAAAAATTCTTAAAAGTTATCACAACAAAAAACTGCAATTGCAATTGTAAAATAAATATTTCGCTTTCTGCCGCATCATATTGCTATGCATTAAACTCTTGACGATATAAATCTTCAGAAACTTTCATTAAAGCAAACAATAAAAGAGATTTAAAGTCTGAAGGAGAAAAACTAAATGAAACTTCTTCAATATAAAATAATCGGCCTCGACAAACAAAGACTCATTTAAAATTCAAATCTCTTTTCTAAGTGCACTTCTGTGCACATCAGACTTGCTTACTTGATGACGGATTGCAATTTGCAATGTCTGGCAATAGCTTTTTATATTATGAATGTGAAGGTAAAGTTTTCTCTTTCCCTAACGACTGTTGCGATGAAGTTTTACGTAATTATAGATTCAATTTAAAAACACTTCTTCAACTTGACTTTATTGTTGCCTTTTTAGATATTTAATTAAGCCGAATGAAATCCCTCAAGCGTCTGAGACAATTTTGATTACTTTAATATTTCTTCATAAATATTTATACGACATAACTTGTCGCTGAAGATGACTTCAACTCTTCTATTAACTAATTTAGTCTTTGTTCTGTCTAAAGTGAAACAAGAAAAGATTTTAGCAGTTCTCATTTGAAGATGATTACCAATTAGGTTACGAAAATTAAAAAAACAGCACAAACAAAAGTTTTGTTGAATCATTTTTTGTGTAAATTTAAGCATAATAAAAATCTCGTTACTTTGGCTTATTATTAAACAAGCTTCAATTCTAAAAACTTCACAATGAATGATAGTAATTTTTTGATTATGTTTTCATTAAATATCTAATGAAAAATTATGGTCTAGGAAATGTTGATGAACCTCAAAGAATATTTCAAACATCAAGTTGGCAGTTAATGCATTTAACGAACAAAATTTGTATAACTCGCGCTAAATTATGATCTTCAATTAACAACCACAGCGAGTGTAAGAAAAATCATTACATTACGAAGTTTATTGCTTAAAAGCTAAGAGCCGCATTAGTGAATTCACATAAATAATTACTAAGAAAACAACGAAGGTTGCGTCACATCAAAATCACGTAATTACAAAATTTTCAAATTGAAGTTGAATGAATTCAAATGTTGCGCCCCAAAAGTGTGCTTGCTCCAAATATTTTCTTTCAAATTTTTATTTTTTAATACGTCTTGAACAAATTCTCTTTTTTTGCATTTAAGCAACGACGTTTATGTTTCAATGCCGCTGTTCTCATGGAAATTTATGACTTGAAAACAAAAATGAAACCGTCATATATTTTTTTTTTGCATTTCATTGCAGTTCATATTTATATCTGCTAAGTATACTTTGCGTCAAATGTTTCCGATGCGACAGCACGTTTCTAGCATTGCTGAAAGTTTTAAGGAAATTAAGGTAAACAGAAAAGAATAAAAAAAAATTTAATCATGTAAAATTTTCAGCATAAGAAATGAGGCTTACATGGCGTTATTAATGAAGGAACTTTAAGCGTCTTCAAGCTAATGTTGCAAAAAAACTTATACTCATCTACATTAGCCACAAAGTTAATCATACTACCATCAATAATTTTCTTTTGCCTAATTTTCGGTCATTTTCATTTCTCACTCTCAATGCTTGGAGCATTCAGGCCGGTAATTAATCACTACGTTGTGAAGTCGACTGGGGAATGTGCAAAAATTGCCGTAAGATCATCAACAGCAAGATGTTTAACACAAAAAAAAGAATAAAGAGAAGAAGTTTCCAGACGCATAATTTTCTACCCGAAAACCTTCGGAAATGTTTCATGAATAAATTCCGATAAAGTTACCAAATAAATATCTACAAAGCGCGACTTCGATATTTATTCTACGATCTCTTCATAACGACACAATCATTTTTGGCTTTGGCTTTAGAATCCATTCAAGGTCGCATAGCTAATCACAAGAGTTCTCATAACACATTTTTCTGAGTTGAAATTCAACTTCGTCATGTTATTGCCGTCGTACAATGAATCAGAGCATGGAAGCGAAAACTCACATTAAAAACGAAATGACAGAATTGAATAAATTTAAATAAATTCACTTTTGTTAAGTTGAAATCGAGCATCGCCGTAGCCGAAAACACCCAAAAAAATATTCATGTTGCAGACGAAAGTCGAATGAAAATTAATTTACATCATTTGACAATTTTTGATGTGAATGTTTGGTAAATTAATGACATCTAATTGAGTGTTTCATGTAGAGTAGTAATTAGAAAAATGTCTTATTTTTCTGAATATTTAATGCATGTGAACATTAAATTTTATTTCCGTTCTTCATTCTTCTTCGTTCTTTCAACATTTTCAAATAAATTTAGTTATTCAACAAACATAAATACATAAATATCGTCAAAATATGTTTATGTTGTTGATATCGAAACGAAGAATCGTTTAAAAACAATTTTCTTATCAATTCTCAGCGACTTTAGAAGTCTTAGAAACTTTTGACATTTTTCGGTAGCTAATTAAATTTAGTTAAGTTTCACGAAACAATGAAGTTAATGTTGTTTTATTAGACATTCTCACGCTTTAAAGAAAGCGATATTCAGACATATAAGTATCCAAGAAATATTTTATCTTGTCGTGGCATTAATTCAGGTAGAAAATGTGTCATCGGTAAAAGAGGAAATTCTGCAAGCAACGAAATTTTTATATTGCAACAACATTTCGTTATCTTTTAATGCTCTTTAGGTTTCATATTGCTCCGATAATTTAAATATTTTCTAAACTTCAGCATTCACGTCAATGTTTATAAGTCATTTAAATGGAATGTAAGTGTTTTCAAACAATTTTCTTCAAATTCTCCTCTCTCGACGTCTTCCGAGATTTGTATTGTGCACTCGTCTTTACACATGATCAAATTTCATTGAATTTAATTTCACTTCAAGATTGATGTGTTTATTTTTCAACTAAATAAATGTGAGCTCTTTATAAACGCCAACAATTATTTAATTGAAGATGCTTGCTTATGTTTAGTGAGTTGACTTCAGAGCTCTAATGAAATTACTTTTGTTATTCGCAAACAACAAAAAAAGAAATATTAAAGGCCACGAGTCTATGAAATCGTGATTCTGTCGAGCTTTTAAGCTCACTCTGTTAAATACTTAGCATTGGCCTCTTTTAATTGATGTCTCATTCAATCATAAGTTTTCCAAAAGTAAGAAGAGGAAAAAGCAAACTTTGCTTCATGACTCAAATGATGAATCTTTTCTCAATTCAACAATCAACAATTTTAAGACAAAACCTTAAACAAGAAATAATCTTTGCGTTATCGGAGAAACCATTTGTCGTTGTTAGTTTTGCTTTCAGACACAACTAGCAAGTAACTAATCATCGCCCAATTAAACAGAACCATGACTCCATCATCAATATAAAAAGGCTATGATTATTGATGGGAGAAGCAGTTTGAGGCAACAGAAAACAGAAATTGCCATCATCCTTCGATCGATCTCACGTCATGATGTTTTCTATATGATTTCCTGGGGAGATCTCCGTTCGTTTATCGTTTATTTTGAGGAGGAAAAAAAATCAAACTCATCGTACGCTTTAAATTTTCATGATGCTTGATGTGATGTCAAGTGAATGGAATTTTGATCATCCGCATATGAAGCATCGACAATTGAACAATGAAACGCTACAACAAAAAACAAAATTCATCGTTTTGTACTCGTCAACAATCATTATTAAATTTTAACTTATTTGCCCGAGTAATAAGGCGCACGTTTGATGAGTAAAAATTATCATCTGACATTGTAGCATACTGAAAATCGTAAACATATTCGCACTGTTCAAAGTTTTAAAATCATTGAATGTAAGTACGTAAATTTTTCTTCATCAATATCGATATCGATGTCTGAACTGAGTTCAACTTACAATTCGCTTTATAATGGCCAACTCATCAATTGTTATAAAATTTTAAGCCAAAGAACAAAAACGAACGAGAAGTTTTTTGAAACACCGCGCATATAGTTCTCTTCATTTATTTAATTGAGGTCAGATGAAGACTTTAGAGCTATTTATTAAATCTCTAAAAATAATTTTATCCCCTCAAAAGTTTATAGAACCGAAACAGAATAATGAAGCCTACGACTAACGTTTGCTTTTTACTTAAGAACGAGGAAGTCGTATCTATACAAGCAGATATCTTATGTTCTTCTTAACAACAAAGGAAGAAGAATCAAAAGAAAAAAAAATAATTTAATGATTCATACGAAGGCTGATTTCAAATGAGAACTAAAAATAAGTATCAATGAGATATGATATCAAGATTCCGTGACTTGCTTCCAAGGCAAAGAGGTTGTTGGACATAAACTCTTAACTCATAAACTGAAGTTTCGACAAACAACGTGTGAAACTTTTATATTCAAATCAAACTGCTAAATGAAAATGAACGAAGCTGAAACGACAGCTATTAAAACTTCCCCCCAACAAAGAAAGGCAACTAAACACAATTACAATTTGTAATTTGATGTAATTACGACATCACTGTCTATGATTTCCCCTCTTCACTGATATAATCTGTTGTAAAATGTTCTCTTCATGCGGTTATCGTCAACAATCTTTCTTTTTCAGCGGTTGTCGTAGATCAACAACAAAGGAAATCAATCAGCCTACAGCCAAACACAACATTTAACTTGCACAACTTTCGCTGTCGATTCAAGGTCTCTCACTTTAATTTTATGATGTCGTTAATTCAATTACCATACAAGTCAAAAATGATTTTTGATTGTTGAAAATAAAAATTCCCAAAAAAATTTTTTGTTTAAAACTTTAAGATTCTTTCAAGGCGAACATGAAGTTTGTTTAAGGAAATTATTACAAAAAACCAAAATGAGGTTAATCGTTGATTTATTTTTAGCAAATCGAGAAGGAATCAAGTTGAAGTTTATCACAACTTTGTATTCGATAAATATCGCTATAAGTAAACATGAAGATGTGAATGTTAAGTTCAAGGTTGGAATCTTCAGGCTTATATCGTTCTCATAAGTTATTTTGTAATCTTTTTATTGTGCCATTAAATAATTGAATGAATAAAGATGAGTTAAGAAAATGGCGTAGTTAATTATACCGCATCTGACATTGATGAACGGTTGCAATTTGTTGTCTGTCGCTTTCGTTAGTCTACAATGTAAGACGGCAGGCTGCTGGAGAATTGCAGACATCATAAATATTGATATAAAATCAAAGAGTAAAAGCTGTAGATCACCATCATTGATTTCATACCTGTAGCTATTCCAAGCACGCATAAATAAAAAAAGATATTCTCCACTTTAAGAAGAAGTCACATTCAGAGTGTTTTCTGTATTCCCCATCCGTTTCGTAATGATATTAATGATGGACGTAAACATACCAAAACATCCATCATGACTGAAATTATTCCCCTTCAGACCGTTTTCTTGTGCTGTAATCTTTTTTCCCTCATGCTCACAAATGCGCGTAAAAGCAAAGAAGACAGCAAAGAGACCGTACAAGCCGCGAAATCAAATCGAAAATTGTCTGTTGCTCTGAACGACACAACAAAATTATCGATGTTGATTTTTATTGCTATTTGGCTTTTTTCTTTTCCTTTTCTTCAAGTGCATTTGGATTGTTATTTATAACATTGAAAGCTTTTGTTATGTTCTCGCTTTTTCTTTCTTATTTTCTTTGTATCGATCGTAAACAATGAGATGTTCAAACATTGTTAGCAAGATCAAGAGAGTTGCGACAAGTGTCACAAATATTGCTTGCATCCAACGCTCCTGAAAGCAATTTAATGTTTTACTTTATTTTTTATATTTCTTTAATTCAATGCGATAAATTTCATCGCATTTACGCAACAGGCAGCAATGATTTGACTCAAGGGATGCTATCACGAATACCCAACAGATTTAATGTCGCCATTGACATAAAATCGATTTTTTTATTCTTCAATTGAAGATACTTAAATGCTCTGTAATGGTCATTGACATAAATTGCAATCGTTCAGCAAATATATGTTTGGCAATCGAAGACTTCCTTTAAAATCGTTTTTTATCTCAAAATCATCTTCTCTAATTACGCTCACAATGTTTTCGCAGAAAACTGTCTATAGTAAGACGACATTCTGGCGGAAACGTTGACGTCCTCTCTTCAATGCTAAAAAGTAAAAAAAGAAAAAAGCAATTAAACTGCTCTACAAGTATTAATTGAACTTCAATTTATATTTTGTCGATAACAGAGATGAAACATGGAAGTGGAAGTTAAACGTTTTAAATGTGAACGGAAAGTTACGTGACATGTCAGCAATGCTCGGATGAGATCAAGTATTCAATATCTCTTTCATTTAATGTTTTTATAGAAAACCTGATACAGATAACAACTCATAAAATATGCAAAATATCGAATAATTATGATACAAAAATTATATCTTGTTATCAACATCACACGCGTGCCGTTCCATTCATCAACATTCATCTACGAAAACGCCGGCGTCACTTTTTTCACGGTCATAACTTCATCATAAAACTCATTTAATTATCACATTCTCGTAGTACAATCAATTCACGAGAACTTTAATTAAATTTTATGAAAAGTTCAGCAGAATATTCTACTGCCTCCCCAAGGCAATAAAGGTGAGGGAACAACACATAATCATTTGCGATAAAAGACAACAACTATCTACAACATACATGTATTAATAATAATAATAAAATTTATGTAATTAATGATTACCACAACACAAAATTTGCCATAAAACTTTCAGCTAGATATTAAGCAAATATGCGATGAGAGTTGTTAAATGCATCGTAGGCTGTCGCGAGTGAACTGCGCATGTTGCTTATTCCCGGAATGATAAATCAAGAAAAAAAGAACTGAAACATGACAGCGACTTTGCAGCAATCACTTAATAAAAATGGAAACATGCAATTTTCTTTTAATCAACTTATTTATTACCATCGAATAGGAAGTTTCACTTGCTTCTTTTTTCTTTTCATAATCAATTTCTTCTTGCGTTGAATATGATGTTGAAACGGATCGAAGAATCGATTAGAATCTTTACATTAATTTTTAAGAGATAAGTTTACGAAAATTTTCATCAATTTGTAATAATTTGAATAAAGTTCAAAAAAGGAAAATGTGAAATTTTCAAAAGGAACAGTTTGAAATGGAACATTTTAGAATCTTCTTTACCAGAGATTGAATGACAATAATAAAACAAGAATTGTTATCTCAGAGCATTCCTTGACTCTTTTTTAATTTGAATGAACAAGATTTATTTTTTGAATGATTTTATTTTCAAACAATTCTAACAAGTTCCGTTTCCATGTTGTTCCAAATCAATTTTCCTTCCAGTTTTTGAACTTCAAATTTAACATCTATAATCATGTTTTAATTGGCATCGTTAGGATGGATGCATAATTGAAAGTGATTTCACGTTCTAATCCAATACACATCGATTATATGTATGAAACTGAAAAGAAAACACCATACCGCACCTGCATCTTAAAAATTCAAAGCATTTATTAATAAACAAGTGTATGCACCCACACACTGCATTGTATTGTGATTTTTATAAAAAATGATACTTGGAGAGAGAACAAAACAGAAGAGAATGAAGATATTGTGTATGTGATAACTATGTAGATACTAATTCGTCTCGCTAATTTTAAAGTAAGTGCTTTCAACACGACATATGAGGATAAACGTGAAAAAGGAAGAGAAAATAATTGAATAGAACTTCTGCGTGATCATGGAAGCAATCAGGTGTCTTTCGAAATAGTCTTCATGAAGGTATTTATGACTTTGCCCGAGAAAACTTTTAATAAGCAAAGGGAGAAGGAAAAACAACAAACTTCTTCAGGGAATTTACATTCGAATAAGTTTTACTGAAAATGTGATATCTTTGCTGTTGTGCTGACGTCTGTAGAGCTTTGAATGAATGACGTTAAAGGAAAGTCGGCGAGTGACAGGTAGAACAGAATGCGCAACACATCACTTATCAACAACAATCTGTTATCATTGATCCATAATAAGTATACATATTTAATCATGATAATCTCCATTAAATGTACAAGCCTTCAAAAAAAAATAGGAACAAAAATAGCTTCGTGAGCGTTATCACGAAAACCGTAAAGTTTTGTTTGTTTTTTTTCTCCTTTCCTAAACAAGTTTGCTTACGCAACGTAATAACGAAACAATACCAATAGCAGAAACAATACAAAAGCTAGATGAGCCTTGAATGTTTGCCAAAGGCGATGGAAGGAGACATCAATCTCATTATAAAGCAGAATCAATGTTCTAACTCATTTTATTGAGGTTTTCGTAGAATCCTGAGTAATTTGATTAAGTACAGGTATAGCGAATCGCGTCATTGATGACAGAAGGAAACTTAATACTTTCCACTCACCAGTTTAGTTGATTAAGATACCAATGGTGAGTTTTTAATGATCTTTATAATCATTTAAAGTGTAATTAAGATTTCACAGATAACTTTTTATTAGCTTTCGATATTTATGGCGCACAGAATGTGAGTTTACATTTTTAAGTATATCTTCTATTTCTGCGTATGAAAATTCACATCTTGATAAGATGCAATTAATTGCCGTTGCCAATGCCATTAAAGTAACATTTAATATTTGCTTCTCAATAAATCATATAAAAATGCGATTAAATGCGTTTCTTTATGCAACTATCAGAAATAAATATTAAGAAGCGTGACAAGGTTTTTCTTAGAAAGCAAATCAATAAGCATTTCTTATCGCTCATCCACACAAATTCACCATCGCTTTTAAAAGCAATAAAATCAATTCGAACTATCTTTTATTGCTAGTCCATTACACTCTAAGATCAGAGTCGTGTTTTAAACGATCGAAAATAATCATCAGCTCGTCTTTCTTTATTCGCAATAGTAAAAATGAAAAGAGAATCACGAGATTATAGAAGAACCACCGTCAATGATGGCGGAATTTTTATATTTTTTAGCTTTCTTCGTTCTAGTCTTTGAGCGTTTTGATTTTTGAATTTAATGAAACAAAAAAAAAATGTTGAGTGGAAACTTCTGTTTACAATTGTTGGAGTGTTCATCTCTAAAAGCATGATGCCTCGATTAGTCGTGGAATTTCTCTACGTTTTTTTTCATGACAAATTGAACACAGCACGACGAGAGTTGTTCACCCTTTGGCGACTTCAAGGTAAAACATTCTTCAATTTAATGATAAAAGATCGTGTATATGTTGAGAATGTTAAAATTATTAATGAAATTAAATTTCTTAAGCGAGTCGAACAATTGAAAGTTCAAAGTACTTGTCTGTTTTGGTTCATTACGAAAAATCTGGCGGAAATAAATTTAAATTCCGTTGAAACTCGTTTAACACCATGTTACGACATTCTTGTGCAGAATTCTCAAGAATATATTATTATGCAAATAAATATGGCCATTACAGGCATTGTAAGTGATTACAATTAAGAAACTCGTTTCGAAGTAAGTAAGTGAACTTAAACCAGGAATGACTAGGAAAATATTCTTAAAGTGTATACAAATTGATTACAATTTGTCTTTCTTTATTTCATAGATTTCTACCTCACTTAAAACAACTTTAAAAAAGTTACTACTAGTGTTACTTGGTAATTGATATTTCCCCCCCCCCCCCCCCCAGCCACTCAACTTGTTTCGACATTTTTTTATCACTTCGATCCCTTTAAGATTATTTTTAATATGCGTCACATCTAAATGGTTCCCAGAAGATTGTCATAAATTGAAATTTTTTGTATTCACATGAGTATAAGTAAGAAAATCTAAGACACTGTCTGAGGCATAAAAATCTGTTTCTCTTCTCCTTTTTTTTTGTGCATCATGCAACAACCAGATGTCTCATAAAAATCATGTTCGGGACAAAGAATGTCGAAGCTTGGGGGGAAATAAACAAAATTGAGAAACGAAATTTGCATAAATTTTCAAAATTTGATTGTTATGAAGTGAGAGAAACTCAATTTTTTTGCGTGATGGATTAAATTTAATTATTTTGAGTGATTTTGTTTGTTGTTTGCGCCCATTGGGTAATTGCTGTTTTAAATACACATTTTCATGGTGACAATTCACTTTGAACTGAAAGCCTAAATTGGATTCATTTATTATTCATTGGAAAGCTGAATGCGGTTGTGGCAATTTAATTATGGAAGACCATCATTTTATTTTTTTTTGCTTCTCTACTGTAGACTGAACTTCTACCAATTATATCTAATTGAGGTCAAATGCCTATCAAAACGAGGATTAGGAAACATGCTTACAAGCTGGATGTACACCTGGACATAAATGATCAAAGTTTTGCCATCGTTTCGCAAGGGGTTGATCGTTTTTTTATTGCGAAACATGAACATAAAATTATCTAAGCAATGTCCCTTGAAAAATACGAAGAATATTCTTAATATGCAGAGTGTAACTCATTATTATAATACAGTAGAAGAAGATGAAGCGAGCAAACAGGAAAGCAAAAAAATAATCTTTGAAAACAAACTTTTTGAATACATAGTTAGCTGCCAGATGAAAGGCAAAGTTCTGGTATTCAGTCACATGTTTAATAACGAATATGAAGAAGGAAGAAGTCTTAAAAAATATTGAAAAACAAATGCGTTTGAGTCACTTGAAATCTTGATTGCTCGATGACGTAACTCATCAAATCATCCCAACAATAATAAAAATTCAAGATATCTTACTTCTGTGTGGTTTTTTTTTTTTGAACATTTACTCAATCTAACTATCGTTGAAGCCATCAAAAATAGATTGGATTGAACTGAACTAATAATTGTAAATCATTAATCATTTTTACTCTTTCTTTTCTTATTTGAATAATTTTCTTTTGCTCTTTCGTCCGCTGCCTGATTTAAGTTTTTCTTTATTGAACAGAACAGGAATCAGATTTCATTTCAATTTTCTTTCAAAATGTGGTTTTAGAAAAGTTTTTTTCTATATCTTACATGCTTATATGTAATTAGTATGATTACGCAACAAAGTTCTCCTAGCAACAACGTCGTCTTAAGATTCCGCTTGTGTAGCCTCAAGTATTAAGTTGAAATGAAGAATTTGTAATCATCAATTCACAATCGCTTTTCACTCACATGAGAAACTTGTTTCATCACGCGACAAAAGTTTCTTGTTCATTTGATTTTATTCTATTCACATCGCTCATCAACATAGATGCTCATTAGAGGATTCTAAAATTTGTTTTTTCTTGTTTTTGTCTTCAAAGATATTTCACTTGCTTATATATTTGCAAGAAAATATTTTCGGATGAGAGAATTTGAAGAAAAGGCGCTTTAAATGATAAACTGAGTTGTGAAAAGAAGTGAAGAAAAGATGAGATGAAGGAAAGTGAGTTTGATAAAGAGAAATATTAGTTGGGTGGCGATCAAAACAAGCTGCTAAAAATATCACTTTCGTCTCTTATGTTTTCATCTTTAAATATCAACAACAGCGCGACGAGTATTTTAATGATTTCATTATAAAACAAAAAAGTATTTAACAGATACGCGATGCTTCGAAATCTACTCTATTAATGATGATGCAATCGATGAATGCAGAAAAAAATCTCCGTTATAAATACGTTTCGAAGTCATGACTCAAGTGTGCTTTTAATGGCAATGTTTATCATAAATTATGCTCTTGCAACATGTTACAATAATAAAAGAAGCCAATGCAGCGTTCAACAACCGAGAGAATATCAAACTAAATCAGTTTATGACCGGTTCTTCCGAAATAAAAATTAAAAGCAGCTTGTCTGTGAAACAAACAAACAAACTTCAATTCTTTTTGTTGCTATTGATTTTAATAGCAAGATTTACATAGAATACTTTTCTGCTTCATCATGTTAATGTCGCCACACGACATTGAATATCATTCCAATAGATTAGATGATGTGTTTTGTGCTAGAAACAAATTTAATTGCACCAGCTTAGATATTTTAATGGATTTTTCTTTCATTAATCTTTTCTAGAGAATTTATCAAAAGCGTACATTTGAAAATGATTATTTCAATGCTTTTTGTTGGCTATTTATGTAATAAAAGTTTTTGTTGATAAATTATGAATTGTTATCAAGTTAAAGACAGCTCTGATAAATAAAGTTTCCTCTTTAATTCACTTAAATAAAAGTTCGTATCTAATCTACTCACAAAGCATTGCATTTAGATTAAAATATTCTTACAATTTGTCATTGAGGTTCAAAGTCTAACTAAATAAATTACGAGACAACAGCAGAGCATATGTAAATGGCTGAAGATCGTTTTCTCTTAGCGATGCTTTGTTCCATTAAAGCAAAAATATTCAAAAGAGAGCAAATTTCATGCAACATTGCAATTAAATTGAATCATTTCAAAGGAAAATGAGAAACTTCATGCCATAGCTTTTTGATATAATCTTCAATTTCGCTGATGGGGGTGAGAAAAGAGAATGAAAAATGAAATTTGCATCTCAAATGCTTTTGATTATATCGATTGAAGATGCTTTAAGACTTAAGAAATTCAGTCAAATCGAAACAGTGAATGAACACAGTTGCATAATGAAAACAAAGCGAGCGGAAAATTTCTTTACAATTTATCAATCGATGTTCTCACTGAAAAATTCAATCCCGGCGGCCACTCTAACTAGAAGCGTCTCACGCTCTTCTCCTTTGAGTGTTTATCGCTTGACATCCTAAACGAGCTTTAAGTGACGACTTTAATTACTGTTAAGTATTTCCACATTACATATGCATGAGCTACAATTCTAGTTGAACTTTGTGCTTAAAACCTTTCCGCAATTTTCAAAGCAATTCAAGATAAAAAAAAAAGCTTTTGTCATTCAAGTTGAAACAACCATCATGTATGTGTTGACTTGATGAATTTGATCAACAGTCTAAGCAACACTCGACTTTTCTTATCAACTGAGAAATGAAACCAGAAAATGTAATTTAGAATCAAGGGTCTCACTTGAATGCGGCTTCTTCTCATGCCCATCAATTGTTAAATTATTCTCTGACAATAGAAAAAAAAGAATCCCGCACGACATGTGAATAAGCTTGGAATTGAAATTATTTTCAAGCGTAATGGAGGGAAGGAGGGAAAAAGGCAACGAAAATATTGATTAAACAAAAAAAATGAAAATCGTTATCGCTTTTGATGTTGTTTCCGTTTTTGTTTTCATTCTTTTTTGATTTAATACATACGAGTATTTGGTGTGTTTAATTTATGGGCCTTTTTCTGATTCCATGTAAAAAAGGGACGAAGGAAAAAACTGTTAGGTGTATTGAAAGGGACATAAACAATATAGAAATTTGCTATCGATCAAAAAATACTTTATTGAGCTGATAATTATAATATGTGACTCAGCTTAAACGTTTAACAGCTTTCCAACCATTTAGTGGAGGAAGAAAAAAAAATGAAACAACATCGATCAGACACCATGAAGTGAAAATATTTACTTTACATGCTTTCGTAGGCTTTTCAAGTTGAAGCAAACTAGTTTAGCTGGTATTGAGCAATCACTCACTCGGCGTAAGCACGATTGAGATTTTTTTTAACTTGTGACTGCAACTTATGCAAATAATAGACGAAACAACAATAATATTTTTTTTTGAATAGATATTATCAATGAGTTGCGGCTACATGACCTCGATATTAAACATGACACTCTTGGTCAAGCTCTCTTTGAATATTTAGCGTCAACAGAGTTACAAAATTAACGATAAATACATTCGCTTTGGAATAATTTTCAATCGAATACACACAATCAACCCTGCTCTTTATTTATCGCTTATGAGGAAGATTTCATCTTAATTTTAAATTTCACTTCCAAAAAAAATAAAAAAAACTTTCGAAGATTTTACTTTTTTGCACGGAATCAAGTTATTGATGTGCGTAAATAATTTTTAATTTCAATTCCGCCTTTAAAACAGCTGGAAATGATTCCGGCTTCCTATTTCCACAAATATATTTCATGATTAAACATTGGAGAAACTTCTAGTACTTGCAAGAAAACTTTTCAATCAAAACATAAAATTTTTCTTATCACAACATAAATTTTCGCTTTGTATCCCGGAATAAGTTTTTTTCTCGTTTTTTTTTTCACCCAGAATCAATTGAATAATCTAAATAATGCTGAGTATGACTTACGGATCTTTAATAACCTTTTTTCTTGAGGATTATCCTAGTTGCTATTGAGTGGTTGTTTCTAATAAAACTATTTATGTATCTTTTAAATTTTTCATTTGAAAATTTATTTTCACTTTTTATTCACTTTTTCTTTTAAATTTTCCTCTTCACACAAACTTTGAATTTTTCTTCCTTTCTCAATTGAGCAATGAATGAAATAATAAATCCTCTGGCTAGTTTGCCTTTATCACTGTAATGACGATTTATAACTGCGCTTTGATATAAACGTTCGCATCATATTAACTTTATTTTCAGACTAAATAGTCTTGCCAGTTTCGTAGCTTTTACCCCCTGATTTTTTTTAACATAATTCAGGGGGTGAAAGCTACGCGTTAGCACTTTTTAGCATTCCAGTTCAAAATCAACGGCTCAAATTAACAGTTCTAGCAGATTCCGTCAAATAAATAGTTACATATTTTTATAAAAGATGGCGCCATTTACCAATATGCGTGATTGACTCCTCAACAAATTTATTAAAAACTAAACATCTTTCATATTTTTATTCTTGTTTGTCTTAAAAAAGAGGATCACTTAATTTGGGTTATAAATATTCTAATGTCTTTATTACGCAATAATAATGGTTGCAACATTTCTTAAATTAGATACATTTACATTCTAATAAGGTTGTTTCTTTATTTGTCAAACTTACTCGACTAACATTTCAATCTTCTATTTAGATATATATGTAATAAACATTAAGTTACATAAACAAAAAAAAACCTTACATATATTGTATGTATGTATTGGAATGAAAATTTGGGGTATAAATAAGTGATTTCTTCAAAAAATGAATGTTGTTGTGTGGAATGGCACAGGATATTTCTTTCCTTCCTATTGAAACATACATAAATATATACGTGTTGATATCATGACTCTAATGAAAAATTCCTACGATTATGCTCAGTCATAATATAGATATTTACAAAATGCCGATTTATAACACAACATCATTAAAACATTTAATACTGATTTCATTCTTACGCAAAGTTTAATGTTTTCTCACGATCTTAAGCTCAAAATAAATAAAAACAAAAATTTCCTTTGTTATTTAAAATACTATCATTTCATTATCAACATATAATGTACAAAGATTGAAAGTTTTGGCGAAAAGATCCATCAATGTGTAAATTGAAAACCAATTCATCTTGAGAAGGTCCCATTAAATCTTGCACATGTGTTCACTACACTTAGAAGCTTAAAATATATGTAGATATAAGAAATTATTTTGAGGGATCCACAGCTGTATTCGATGTCGCAACAGGTGTCAACATCATATGTTGTGCCGTTGTTTGAATGATACTTGGTGATGCTGAACGTGGTGACACTGAATGACTTGACGATGATGGTGATTGAGACATTTTCATCTGCTGTTGATGCTGATGTTGAGCAGCACCTGTTTGAACTTGTTTCAGGAGATTAGCGACATCAAGATTGTTTATCATTTTTCTTGGAAAATTTTTAGCTGCAGCCAATTGTTCTAGCATAGCCTCATCATGCATCATATCCATAATATTAGATCCATTTACGTCATCATTTTGCATCTAAAAAGATTGTTTAAGTGTTAATGATTTGATTTTTAATGACTATTAATGAGCATTTACCATTGAGATCCTATTCCGTTGAACCAAATTTAAAAGATCATTCTGTTCATCAGTATTTCCTGGCCACATTTCACGCATTCGTGATACCATATAGCTGCCAGGTGGTCCACTAATAATGAATAATCACATGAGTATAAATTTCAAACTATTTTGTTCTTTTAAATCTCACCGATAAGGATGCTTCAAACATCCATAAGTTTCACGATATCTTCCATATAATGTGCCATAAGAAACACCCAATAATTTTGCTGCCTTTTTCATCTCCAAATTTTTATTCTTAATCGCATCTAATACACGTTTCGTGAATGGTTCTTCCCAAAATTGTGGTCGTCTTCCTTTAGTAAGATAATCGTTCATTCGGATAACATCATTCCACTGTTTTCTTTCTTCGTCGGTCAAGAAGATTGATTGCAAGTGTTCAGCCGGACTACATGAAATATTCTCATCTTCTTCTTCAGCGAGATCATTCGGCGTGTCGGCACGTTCAACTTTTGGAATGACATTCTGACTGGATGGATCTGAAAAGAAAGCGAGACTGTGTTTAAAGACCAAAATTAAAACTTTTCATTAAGTCTACCAACCTTCATCGTATTCCACTTGCTGCTGTTCATTATCTCGTCTCAATGGCATATAGAACGAATGTTCTTCGTTGTCATGCGATTTCTCATCCATCATCACCGTCACCAGATTGGAAGTGTTTGTGTAATGATGATGATGATGATGATGTGGCAGTGGTGAATGCTTCAGTGGCTTTTTTGATGTACTCGCACCACCATTGTGAAGATTCTCAGAAGTTTCTGAATGATTTTTTCCTTCGTCTTGGATATGACGATGAAGTGCTGTGTGAGATGTCGTTAATGTGTTGGTGGTACTTGATGACGCGGTGGTTGATAAATCGTAGATACCGTCTTTGCCATCGACTGCTTCTGGTTCGTAGAATTGTTCGTTTGTTAGATGAACATACTTTGGCCTGTTGATTTTCACAGAAAAACCGAAAATAAAAATATCGAAATTAAACAGAATTTATTTGAACTTACGCTCGAGTGAAATGATTTGTTTCATCTAAAGGCGGACGACCACGTTTCTTACGACTTCCAGACGAAAGATCTTTCGGTGAACTGAGTGGTGCTAAGAAAGGAATCGATTTCAACAGATTTTCTTTGTTGTCATATTTACGACTGTCGCCATTATTCAATGATGACAACGATCCATTTGATAAAACTGGTGTTTGACTTAAAACTGGAAAGTTGTTTGTGTCGGTAACATTGTTGTTGCTGTCATTATTTTCAGGATTTTCACTGTCATCATCACGCCATGACACTTCTGCCAAGCCTTTTATTCGCAGTTCTTCAGCTGTCTTTAGTAGGGATGCCAAATTATTCTGAATTTACAAAAAGAATTTTTAATAAGTTAAGTTAACACATAAATTAATCTTTGTCTTACATGTTCGACGTTTATTTCGCCTTTGTACATGAATTCCACTAAATATTTTATATCCATAAACTTCACATCCTTAAGAATTATAATGGGATCCTTCTCACTGTTGCAGTTTGTTAAGATTGAATCAAAGTATGTACTACATGCAGATAAAACAACACGATGTGCTTTCAAAGTTTGTCCCTCACATGCTAATGTCACATCACAGAAGCATCCACGATCGAGAAGTTGTGAAAACATTGTCTGCAAATTGCTGTGATGATATTTCCATCTCAAGCAGTATTGTTGTGGCAACATGGCTGTAACTGTAATTAAATGGAAAGAAAGAAGAGAAATGAATGGACGAGCAAGGAATAATGACGAATAATTATGATTATTTTCATCATCGCATGCAAGCTTCACTAAAGCAAAAGCTTTTTGAAAGATTAAAGGACCAGGTGTCCCCGTTTTCTACCTCTCGTTTCAATTGAAATTAATGTTTTCTCGCCTGCAAGAATTGCTTGAGATTTATCAAGAGTTTTTTTTTCATTTCTACTATTTTTTTCTTGTGCAATTGAAAATCAAAAGCGTTATGCAGTCGAGAGACGAATGAAGCTGAGGGATTTTGTCGCGACGAAATGGGGAATGAGAAGCAAAGCCCGAAAGTTACCAAACATTTTCTAAGTTCATTGCATTGCTTGTGACTCAACTAATAAACATCACCTGCAGTCACTCGAGAAAATTCTGCACACCAAAGAAGGAAAAAAAATCCAATTAAAAAGGAAGGAAAATGAAAATATAAAAAAAGCGCTATACACAATTTTGAGCTTTTTTTTTTTGTTATTTTCTTTTTCTTTTTTCATTTTCACTACAAATGTGCTTTGCCACCCCTTTCGCCTCTCGTCCTCCCATCAAACTTCTTCACATTTTTCCCTGCTTTTTATTATGAAAAGCAAAATGGTTTTTTTCCTCTTATATTTTATTTCCATCCATTCAGAAATAAAAGAGAGAAGGAAAAAAAAGAAAGGTAAAAGTAAAGGGTACAATCGACCATCTTAGTCCGAAATGGGCTCGAAATATTGCGAACCCGGTGAAGACATGACATTAAAGCAATAAAAAAAATTTCATTGTAATTTTTCTTCTTTCTTGCTTTCTTTTTTTGAAAAAAAAGGTCCGAGAAAAGTAATAACAATCTTGGACAAAGCCGAGGCAGTTTTATTTTTTCTCTTTTCTTTATCGACCGACCACCCACTTACCCGAAGGTATCGGACAGAGCGAAAAAATCTCAGGCAACCCAAGCATGAAAAATAAATTCAACATAAAAGGCTCCAATTTTTTATATGTATTTTTTTTTCGAGCTCTCCTTTTTACATTATTTCATCCACCCTCAGTTTCTTCTTGTTCTACTTCCTCTAAAAAACCCACAGAGGAGAACGAAAAAAAAAGATTCTCGTCATTTTTTATATTCGTTTCGTTCATTAGCGAAATGCGAGGAAAAAAAAGCTCAACCATTCGCAAGTGGATATTTTTCTCTTTTTTTTCGTGGAAAAATTACTGCCAACGGAAAATTAAGCATCAGCGAATTACAATTCGTGGAGAATGAGAATGGGAAGTGAAGAAAACACAAGTGGACGAGACATTCTTCGATTTCATTTAATACACTGTCTCTTTTATATCCAAAGACTCTCCCCAATCGACCGAAGGATTTTTCCATTTTTTTGCGACCGAGGGAAAATAAAATTTCGGTCCCCGGTTGATGATAAGCTTTTTTTATTTATCAACAATTTCTCTTCTCGTTTTTTTCCTTTTCTTTTTCCATGGCATTGTTGGCAGCGATGGTTTCACAATGTTTTTTTTTGTCGTTTGGCCATCCTTCAAGTCATTTACAGTTGAAGGAAAAAATGGATAAATTAGCTCAGCATGTTGAAGTTTTTTTTCTTTCTCTCATCCAGATATCTTAAAACTTATAAACTTTTGATTTTGATGAAGACGGAGAAGGAAATCTTCAAAAGAAAAATTGCATTTCGCGTGTTTTCTTATTGCTCACAGCGAGAGGAAAGGTAAATGGACGAACAAAGCGATGGCCAATAATTCCCCCTTAGCTACAGATGAAAGATGATCTCATCCTACCAGCATTTAATTACCAACATCTCTCCTACATTCATTTACGCTTCTCTCGAATTTTTTTTCAGCATACTTTTGTAGAAATTTTTAATTATAAATTCAGAAAAAAAATTGTAGGCGGGATGAGATGGACAACAGATTTTTTTCTGATGTTTATTCGCGGAAAATAGGGAAGGAGGAAGAAGTTCATGTTTTTGCCCAATTCAAGAAAATATGATCTTCTTCATCCGCACCCTCGCTTTTCTTCATTCATCCGCTTTGAAAGGAGAAGATTTTATCCTTACTCGAGGCCCAAATAAAGATTTTTTTAATAAAAAATAAAGTTACGGGAGCTTAATGAGCTTTCGACGGCAAAAAAGAAAAAAAATCGTAATTAAAATCTGGAATAGAAGTCGCCATGCTTCTTAATTAAAAACTGTTAAGTCGGTGTGTTCGCCGTATGAAGCTTTTTTTTCCGTCACTAAAGCAACACACAAAAAAAAAGTTAATTAATTTAATGTCGCTTTACCGTTTTTCTTTCTCCTTGTCATCATGAAACGTTTGACCAAATGGCTAAATTTTCACAAAAAGCCATAACATTTTTAATATATTTTTTTCATCTGACATTACGAACACAAAATTATTTCTTTTTTTCTTGATGTTTTAGAAATAAATAAAGAATGAACAATTTTATAATCTAGAAATTTCATAACAACAATGTGAATTTCATATAGATTTTTAAACACGATTGCAGACGTAAAAAGCTAAGAAGAAAACAGATATGATGAGAGTTCTATTCTCATCACTTTAGCTAATCGGTAAAATTATTTCATTTAAAGTGAAAGGTTAAGTTTGCTTAAAAGCATCACTTAAGCTAAGACGTGTCATTGAAAGATTTTAACTATTGAAAGATACTTAAAATCGTTTCTTATTAAAACAAATGAAGTAGATTTCCTAAGAAATACCGTCAGGCTATCTTCCTGCATCATTCATTGCGCAACAAACCATCTTAAAAAAAATCTTCGTTGCTTTTGCTCATCTCGGCAAAATCCCCGAATGGTGAATTTTTTATGATTTTATTATTTTTCATGAATAGTGTCTTTCATTTTTTGTTCTCTCAACGTTTTTTTCATATTATAATTTGCATTCACTACATTCACTCAGCGTTGTTGCTACCCGAAGCAATGCGAAATGGTAAATGAAGGAGTGACGAGTTTTGAATGTTTCTGAAACTGGTTGGTGAGGAAATATTGCTAGAAAGCTTTTTGGAAAGCTTCGAATTTTTCAGATATTATGTCTATACATACTTTCAAAGCCGATTTCACAAGCGTTGGTGCCAAAAGTCCCAACGGATCATAAAAGGAAATTTATTTTAAATGAAAACGGAAAAACTGTGAAAAATATAAAAAAAATGCCACACAAAAGTTTCTCTCAGCCATTGACCCGGAGAAGGAAAGAAAGGCAATATGTGTCGCCTTTTTTTATGAAAATTTCCTGCTGCTTTCATTTAATGCTAATGTATGTGCCACGATACTTTATCCTTTTTTTCTTTTTTTTGTCGTCAATTTATTTTTTCATATTTCTAGCGGTTTTTGCTTTTTTTTTGAAAAACACATCACAAACCATTTTCTCCCTTCTTATCATGATGAAAAAGGATGTAAGAGAAGCATGTAGATATATACTTTTGTTGCCTTTCGCTTTTGCAATAAGGATATTTACAAACGACACAAAAAAAAAAATCGAGCGCTTTTTTTGCGGAGGACTCGAACAAAAAAAAAAAAAGGGATGACTTGGGGGGTGATTTGATGGAGATGGTGCAAATAATATAGAAAAAGATGATATGAAAAAAGGAAAATCGAGGAAAAAATTTTATGTCAACGAAAAGCGAGAAAATATAAAAATCGAGAAAATGGTTGGCAACGTTCATTAGTAACGTAAAAGTCATTTACAATTTCTTCTTTCAAACGAAGAATTTTATCTCAAATCATGGTTCACTCGAAAAGCATTTAGAATTTCCTTTTTCTGATTTGAACGGAAAAAAAGGTTCTTTGATATCCCTAAAGATTGACAAACTCTTCGCAAAAATTCTGAGCTTGATGGAATTTTTTTCCGTTACGAAAAAAAAAGGGAAAATGGAAAAGAAAGACTGATTTTTTTTTTGCTTTTCCTTTTTTCATGCACGTATAAAATTTCTTTCTTTTTCCTTTCTTGTTTTGGATAGAATACATGGAAGTTATCGATTTTTTTATTTTTTGTTGATTTTTTTCTTTCTGTGTTCAGTGTGCAATTTTTTTTTCATCGTTTTGGTGTTTGGAGGGTGAAAGATGACTCGAATGTTATCAGGGAAAAAGGCGAGAAAAATGATTTTCATTGGCACACCCAACGGCACCGTGTGGATTATTTATTTTAATGACACAGTTTTAATGTTGCTTACAAGCAAAGGGGGAGAAGATTTTGAAACTTCGTTGAATATTTTTTTTTAATATTTGTTCCATTCTTGTTTCAATGTTAGACAAGAAATTTCAATTTTTATTTATTCTTAGTAGGATTTCTATGGAAAACGCAGAAAAGTCACGGGCCATCAATTCAATGGAATTTTGATATAAAGATTTTTTTTCTGTAAACACGAGATTTGATTTTACGATGAAAAGTATATTTAACCTTTATAAAAATTTCTTTCTTCATTACTGAAATCATGTGAATGCCTGAGATTAAACATCGTCGTGGGAAAATCCATTGGTTACAAGATTTATAAATGGATTTTAAATATGAAACACAAAACGCTTTGTTAGATATTAAAGAAATATATTTAAATTTTTTTGACTTCGTAAGCAGGAAAGTAAAAACAGACACAAAGCAATCAAATGAATCGTGTCGTGTTTTTGGAGGAAATCCGATGAATGAGAGAAAGGAAAGAGGAAAATTTTCTCTTTACTCAATTTCCTTTCATTCCATTTCGAGTTCAACTTGTGCACATCTGTACATTGCGGAGGGTTGTGTGAGAGAAAAGAAGATGATGATGATGAAGATCTTTCTTAAATATCAGGTTTTTACTGAATCATATCGTCGTCATCAACCATGTGCTCTGAAACTCCAATGAAATCAAATCAACAAATACAAACGCATTCAAAAACAGTTTTCCGCTTAACGTACGTGACGCAAAGATGTGTTGCTGGCACATTGAAAAGGAAAACAAAATGCAACAAGTTTCCTCATCATTTGCTTCGTATTTATTCGAATTTGCTTTCTGCTGCTTTTTTTAATACGCTACATTCATATCATGTTCTATCCTCAAGCTTTGTTCGACATCGATAGCTTCTGTGCAAATACATTCATTCATTGATTCTAAATCTGTGTAAAAATAAATTTTAATGATTGAAAAATACTTTTCACCTGATGCTTCATTAATCATAAATTTGAGAAAAAATTCTCTACTTCCGTGTAATTTGTGTGGAGAACAAAAGTTAGTCATCAGATGACCTTGATGCAAATCTAATTAATTCCTCATATCAATATTCATACGCATATACATTGCAAGATCTCAGCTAATAAAAAGCCGTTTTAAATTAATTTTAAGTTCAAAAGTCTCAATTGAGACCTTCATTTCAACCATTCATCGGTAAAGTGCTTGCAAGGAGAGAAAAAAATGAACATGAACAACAAGAAATGGCTTAAGAGGAAAAAAAACTTCCAATTTTGTAACTTAGGTATGTTAAGAAAATGCGCACGATACAAGAGAAAAATAATAATTATTTATTTATGGAAAGGTAATTCACCATATATTGAAAAGTTTTATTTTTGTCTTCACCTTCACAGCAGATTTTTTCCAGTTTTTTTGTTATTGTACGTAATAGCTTTTTATCATAAGTAAAAAAAAAATCTCACAACTACAATCAAGACATCATATTATTATTACTTATTTTAAAATCCGTTTCTTTCAATTCAATAACAATTTTTTTTTTCTTCTCTTTTAGTCTTCGATTTGCTTTTTTTCAAAAATTGTTTTGCTTAATTCGAATGAATAAGCTGGCAGGTTTCTGTTAGACACAAATAACTATTGCTTACTTGAATATTATTAAGCATTCACAAACTACTTTTGGGAATGGGTTTTGGCTTTTAAATGAATTTGAATATTATTTATGTCTATTATTAAACCTTGACTATGAGTCTCAGGAGATATTTATTCGAGAAGCTCATTCGTACACACAAAGAAAAGCTTATCATGTAATCCGTTCTGATCAGATACTCATCATGTGTTAATTAACACATCTTCACTATCGCAGCACATATTGTTCAACAGCAGCAGCTCGCACCTAATTGGGAACGACCTGGAATCGCTTTAAATGTACATTCGATTTATCAATATAAAAACTTTAATTCGACAAATTATAGATAAACGTTTCATTAGGCCAAAAAGTCTCTTCTTGTTCAAGACTGAAACTTTTCGAGTAATTCTGACTTTCATTCTACCATCGCGCTTGTTTTTTGACCTCGAAATCTTTTAAATCTCACTTTGCTTGAGCTTAAACTTCTCAGACGTCATCAATAGATTAATTTTTCAAAAAAAAGTCATAATGAAAAATAACGTTTAAGTTAATGTTCTCACAAACCTCGCATAGCTAATTTGGTTAGCATGACTGCTGCTTCTTAAGAAAAAAAAAACACACCGAAACAAACTTCAATCACGGACAAATAAAAATCAAGTAAAAAAACTTTTGAAAAATAATATTTCTTTTCGTTAATCGCAAATAGTTTAAAAGGAAAAAAAATTCAAGAGAACTGCTCGGATCGTAGTTGTTGAGTCACGCGGACATTAGAAAAAATTAAATAGCGCGATCAAAATACAAAGTTCCTGGTAACGTTTCTTTCCTTCGAGACTAAAAACATCCAAATAAATGTTTTGATTTAGATTTTGGAAAAAAAAGAGTTTGATGATGAATGCGACAGAGTAAAAAATGTTTCCTTGAATTCCTACAAATTGTTATTGGCCGTTTAAAAAGTTTTGCAAGCTTTTTGTTTCTGATTGTTAACGATACATATACGATGCAAAAAGTAAGGAAAATATCGCTTTGAATAAATATTGCGGATCATTAAAGACCCTGAGTTCTAAAACCAAATTTGTCAAAAGAGTTTTCACGGTAATTTTTTTTCTGTACTTTTCAGATTCGAAATAAACTCAGCCTCGAAATGGACAAAAAGTTTTTTGAAGCATTGAGAGTTGGAATATAAAAAATCCCCACATAAAAAAAACTTCGAGAGAGATAATAAAGAGCTTTTTTTGTTTGTGATTCGATTAATTTTTTTTTATTCTGTTGAATCATTTTCAGAGAAGTGAAACAGGCAAAAGCAAAACAAAGCAATGCCAACAAACGGCGAAAATATTTCTGTGTGTGTATCAAGCAAAAAAAGAATTAATAATTTTCTGTGAAATGAATTTTTTTAATTTGAAAATATTGAGATAAAAACGCTCTTCCAAACAACGCAAAAAATTATCATTTTTTACATACAGTCACGAATGAAGCAAATAAAAATATTAAAAGTATGGAAAAAACCAAAACGCGAAGTTCCCGGAGAAATGACAAAAACAAACTAACTGTTTCTTAACTTTATGAGAATGATTTTTTTTATTTCTTAGTAATTGAGTGCAAGCGATAGATTTTGACATAATTCTTTATAAGCACTCATTACATATTGATCAGATAATGCTGCAAACTAAGCAAAGACAGTTGCAGCTTACATGATTCAATCAACGCTTTTTTACTTCAAAGCATTGCTGAATAAAATATTTTTTACTTTAAAAGTAATCAAATAACAGAAAAAAAAACTTTTGACCGAACAAAGCAACTCTAGATTCAAAATCGTGTTATTAATGCTTTTAATGTATTCGACAAATTAGTTTTTATTGCATAATGATTACATCATTAAGGATGTAACCATAATTTCTGCTGCTGCTTAGTTAAACTTTTTATGCAGAAGATGAATAATGTCGAGATGCAATTAGGAGCGAATTAAAAACCTCTCATGCCTTCCGAAGATTGAAAACTTATGGTGAAGAATTACAAACAAAAGTTTTCCAAGAATCTGAAATAAATCCCAAGATTCTGAGTTTGTTTTTATACTTTTCTTTAAGTAGTTTATGACACAAACTATGATACTCTAATTGTGAATCTATTTTTATTTACTTATTCTTAACTTCAAAAAGCAAAGTATCTAAAAAAATCAAATGATCGATCATGATGGAAACGATAAGATGAAAAAATCATTTGCTGTTCGACGTATATTAAATGATCGAGAAATATGATGAGGCTGTTTTGAATTTTAAAGTAACATTGAAATAATATTTTGACGTCAATTTATTTATTTTGCTTAAATCATCTTAGCAACAAAGACTTTGGAAACCACTTTTGATAGTCTAAACTAAACTTTGTGTTTCAACTTCATGAAGTATCTAAGTTAATATTTAAAAATTTAATTCAAGCTACTTTATAAGTAAGGAATAATCTCAACTTCATTCCAATGAACTTTATGAAAAATAAGAAGCTCAACATCGAGTTGGTTTGAGAGGAATAAAAAAAAAGATAGATAAGAAGAAATTAAATGCAAAAAAGAAGCAAATCATCATTGTTATCTACAAAAACTTTACATGATGTATTGTAATGTACATTAAATTCATGTTTGAAAAAGTACAAAGAAAATTTCTCGCCTAAGTGAATTGTACATGAGAGGTTTGCAATAATACGAAATAAGAAATATAACATAAGTAATAAAAAATATCGCAAACAACAAGAAGAATGGAAATTCGACGCCTACAAACAATCATTGATTTTTATGTACTTTTTCCTGCTTTTTCCTTTCTCTTTGCTGGCATTTATTTTCCTTTTTTCCGTTTTAATTTATATCTTTCTTCTTCACTTTTTTTTCTGGAAGTCTAAGACTTCCACATACACACACAACAAGAACACCACAATTTTTCCGCAACTTTTATTATTACCATTTTTTGTTCTTCATTTCTTATTTTTCTTTATTCTTCTGAATCATGAATTGTATGGATTTTATTTCTTTTGCTTTCGAGTATTTCTATTGTAAGTCGTTCATATGTAAGAAGGAAGGTTCAGGGTGAATCCGTTAATGATGATTTCTTTCCAAAATTTCTGGGAAATGATATTTGGCACTTATTTGATAAGGCAATGACATCATTAATATATTTTTCCGAGATGTTATTAACAACAACGTCAATTCGCAAAAAGTACCCAAAAAATCAATATGAGCTTAGAAGCGCAGTAAACAAAAACAAAAATTAGTTTCAGTGGTCAACGGAAGTGAAACATGTACAAACATTTTTGAGCATACATTTTCCTTTCTTAAGTTACATAACATAACAAATGTTGAAGAATATTCTCAAATTGCTATCAACAAAGGTAATTTTCTTGAACACTGATCTTCATCCCCCACGTAAGAAATTTAAGTATGTAGGAAAGAAAAACAAAAGAAATGAAAATGGAGAAAGCATTTTTATTTCTCTCCTGACATGATAAAGCAAAAAAAAAAACAATTTAATGTATCACGATAGCACTTTAAGGGACAAAATAAAAAATTTCACCATTTTTTTTGACCCCATTTGCGATTATTTCACGAACTTCTTGGAAATCCATAAAACTTTTGATTGTGGCGAAAAAAACAATGAAAAATACTATTTTGTTTTATCTCTCTATGTGTACTGTCGATGAGATATGACGTCATGTTAAGACTAAACTTCGTACATTTTCTGATACTTTACGTTATCACACAGCAGTATCGACAAGAAAATTCGTGGAATTTTTTTAAAAATAAGCGAAAATCTTTTTTTTTTCAAGATTACAATTAAACAAGTTCCTCTGATATAAAATACTTGTTCGTTTGAGCAAATAGACTTCGACTCTTACTAGAGCTTAATGAATTCTAAGAGAGCGATTTTATTTCTTGTCTTGTTTAATAAAAAATATAAAACAACATGAAATCTTTATAGCCACACGCGCAGTGTCTGACTTAAGATAAGTGAATAAAAGAAGTTATTTACAAAATTTTTTTTGCTACATTGTGTAATCAGATCTGCTCTTTTTTCAGCGAATTTTTAATGTAGCCTTAATCTTCCGAATTGAGGGCTCTTTTCGCATTCGTCTTTATCAAATTTGTGACAATTCGATACTTCATTTGTTTCATTTTTATTTATTTTCACTAAATTTTATTTTCTGTTTTCGTGTCTTTTGGCTTTTGCTTGCTTACCAAAAAAAATAATAAAGCCTTGATGGCGATGAATGTGTTAATTGTTTTTGCGAATTTTTTTGGAAAAATTGGTGTGAATCATGAGAAGATTTAATGGTCATTGGCCTTAATGGACTTGAAAAACACTGAAAACTGAATCAAAAAATAAAGTTGGATGTATGTATGTCGAATGCGTTCTCGTTTGTTTTCGAGTTTTGGTAAACTAAGAAAACAATGTGAATGTCTGACGTCAAAAGAACAAACAGAAAAAAAAAGTTTTCCGAAAAAAACTAAACACCCGAAGTTATGACGAAAAGTGATGTTTTTCTCTCATTCATTGTTGAATTTAGAAAAAATATCACGCATTGTGATATGACGATGAAATTCAGCGAATTATGAGTTTATTGTTGGTTTTCTTATTCTGACTCTTACAAAAATGAGTCATTTCGACAGATAGAAACTTTACGAACTACTCCGGAAATTCTATCGACTTTGTTTATAATTCGACTTGTTGGTTGTGAAAGCGAACTTTAAATTTCTTAGGAATTCTACGACTTTTTCAAAATCGCTGATTTAATGCGGTTGGCGATAAGAATTCTTCTAAATGTAATGACGCAGCTCAATTCCGTTGCTCGAGTTTCTTTAAAGCATCAAATTCAAAATGATCAACAACTCAATTTAGAATAATGATTTTTTTCATCAATGATGAAGCAAATTTTAGTTCCAAAAACTAATTCAAAAGCTAATATTTGAGGCTGTCTCCAGTAATTAAAAACTCGTAAGCATTTGTCTCCACTAAAGACAAAAAGATTTTGTTTTTTCCTTCACTCAAGCTTCAATGTCAAATCAAGAAAAGGAAACAATATCGAAAGAAATAAAAATATCTACACTTAGGAAAAGAAAAAAAAAACAACTTTAAATGTTATTGAAAAAAAAAAACTTTTATCGGCTGAACAATTATTTTAAAATTAATACATGGCAGTCTAGAAGGTCAGTAACATACACTGACTTTAAGATTATTCATCGCACAGTTACGTATCTCAATAACACTCAAAAGATTACAATTTTTTTACCTTCCCAAACGATTTTTTAAAATATTTATTTTAATAATTTATCGCTATAAAACAACTTCTTCAAAGTCATCTACAGCACATAGCAAAGAAAAAAAAACTGTTTACAATTTACTTTTTTTCTTCTTAACTTTACTTGAAAAGCTTTTTTTTTCTCGTTTCACATTCGAAATCTGAGAGTGCACTTTTTAGTATTTGCATGAGAATTGCATTTTTATTTGTAGATCTGTATATTTATTTTTCGTTCTTTTTAACTCCGACGATCGCAATAATTTCAACGAGAAAACAAAGAATGATACAAATATAATTTCGCATATTAATTAAATCGAGAGAACAAATGCAACAACAAGAAAGCTATATGAATATATTTTTATTCTCCAGAAAATCGCGAGCTGCCTTTTTTTTCGAAAAAAAGAAAAATAACGTTGTTCGTTCTTTTTTTCTACTTACAGCAACGAACCTTGAGTGGATATTTTTTACTGCTCAACACGAATCGCTGATTGTGTTGTTGCTATTTTATTTATTACTTTTTTGTCATTACTTTATTATTTTAATTTTTTTTCTCGTTGTTGTTGCTGGAAAATATACATGCTTAGAGTAAAGTTTTCTCAACGGTACAGTCGAGGTGATGCACCTCGAGGTGATGACGATTCGAATGGCTTATTGCTTGCTTCATCTGGAAACTGTGAATAGATCAGGAAAACAACATAAACAATTCCCGCGTTGAAGCCTTCACTGTATGCTATACCATATTTTTATTCTCTTTATTATTTTTTACGTATATCTATGTAGGTATACATGAAAAAAACAAAACTGAAAAAAGGCGCTGTGTTCAAGGTATTCAGATGTAATTTAATGAATTTTTTCTTTTGAATCAGAAAAATATATCTTTTTAGTGTTTCTTATAATTTTTTTAAATAAGAAGCATGATAATTGATTCAATGTAAACTGTCGAGTGCAAGAGAACGATAAAAATCAAGTAAAGCAAAAAAAAATGTCCTCAAATTAAACGAACTTTCAACTTGATGATAAGAAAACTGTGGTGAAATCATTTAAAAATTTAACAGGAAAAGACTTAAATATTTTTGAGTGGAACTTTTTATAAATAAGTACACCGCTTGGCACTCTAAGGCGATATAAAAAATTATTTAATAGCAATGACGTCGATAAACCGCTAATCATTGTCTACAAAACGAAATATTTTTATACATAAAAACTATTTTCTTATTGTTTTTCCTTCGCCGAGGTCTCTTTACTTCGTTCTTCGTACTTATGTCTTTATCTTTCTCATTCTTCGTGCGTTCGTATAAAAACTGTCATTTTTTTCAACTTTTTTTATAAGAACTCAACCTTGAGTTGCGACAGAACATTTTCCTAAAGCAACAGCAAGTAACTTTGTTTATGACGGTGAACAAAAAGAGAAAGAAAAAAAATCTGTTTCAACTTACGTTTTATTTCTTATATTCGTTTTCCGCCTTTTTTCACTTCAGAATTGTACGATGTAAAAAGCCAGCAATTATTTTTCTTGAAAATGTTGAAAATTATTTCTAATGGTACGAAGGCTTGAAATTATTACTTCAATGTTTCTTTCTTTATATAGAAATTCTTCTTCACTGTTCTTTTTCTTCGTGTCTGTCTTTAATGTTGTTTTCTTTGGAATTTTTAATTCAATACATCAGAGAAAAAAAGTTGATTACTCACTCAGAAATTGTGTTTAAATATTTAGATATTTATTTTAATATTTTATATTTTTTGGAGAAAGAATGAAAAAACACAAAGAACGATTGTTGAATGTTTCACTTGTGAATGATGGTCGTCTCTTAAAATTAAGTTTTGATCAATTGAAGAATTTCACGTTTGTTACACATTTGTTCCAGTCTTTAACACTGTTTTTATATTTCTGGTTTTATTGATACTCAATCACGCACATTTAGTTTGAGTGGTTGGTTTTTCTTCAATGTGACCACAAGAAAAAATCTACCATGCCGTACAAAACTCGAAAATTTACGACTTTTCTTTTTTATTTTGCTTTTCCACACAATCTTCATAAAATATGTATTTTTTTTCTCTTATTTTTACTGTATTAATACTCAAGGAAGGGAAACAAAAACACTTTTTTTTTGTTATTGAAGCAAAGCAAAAAATATAATGCGGAGAAACTCTCAGACGTCTTGCTCGCTCGACGACAGAAGTACAAATACACACCGTGAGCTGCTTATTTTGTTTTGTGAAGTGAAGAAAAAAATTGAATGAAATTTCCTGTGATAAAAAAAAATTGAATGAAGACGAAAAAAAATTCTCTCTCTCGTCTGTGAAGTCTCATTCGGTTCTCCTATGTACATCAAGTCTCTATTACTTTTAAGGCAAACCAGTTGGAAATTTCTAACGAAAACACTTTTTTACGTTTATGATAACATCATTTTTTAAAGAAGAAGAAAAGTAAAACAGCAAACTCTTTCCAAGAGATGGGAAATGATTCAATTTCTCCAAATGATACCTTACTGGGTGATGATTTAAATCTCTCATTTCTCTCACTAACGTAAAGCTTTTTTTGCCATGTGATTTTCAATGTTTCGACATGAAGGCAAGTTTTGGGAGAGAATTTAATGTTGATCACATTTGCTGAAATCGAAACTGAAACTCCCGACAACATAGTAATGATGACGATTGTTTGTTATTGTTTTGCTTCTTGTTGCAGGCATTCCACATGACTTTGGTTGTTTTCGCACTCTCTCGCTTTTCGTTATATATGACACATAGATATTTTATACTGTTTCATTACAATATCATTGACGCAACGTGTTGAAAAACCGTTAATATCTTGCTCGTTCCTTGAACATCAACTCAGAAAAAAGTGGAATGAAAAAATAGACACAAAAAACCTTTTTTATCTCGCTAATGTCTTTTTTTTTCAGAATGAGGGTGGAAAATAAAAAATACGTCGTTCCCATTCCACTTTTATATTCACTGCTGTGTTTTTTCCTTCCATAATGAATACGCTCGAAAAAAAAGCTCATTTTCCATCTCAGCACAAAATATTTTTTATCAAAAAAAAGCAGAGGAAAAAAACTATGAATTGTTGTTGGTATATCTAGTGAATTTTTTTTCGTATTTTTCTCGAGAAAAGCAACTGAAAAATATAACAATGAGCGGCAAAAAATTCTCCGCTTGCGCAATTCAATCGCAAAAGAATTTGTCGGTTTTCTTTTTTTTTCTTCTTTTTTGAAAAAAATAGAACACAATGTGGAAAGCTAGCTAAGTAGTCGATGGTTAATGGACTATAGGTGAAAAGACCCTGTATGTGTAGTGGAAATTATGTTTTCGAAAATTGATGAATTGAAAGAGAAGTTGTGATTCATTTAGTTTTGAAATGTTCTCAATATCACCACATGATATTTTTAAGTTCTCAGCATAATTTCGAAACAATCATAGATTTGTAAGTTTCAACTTTAAAGAAAAAAACTTAATTTAATTCTCTAAATAATCATTGATCGTCCCATTCTCTATCATTTCTCCTTGGAGTCTTTTTTTTCTTTTGCCTTTCTTTTCTCTAATTTTTTTATTCTTCTATTTCAGATACTCGCGCAAGCATCAGAAAATGTGGAAGAATAAAAAAATATTTCCATTGTTCAGCTAAGCGAACGAATTTTCTCTTGGATTTTAATGTTTTCAAGAAAAAAAAAATTTCTCGGCAAGGCAAAAAAGATTCATCCATGCTGGCGTTTTTTTTCATACTTTATGCTTTGGCAAAATTAAAAATATTACATGCAATAAAATGAGAATTTTCTCAATTTGCGGATGTGACACGAAAAAAAATTGTTTGTGAAGAACAGAGGATGAATGATGGAAATCAGAATGTCACGCGATGAATTTTTTTCATCATGGCTTGTAAGACGGAATGAAAAAGAAAGAAAAAACTTTCACTCAGTACATAAATGGATAAGAGATTGTTTTTTAGGTAGAATAAAATCGTAGCAAATGAAGGAAACCGTTGATAATACAATACTTAATCTTTTTCGTGCTTTCATTTCTTTCCTCAACCCTATTTGAAATATTTTCTACCTCTTTTGGTTTCATAAGTTTTAGATATTTATGGAAAAAATGACTTGCTAAAAAAAAGAAAAATTTCTAATGATGGTAACGAACAGGACGAAATGCAAGAGTGAAAAAGTCCATTTGTAAAATTAAAACTCAGTTTTGTTTCGAATGTTTGTAAAGACAAAGCAAAACATGAAATAAATATTTCAACGTTCGTTCTAGGAATGACTTCGAGCACAAACTTTTTTTGATTAATTATGAACGTTTTAAGTGAATGTTACTTAATCGAAATGAATTTAGAAGATGAGAAGCCGAAGGTAGGTATGTATATTCATTGAAAAGCTTTCAAATGGACTACGAAAGGTCTTTCTGCAATATAAAATTACAACTTTTCGCGAAGGGAAGGCAGATAAAAAAACCTTTTTTATGTCCACAACGAGCGCCTTTTTCAGGATCAGTTGATTGGAAAATTCGCTGACCCTTTCTCTGAAAATTTACATTTTTTATGTTCCACTTGTCGTTGTGCAAAAACGAAAGAAAAAAGTACTTTTTTAGGTTTCTCTCCTTCCCTTGATTGGTGTCTATTGCCTACTGGTCCGCAATGCTGATATAAACAAGAATTGAAATTTCTTCTTCGTCGTTGTCCTCTGAACTTTGTTTGAAAATAAAATAAAAAAATGGGAAATTTCGGAACGTAAAGGACTAAACAGTCAGAAAAACATCGCTTATCGATTTTGCTATATTAATAAAAAAAAATATTCAAAATATCATCCGATTTTTTTCTGGCATAAAAGTGGAAAAATAAATTTACTCATCTCTGTTTTTTTCCGATCCGCCTTGTTCAATCTTTTTTTTTTCGTTACGTTTTCTACTCTAAAAAAACAAATAATTTTTACATAGATATCGAGGTACATAAGCATATTTATGTAGAATACAGTAAATATCTTTGAATAGCTGTCAAGGGACTTTTCACTGAAAAGTATCTGCTTATAAAGTATCGGGAAATTTATTGTAACTAAATAAAATTTCACTTGATTTTAATAGACCTTCTGATCTAACTTCTGAGAACTCACGGTGGACAACAAGTCGTTTATTTTCAGTTCTCAAATGATTTCTGAAAAAAATTATAAAACGTACCTAACAAAAAAAAATTTATCATAAAATAACAGATGAAAAATTAAAGAGAGTGACGAGGGTGGGCGAAAGGAGGATTTTTTTATTTTTTGCGTTTCCGCCTTGGGTCTCCTTTTCAACATTTTACGAAATGGTTTTTTATAAATTTTCATAAAAATTATCTGGAAGAGAAAAGAGCGTGAAAAAAATGTGAATTATGAATCATATTTTATGTCGTTATATTTTGTTGAACGCGTTTTTCTACTAAAAAATGAAAAATGTTTCGACTGTTTTTTGTTATCAGTTGAAATATTTGAGTTTTTCTTTCTTTTTTCTTGGTGAATCACCCAAAAATGGGATGAGTCAGGTAGGGCTCATCTTAAGACTACGCAGATCTCTCTTGCCTATTTTTTTTTGAAAATATTTTTACGCATCGTGAATTTTCTAGGAAGGATGAATTTAATAAAAAAGAAGTTCGCATTGTTATGTTATACAAGTTTTCATGTCAGAAATTTAAATAAAAAATGTTTCAAGATGGACAGGTAAAATAATAATTTTAAAACTCATACATTTTCAATTTTATCTTGATGAATGACATCCCAAATTAAAATATGTGAAATAAATATTAATACATTCCATACGAAGCAAAGAAAAGAGAACTTGCCTTGGGATCAAAGAATATTTTAAGGATTAATATAAAAATTTTCAGATTCAGGACATTTCGATTTTTTTTATATTTGCTTTCATCCCCAAGGATAAGCGCCTCTGGAAAATCAAACATAGAACATTGTCCACGTCTATTGCAAGACAGTTGAAAAATTCATTCTTTCTTTGCTCAGCAATAACTCAAAGCTTTGACTTCAAAAGAAATTCAAGTTATTGTGAAATGTTTTCCGCTCAAGAAGTCTTTAAGAGAATGTCTATTAAAGAAAAAAAAAGAACTTCAAAGAAGTGTCAAGAATATTTACATAACTTTTTCATCGATCTTACAACCCCTGCCATGACGAATGAAATAATTTTTAAAATTAACACGCATAAATGGAAAGAGATTACGAAACAGTATTATCCAACAGAACTCGTAATAATCTCACGTGTAATTTCTTTCTCTAAAACTTGTGATCACTTAGCTGCTTTTTGTCGAAAATGTCATCCAATGGAAAATTATTATTCCGTTTTTTGCACCCCGCAAACCGAACATGACATTTTAAAAAATTTCTTCCCTAATTTTATTAATGCTTTCATGAATTTTTTTTTGGTCATTTAACAGAGGAATGAAAGAAAAAAGTTTTCCTTATGGAAAATTCCCTCTAAATTCAACTCCTGTCTTTGTGAATCAGGCAATTCCGTTGCGCTGCATGAAAGCATATTTTCCCATTTTTTATTTCTTCTTTTAATCCCCATACCAAGTTGTCTTTTCTGCCCTTTCTCTTTTTTTTTCGTGTCTTCATCGTCTCTTCTTTCAAGCACATCACTCACCCAATTTGTTGCCTTCCCGTCCACCCACATTTCTTTTAATAGAAAAATTATCATCCTCAGATTCTCGTTTCGCTTTTTCTTTGTACCATTTTTCAAAATGTATATTTTTGAAATTTATTCTTTCTTTTTGCTTCGTTGCTCTTACGCTGTAGTCAAGCTGAATTTAGATATACAATTTTTTCTGCCTTCATTTCACTGTAAGCTCTCATCATTTAGATCACTTTTGAAAGATGAAAATAAGGAAAACTGGCGAGTACCAGGAAAGGGAATATTTTTTCCGTTTCTTTTTATTTCTATATTCTTTCATTTATTTCTTCTGCCTCTGTTGACGTCTTTCTGAGTAAAAAAAACATGAAAAACAAATTTTTCCTTTTCAGAATGAAAAAAAAATTCTACATAATCGTGCCTTAAGAGAAGAAAAGATGTTTGAGAATTGACCTGACTTCCCACTTATCAGAGTTTTTAGAATTTTAAAATCCGTCTTCACTGAGCGGTAGCGACTACAAGTTCAAGTCCTTTTCTACTTAGTATGATTCAATGGGGTTGCTTTTCCTTTTTTTATGTTCTTCTGAGACTTTCCTTTTATACCTCGAAGTTTTCAATCGAAAGGAGGAAAAAATGGTTGTTTTCCTCACTGGGAATCGTTCACAAATTAAGGATAGATTTAAAAAATGCTCCAAGATATTTGATATGAAACCCACCTTTTCTTGAAAGGAAAATTTCATCAACTTCATTTGTTTCTTCTCCAAGAAAAATGTAAACAAAAAGATTTTAATTTGTTTATCCTCAATCGAGTTACAGTATAAAAATGTTTTAGGTAGATAGTAGCGAATGCTAATTGTTTTTCTTTTTGTGAAAAATGAGAAAAAAAATTCCGAACATCTTTGTTCATTATATTTTAAATTTCAAAGAACATCCAAGAAAAATGAAAGGTCAGGTCAACATTTTTAATCTTAAATTCAATTGAATTCTTGAAAATAGTAAATAGCGAACACGTTTTCCGAGAATTCCTAGGTAAATAGTATTTATAAAGAAAACGTTTATGTTTTTGGATATTGTGTCCATTAGATACGAATACGTTATTATGTCACTAATTTTAATTAAACTTTTCTCCTTTAAAAGGAGAGTAATTTGTTAATAATACCTAGTTAAGTTAAAATTCAACTTTTATAGAATTAACATCAAAATAATAAAAGTATAATGTTATGACATGTTATGGGCCTCCACTGAAGTTATCTAATCATAAACGATGATTCTCTATTAGATATCATTAAAGTTGAATAGCTTTAAAGAACCGTTACAACCTGTTGTAGAAGAAATTTAAAAACCATTTACTGAAACCCTGCATGAAAAGAACCAAATTGGTAGATAATCGGTAGATTTCAACCACATGACTTCGAGTTTTTTAAAGATAAAAGACAAAAACAATAAACTTTAAAAGATCCAATCAATCGAACTTTAAAATGTCTCAAATAAGCTACGAAAGTCTTCCGGAATATGAAAAACTGGCAACTTGTCCTTTTAACCGAGCACATCAAGTTGTTCAACATCGGTAAGAATATTTTTGATAATGCGTAGAATTATTGTTTATTTCTAATACATTTCAGTATGCATATTCATATTATAAAGTGTCGCCGTTCACATTCTACTGCAGGAACAAAGGAATGTAATTACAATGTTACTCATATTTTTCCTATTAATGAAATAGCTGTAAGTAACGAATTTACATTTGAGGTTATAACGAAGTTTGACATAATTTATTTAAAGGAACATGAAGCTAACTGTCCAGATCGTGTGAATCTGGAATTATTGTTGATGAAAAGCAAAAATGCAGAAAAAATCGAAATTTCTTCATATTCTGAGAAGAAAACATCAGAGACGGATGATGATGACATGTGGGATCTCTCGGTAAGTTATTATTTTTTTTATTAAAGTTACTTCTCAAACTATATTTTCTTTGTTTATGAATAGATTGATCACCCATCGTATAATCCAAAAAAACATGCACTTAATTCGAATGTTCTGATTAACATTCAACATGGCACGCCATCACAAATGAAAGCCTGGCGCAAGAAAGAAAAGATTCGCTTGCAAAATATTCGAATGAAGGTCGCTCAAGATGAGGACTTCGATTTCAATGATTCGAAATAAGTTTAAAGAAACAAGGAAGAAGATACCTAAAATAAGTTAACATTTTCTCTTCAAAAAATTTCATCTTAATCTTAAAAATTCTCATTCTTTTTATTCTTCAAACTCACATTTAATTCAAAAACTCTTTGAAGAAATGAAGGTATCTATTCTGGCAATATGTAAAGCCATTAAAGAACCCTTTATACTGTAACTGCTGTTACCCTGGTCAAAACTTCAAAAATGTTGAAAATAAATTTCCAAAAAGATTTTCTTTTTCAACCCTTTTTTCTATTTCCGTCTTTCTTGATTCACTTTCTTTTCATCACACCCACTCGACCTTATTTGATTGACCAAAAGAAAAGAAGAGAAAAAAAAGAAATCGTATTACGCAAATAATGTTCAATGAATGGAATCTTCTAAACAGAGAGGAAGGGTGAAAATACAATTGAGATCAAGTGTTGAGATTGGGTTGGTTGTCCGTTCTCACTCAAAGGGAAATCGTTGTCTTCGTTGAAGGTTGCAAATCGAATTATATTTACTTGTTTATGTGTATATACGAAGTTATTTTTATTTCCTCAAATCTATTGAAGCAAAAAAGTTTTAAATTACATTAGAAAAAAAGAGCTCGAAGACATTCTGTGGTAACACTAACAGCGTTTAAAATTTATAACAAAGTTAGAATCATTTTAATGCAGCACAAGCTTTACGAGCAGCATCATCAAGATCAGATGCTGTTAAAATATTTAGTCCCGAATCTTTCAATATTTTTCGAGCAGCTTCCACATTATTTCCTTCTAAACGTACAATTAGTGGAACTGAAAGATTGATTGATTGAGTTGCCTTCACAATTCCATTTGCAATTGTTGCACAATTGACAATGCCTCCAAAAACATTGACAAGAATAGCTTTTACATTCTGGTCACTGGTGATAATTTGGAAAGCTTTCAACACTTGATCTTCTTTAACATTACCGCCGACATCAAGAAAATTTGCAGGAGCTCCTTTGTTAAGTTTAATAATGTCCATTGTTGCCATTGCAAGTCCAGCACCGTTCACCATGCATCCAATATTTCCACCATCCATTGAAATGTAATTAAGATTGTATTTGCTTGCTTCAACTTCTTTTGGATCACTTTCTGACGTGTCTTCCATTTCAAAGATTTTCTTCTGTCTGAATTGAGCGTTGTCATCAAAATTCAACTTTGCATCAACTGAAATAACGCGACCATCATCAGTCTCAGCCAAAGGATTAATTTCAATCTGAACAGCATCTACTTTTTCAAAAAGTTCATAAAGTTTTTCAATTTCATGTGCTGCTTTCTCAACTAAAGCTCCTTTGAAACCCAAAAATTCTGCCAACTCCAAAGCAATAGAGTGAGAAAGACCTTTTGCTGGATCAATTGAAACTGTTTTCAATTTCTCAGGCGTTTCTTTAGCAACTTGCTCAATGTCCATTCCACCAGCTTCTGAAGCAATCAACACAGGTCCATTATGTTCTCTATCCAACAAAATGCAGAAATATGTTTCACGAACAATGTTAATAGAATCAGCTACCATGACTTTTTTAACTTCAATTCCACTTTCGGGTGTTTGTTTTGTGATAAGACGATGACCTAACATTTTATCAGCCAATTCAAGTGCTTCACTTTTATCTTTGGTCAAATGAACACCGCCTTTAAATCCATTATCGAAATGTCCTTTACCGCGTCCTCCAGCAAGGATTTGAGCTTTCACAACATACTCTTTAACATCTAAAATTTTAAAATGGAAACAATTTAGCTATACCAATTAAAAATCAATTATAAAGCAACTTACTGAAATCTTGCAAGACTCCTTCATCGTTCTTAGATTCTAACACTCTGAATTTCTGAATGGCAACACCTGCTTCATCTAGAAGTTTTTTGCTTTGATATTCTAATAAGTTGAGATTTCGAACTGAAGAAAGAATAATCTATAATTAAGAGAATGTTTAAATTAATTTCGGCATTTTTGGTTATGATGTTTGAACTTTGATCAGACAGTCTTTTAATCTTTCAGATTATAATTTCGCACTGATCAATTTCTTTATCAAAAGATTTCATTAATACACTTGCATTATTTACAGATTTAAACTTGTAGTTCAATCGTCTTAATATCAGACTCGACATTTTCCAAGTGACAGATAAAAATTCTCAAATTTAGATAAAAGTCACGATTTTCTTTAATAATGAGATGTGAAATGATTTCACTGATTTATTTTCTCGTAATTGATGTAAAATTTTGCAGAAATATTGAGTGATAAACAGTTTATTCTTCCAAAAACATGACAAATGAAACTTTTTATGTTTACAAAGTTGTAAAGTTATTGTCACGTATTAAAATGATAAGCGCATGTCACACACAAGTGTTGTGTTGCGTGGCGTATGTTGTCGCGCAACAAAGTGTCATAATGTTCAAAGCATGCAACAATTCATCATATTTGACATCGCCAAGGATATTCTTAAAGAATGCTTGCATACGAAAATATCCACACAGGTAATTACATAAAAGGTATGCAAAAACTGCAAAAGTTTTTCCTTATTAACTTCTTAATTAGACGCTTTTTAAATAGAATGTTTCTTAAGATATATACATTTTTATCTCCCCCATCGATTTGCTGCACTAAAGAATATGAGATCAGTAACACAAACTTCAGAGAAAAGAGTTGATGATGATGCATCACAGACAATTTCAGCAATTCCTGATGACTTCTTCGATTCTAAAGTGGAACTCATTGAACCAATAAGCCAAGTTCAACAGTTTCCACTGCCAATGAAACCGAAGATAAAAATCAAACAGTCACTTCCAGAATGGTTCTTTGATGATCCAGTTAAAGACACCAAACCGCAACATGTTAAAGTATTTAAGATCTCCTTTCCAATTCAAACTTTTAAAATCTTTTTGTTTCAAAATCTCTACTTTCAAAATCTTTATTTTCACACCATAAAATCTCTAATGATATAAATACCTAATTAAAAAATAAAAACATCAGAAGAGAGGGATTTTACCAATTATAGATAAGAACCTGTTTCAATTCTCTAACTTTCTATATTTCTTCTTGGAAACAAGTTTTTAGTCTATTTTTTGTCGTCGTTTTCGAAAAGAAATAAAACATTTTATAAGAACAAAAAAAACTTTCTGTTTGTTTCATATTGAGTCAAATATTGAGTGAAATGAAGTTAAAGTATTTTGTGATTATGCTTGTTTCACTAACTGGTAAATACATTTATAATACTTTTAATATATCTATGTGAAAGATTTAATGTTAATATTTAACTTTTGAACATATATATAGTTAACATTCTTAGTGGGAATGCAAGGGAAATAAAATTCACTGATCAATGGAGAGATGAGAATTATTTGCCAAGTGAATTTGATAACATCAATTTTCAAACAAACATTCATAATAATAAAAAATTACAATTCCATTTGCCCTTCTCTTATCATTATCCTTCGGTTAATTGGCATCATCCTGAAAATTTGGATATAGTTGATAAGCATAAAGGCAAATGGCCGTTTTCAAATTTATTTGGATTTATATTTGGAGGTTCCGGAGTTCAAAATGAAGATGCATCTACAACGGTATCAACATTAGCCACTCCTACATCAACAACTTCGACAACGACAACTACAACAACTGAAATTCCTCCATTTAGAACCGCTGTAGGTGTGAGAACTCGAAGGCCAACAAAATATAAAAAAAATTGTGAATGCTCAAAAGTCATTAAAATTGAAGATTAAAGAAGTTTTTGAATATTTAAACTTTTAAGTTGAAAAATGGATTATTTTAAAAAGATTTTATAAAATAAATTAGTTGCATTGGATGGCAATTTCATCAGCAATCCAGAAGAAAGTTCTTATTTCGTCTTCATTTGATGGTCTGACATGTGGCTGGGATTCAATTAGAGATTCTCGAATTTTCTTCATTCGATTACAGTTGATTTGTAACGCTTGTACAATGTCAATCATTGGTGATGGATAATCTTGGCCAATTATACATTCAATGTCCTCTTGAATATCAATTGGCGCTCGCCAGGGTTCATGAATATATTTCATAGGAAAATTACGTAATTCCGGAACATATCGCTTGATATATTCGCCTTTCGGATCCAACCGATGTGCCAAAGAAATTATGCTGCATCTTGATGAGTCAAGAAGAGTTTCAAAAGCACTTGATGACACCCACATCCAATTTCCACCACAAATTGGTAAGTCAGCATCTAACAGATACTTCAAAAAATGTTGCAAACCAACTTCCCATGATATCCACAACCCAGTTCGAGTCAAGAATCTTCAAAAGATAATTTACATAATTTAATAAATCGTGTTGAAAAAGGAAGAAAATTTACTTACGTTGCTGTAAGATTTCGCAATGTATGATGAAGCCAACCTTCAGCCTTAATAACCGATGTGTGAGATTAGTATTTTTAAAAAAAATTCCAGTCAAATTATCAAAAAAAAATGACATACCAAAAGTTGTCTCATTGAAGCGTCGATTATTGGAACTCCTGTTCTCCCTTGCTTCCATTTCAATATTTCATCTTCTTCTGAGGATTTCCATGGAATATTCAAACAAATTGGATTATTTTTTATTTGTCCGTAGTATGGATTATTTATCGACATGGTGTAAAAATATTCACGCCACATTAATTGACCAGTAATATGATGTCCACCAGGAAGTTTGTAAACCATTTTGTCCTGAACTTCATTGAATTTGTCATGAATTGTGTAATAAAATCTTCGAACTGATAGACAACCAAATCGAAGTGCTGCAGACATTGATTTCGGTGAACCCATAAGATCAACATTTGCTTGATTTGGAAGATAAGTTCCACTTGCGAATGCTTCTTCTTCATGTTTCACACGATCAATCATCTGTTCAAGCGCATGACGTTCGCCTCCATTCCAATTAACGTACACGTCTGAACCAGTATTTTCAGGAAATATTAAAAAATCTTCAGGGCTCGGAATCTGTTTAAAGGACAAATATTTAATGATTTTTTTCTTTATCAAACATCGTTAAACTTCTCACAGATTTCATCAAACGAAGATTGATTTTATGATGTTCGGGAATTGTGCCAAAATTGACTTGAGAAAAATCAACTTCATTGTTCACTGGTCTGGGCGGCAATCCAAGAACATTGACAGTGTGTAGCAACATTTGATATGTTAATGGTGCAAATCCTCCATTAATTCTTATAATATCTTCAGGATTCCACAAAGTATGAGAAACTTTTTCAACAACTTCAATTCCAAGCTCTCGACTTAAATATTTAATCTCATTGTCACGTTCATTGTACTCGCAATCTTGCTCAAAGCAGATTTTATTTATTCCAATATTATCATGCAAATTTTGGAATATTTCAGTAGGTTTTCCTTGAAATATAAAAAGTCCAGGTGCGCCAAGTTGCTTGAATTGTTCATCTAAATCCAGCAATGATTCTAGAAGAAACTTCATACGATTGTAGCCAACATCCTTTGTACCTGAATATGACAGGTTTAAATTAATTTATTTCTCAATTCAACCCCTTAAAAAGTAAACACATGACAGTCGAATGTAAAAATCCTTCAACTTTTCAAAGTGTCACGTGTTTTTTTTAATACAGTAATCACGTTTTCCATTTAATCCATTTCAATTCAACTTTTGCGAAATAACGATCATATTTAAATGGCAGAAGTATTATTAACAATTCAGAAAAATATGTTATTATGTATAGTTCACCTGCGCTTTCACCATCGAATATGAACACTGGATAAAAAGTGACTTGTCGTCGACCATCATCAGTGTTTATCGCTTCTATCAAAGCAGGATTATCATGCAGCCGAAGCCCTTGACGAAACCATAAAACACTCTTAGTCATTTTTAAAAGAATTTAAATAAATATTTATTTATATCCAAACTTTTCGATTATTTTCCTTTAACTTCATTCCACTCCGCTCCACTCCGAACAAGAATCAAACGTAGACTGAAATTTTACATGAAGTTTCAGTTGTATTTATACTGATGGGAATCCCTAAAACATCCTTACGTCATTATACACAAAAATGAAATTTGTTGATTTTTATTGAAATGTAAGCAAAAAGTTTTTTTACAATTGTTTTTCGTTTCATTGTTTTCGTTTTTGATTTAATTTGAATAGGTTTTCAAAGTGTTTTAAATAAAATATGGAAACCTATGAAAACTGAGTGACTTAACATTGCCTTAAACTTCTATGTTATTTAATTTGCTGTTTTATGATAGAAAAACTACAATTAATTTAAATCGGAAAATTAAGTCATAAAATATGTAAAGAGAAATATGAAACATATGTTTTCGTTTGCTTTATTTCTTTCATTTCAAATCGAAATGCTGATCTCATTCTAATATCAATTTCTAATTTATTAAGATTTTTAACATGTAGTCTCTAAAAGTCTAAGAATCTCAAATGCAATTATCGTTTAATGTTTTTATGTTTTACTCACAACTTTTCCTTAAACATAAAAACTAATAAATCTTTAGCGAACATGAAAACTAAAGAAATATAAAAATCATTAAAATATATTTTCTTTGCCATATAAAAAATAGTTTTATGAAATAAAAATAAAATAATTTAAGTCTCTCTTCTAAGAAGCAGTTAAAGTTCATAAATATCGATCTAAAATTCATTGTGGAAATTTTCAACCAAGCTGATGAATTTTGATGTCATAAACAGATCTTGTTTATTGAGCATTTCATCAAGAGAAAGTTTTTTATCTTTATTTAAGTCAGATAAGTTAAAAAGAGTGGCAGCTTCTTGTATAGCATAGCGGGAATTCCGTGGATCTACAAATTGCAATAACTCAGCACGATCCGCCTAAATCATTCACAGATTAATTAAATAATTTACATGTGTCAATGCAGTTATTTCAACTCACCTTTCCGTCATTATTTTTATCGATAAGTTTTTTGAATTCCGCTCGACGCTCATCAATGTTGTCACTCAAAAAAAGTTTTTTATTATCGGCAGATGAACTGTAACTGTTTGTGAATTCATCAGCCGTCAACATGTCATCGCCATCGTTATCAAAATGTCTTAAAATGTCTTCTACAAGATTAAGAAGATTTGAAGTTGATGCTTCAGGATGTTGAAAAGCAAGAAACTCATCAAGTGTTAGACTTGCTGGATCTGAAGCCAAAACTTCAGCCCATCTCGCCTTGTCTCTCATCAAAGCCTCTTTTGACTTTCGGTCGAGCTTCAAATGTTTAGTTTCATCATGATTGGAAATGTAATTTTCGTCAAGACTAAGTTTGAGATTCTTTAAAAAGTAAGAATGGTATTCGTTCCACGACACTAGACCATCAATTGGCAACTTATCAATTTCAGAGAATATTTGAGGGTTCTGTTTAATAGACGTGTCAATGTGATCACATACTTTCAAATTAATATACTTTGCAAGTTCACGAATTGTCAGAAATCCGTCAGAATTCGCATCAGCTTTACGAAACGCAAATTTTATGACATTTGTGGCATCTGAGTTATCGACTAGTTCCATAGGTTCTTGAAAGACCTCTTTTAAATTATTATCGCCATGAAACACACGATTGAGTTCACCAATGTCTTGTTCTTCAGATGATTCATTTGATCCTGATTCAATTGTCTGAGTTTTTTGACTTGACGAACTTTTTGTTCCATTTGGAAAAGTCACACTTAACATGAATGTAATGAAAATTATGTAGATCACTATCGGTATCCATGTTGATGGCGGTAGCTTACACTTACTAGACCTGAACCTTCTTGTCAACTTTGTTAATATCATTTTAGAAACTTTCATGACAAAACAAAGTCGACGACTCTTCCATTGCTGTTTACTTAATTGACTTAATATGTCTTAACGAATGACTTAAAACAACATTCAATTTTTATTTGTTATTGGATAGAAAATGTAGAATTTAATTAAGCTTTAACAGCCTAATAAATCTTTAAAATTTCTCTGAATTTCTCGTAAATACGAGAGAAAAAATATAAACAAATCCCCTCGGTAAGTCCCTTCAAAACCTACGCGGCTAGTTGACTGAAAATAAAAACAATTTCATAAATAAATTAAATCCTTCAAGTTTTAAGAAAAAATTCCAAATATCGAGTTCATGACGCTCGCTTAAATGTCAATTTTGGTTTCACTGTGCTTATTAAAAATCGAAATTGTTCGCGATATGAGTACTGAAGCTGGTAAGTATAAAAAAAAGTGCAACAATTATAAATATTTTCTTTGTTCTATTTATTTACGACGAAATTATTTATTTTTTATTAATTTTACAGAATCATCAACCCAAGAAGAGGCAGCTTCTTCGCAACAAACAAATCCTCGATTTGTAAAAGATCTTCGAGGTCAAAGAGAACCAAAGAAGATTCAGATTGAGACTTATGCCAATGTCGTTTCATTTGATGAAATAGAAGTAAGTGAAAAAGGAGTTTTACCGAAAAGTTCTCGTGAACAAACGCCACTTGAAGATTCTGCTGCTATTCCAGAAGTTCCCGGTGAAATCAATTTCTTCTCAGGAAATCCATTTGTTGAACAAACCACAGGAATTCTTCATTTATACAAGAACAAGTGAGTCATTTATCTTTCATCATTTTGGACATTTTTAATTACTAAGCATTTTTCTAGTGAGCTGAACAGCATTCAAGATGGCCTTTCGAAAACAATTTGTTTATTAGCTGTTCCATCAACACTTAACTGTCATGATATTTTGAGCTTTATTGCGCCATGTCACCCAGAAATAACTCACGTCAGAATTATCAGAGACGGCACACCGAATCAGTTTATGGTGATTTTAGAATTCCGAGCAGTTGAGTCAGCTTACGAGTTTTACAAAACTTACAATGGTGCGCCTTATAATAGTTTTGAGCCTGATCAAGTCTGTCATGCATTGTGGGTGTCGGCAATAGCTTGGGGAAACGATGGAACTCCACCACAAAATCATACCGAATTACCAACTTGTCCTGTTTGTTTAGAACGAATGGATGAAAGTGTTGATGGTGTTTTGACTATTTTATGTAATCACACTTTTCATTCAGGTTGTTTAGTAAAGTGGGGGGATTCAACATGTCCAATTTGTCGGTATGTTCAAACTCCTGAACTTACAGAAAGTTCAGTTTGCATGGAATGCGAAGGGACAGAGACTTTATGGATTTGTTTGATTTGTGGTCATGTTGGATGTGGAAGATATCAAGGTGGACATGCAGCGAATCATCATCGTAGCACAAACCATACTTACGCTTTACAGATTGGAACAAATCGAGTGTGGGATTATGCAGGAGACAATTTCGTTCATCGATTACTTCAAAATAAAACTGATGGTAAACTCGTTGCAACAAACTCACCTGGAAATGAAGACGAGGAAAAAATTGATTCAATGCAGTTAGAATTTACTTATTTGTTGACATCTCAACTTGATACTCAACGACAGCATTACGAAGAAAGACTTTCTAGGATTGAAGCAGCAATGGCTGTTGATAAGAAAAGTATTTTAAAAGAAACAGAAAAAATTCGACACGACAGTGCTCAGATCGAACAAAAGTTAAATGGTGTGATAAAAGAGAAACAGAATCTTGAGAAAAAGTTGGCAGCAATGAATACAAGATTGACGACAGTTTTGAAAGAACTTGCTGAAGAGAAACAGTTTTCAAAGACACTTCAACTTAATCATACATCATGGCAGACTAAGTATGGAACTCTTGAGAAACTCTGCAAAGAAAAGGAACAGGAAGTCATTGAACTAAAGGAACAAGTCAGAGATTTGATGTTTTATATGGAAGCCCAAAATACGATCTCAAATTCAGATATGAAGGATGAAATTGCTGAGGGAACTGTTACAATGGGCGATGAAAGTTCCTCAAATAAAAGCAAAAATCGAAGAAAAAAGAAATAAATTTTGTGATTTGTCTCCCCAATAAAATAATATTCAGTTTATTCTTAAAGTAAATAAAGAACTTTATTTAAAATGCTTGATAAAAATATTGTTTTATCTGTTGTTGTTGACTTAATTTTCATCAAAATATTATACTAAATTACTTCAATATTAATATAAATGAAATGCAATTTGTAAAGGTGATGAATAAACACAGCAATAAAAGCAAAAGCGATTTTCAATATATTTTACAGCTTTGAACTATATTTGAGATAAATACGCATAAAAGCAAAATATGAAACTTCAAGAATAAACAAAAGAACCGCAATAATATTTCCAATTATCCATAATCCAAATCCACCCCAAAGCTGTTCCAGATTTAATTTCTTTGGTCCATTTTTCGGTTCTTTTACGACAAGATATTTTGGATCCACATATTCAAGTTTCAAGAACTCTATCAATCCATTTCCTCTAAATGCTTCTAACTTTTCATTAAAGGACTCAACAAGAAAAGAATTTTTCGGATAAACCCACGAAGCATAAACAGTTAAAAGCTTTTCATTTAAAACTTTCAGGAACGATGTGTTGTTGCTTCTCATATTAATGTAAATTGTGTTGTACATCATGCCGAGCGTAACGCCTTTGAAATTGGGATCAAGTGTTTTCATCAAATATTCATAGAAAATACTGGCATTGATGGCTTTACTTCTGGAAAACACATAAAATTTTGGGTGAAGAAACTTCATAATGTTATATCATGTTAAGCGGTTTTTTGACTTACCTTTTCAAAATTTTCATTTCGTTGTAATTTTCAAAGAACGTATCATAACTGTAAACCATAAATTCTTTATCAATGACTTCTTTTATGGATGAAAGAGTTGGTTTGCTGTTATCTGATTGAAGAAATTTAAAAAGTGCAGCTGTGTAAAGAGTTCGAATGACCAGACAGAAAAGCAAAAATGACATCAAAAGCATTCTCGGTGTTGATCTTTTCGGTAAAATATGTTGTGATCCTCCAACAAGTGCCACAATTATGTTCATTCCCGGCATCTTCACTTCCTTTCCTATGATAATTCTTTTCATCAAGGATCGAGGTTTCGACGCCACAGCAATGACAATGAAGAACCCAAGTGAGAGAATTATCATCAAACATATCCAAACTGATTTATCAAAAGGTCGAATCAACTTCTCAAATGCACTGAATGGTGCACCAGGAGGAATGACCACAAGTACAGAATCAAATGTTATTGTAGATGAAAACGAAATGAAATAACTTTTCGCTACAGTTCTCGTAAGACCTCCAATCATTAAATCAACTTCCTTATTTATGATTTTCAAATATGCACCAGCAGCTTCACCATTTGGTTTTAATCTCCCCCATGCACCTGGCGATGGATCAAAACTGTATTGAATTGAAAAATTCAAAACGTTTGCAATTTCTTTTAGAATTTTAACATCACTTCCCACAAGAGTGTAATTATTGTCATCGTAAGATCCTTGCATGATCACTGCAGGTTCATAAATGAACGTGGCGACTTTCAATGGACATCAAAACAGATTTCTCATTTTCCGTGGAAAGAAATCTTTCGATGTCCATCGGTTGTTCTCGAATTTGTTAATGACAACTGGATCAGTTGAGTTGCAACTTCTCTCATTGAAGAAGAAAAATGTTCTGAGTTGAATGGCGTTCGAATCGTTACAAATGACGTTCACATTATAAATGAATAAATCAGACAACTTTCTGAACAAATAATGAAGAATGTCAATGTCACTTTGGTTTTCGATGTAATAAATCAATAAGGGAAAAAAGTCTGTTACCGAAAGTCGGCCCCAANGAATCCAAGTGAGAGAATTATCATCAAACATATCCAAATTGATTTGTCAAAAGGTCGAATCAACTTCTCAAATGCACTGAACGGTGCACCAGGAGGAATGACCACAAGTACAGAATCAAATGTTATTATAGATGAAAACGAGATGAAATAACTTTTCGTTTCCGTTTTTGAAAGAGTTCCAATCATTAAGTCAACTTCCTTATTTATGATTTTCAAATATGCACCAGCAGCTGTACCATTTGGTTTTAAACTTCCCCATGCACCTGGCGATGGATCAAAACTATATTGAATTGAAAAATTCAAAACGTTTGCAATTTCTTTTAGAATTTCCACTTCACTTCCCACAAGAGTGTAATTGCTGTCATCGTAAGATCCTTGCATGATCACTGCAGGTTCATAAATGAACGTAGCGACTTTCAATGGACATCCAAATAGATTTCTCATTTTCCGTGGAAAGAAATCTTTCGATGTCCATCGATTTTTCTCGAATTTGTTAATGACAAGTGGATAAGTTGAGTTGCAACTTCTCTCGTTGAAGAAGAAAAATGTTCTGAGTTGAATGCCGCTTGAATCGTTACAAATGACGTTCACATTGTAAATGAATAAATCAGACAACTTTTTGAACAAATAATGTAGAATGTCAATGTCACTTTGGTTATCGATGTAATAAATCAAATAAAATCCACTGTAATCAAACCGATCCGGTGTCAATTCTTCGATCATAAGGTCGGTGTTAAGATGGTCCATGATAATCAACACAAATCTTCTTTTAGTCAAATCTTTGAGATTCTTGCAATCTTCAATTCGATAACTGATTGATTCTTGAATATTTCTCAATATGAATTCAACAATCAAGTTTGTACCTTCAACGTCATTTGAACACGTTATTATGTCTAAATCTAAAGCGTTTCTTATATAGAATTCTTCAATAATTTCTGATAATGCAACAGATGATGGCAGTTCTCGTTTTATTTCTAAATTTATGTTGAAACTCGATGTGATATCCACAACATAGAGGAGAAAAAATATTTTGGAAGAAAATTTTAACATTTTCAACAATTCTGATTGAAGTTCAAGTAATTACTGAATCAAATTAATGATGAGTAAGTAGTTAACAAGTTTGTATTCTCTACAAATATTTATCCATGCTTGACTTTAGTTATAACATAAATGAGAGTGATAAAAAATGTGGTTATTAGATCGAAAATTTCATTATGAAAAGAGTCCACCAAGTATAAAATATCTCGACGTGCAAAGCCTTTGGTCATATTAATCATCACATCAAACTGTTGTCAATATATTTCCAACATGAATTTTTAAATTATTAATGTTTGTTTTGATTCCAAATATATAATTTCGTAACTTGTTACGATATGAAACGTTTATATGGACATGGTTTTGAATAAATTTCTTCATTCTATCCTCTTTGCTACTCTAGACAACTTTTATAAAGTGATGAGGATTTTTAATAGTGCTTAGCAATTTTCTTCTGATCTGCTATTGATAGCCTCCATTAAAAGTGTGCTGTGTATCTACGTATTTAAAATTGGAGAATAATTAATTTCAATAAGCGAATTATATTTAATATTTTATAGTGAATGGACAGCAGTCAATTTTGACAAATTGTGAAGTTAAAACCTCAAGTATAAACAGAAAAAGTGCACTAAAAATTCCACAAAACCAAACTTTAAATCCACCTTCAAGATGTTCAAGATTTAATTTTCTGGGACCAATTTTTGGTCTTTTTATAGTGATATACTTCGGATCCATATATTTCCCTGCCAAAAAATTCAACAATCCATTCTTTCTAAATGCGAATATTTTCTCATCGAAAGCTTCAACGAGAAAATGATCTTTTGGAAACGCCCAACAAGAGTGTGAAGTGATAACATGTTCACTTAGCACTCTCAAAGTGAATTTTTTATAATTTTTCTTATTAATATGCGAAAGTTCATCCATTAAAATCAACACGACTCCTTTGAAGTTAGGATCAGAAGTTTTCATCAGATAATCATAAAATAAGCTGGCGTTGACGACTTGACTTCTGAAAGTTTTGTATTGAAACTCAGCCTCATATTTATGTATCATGTAAAAAGCGACTTACCGTTTTAGAATTTTCATTTCCCAGAAATTGTCATAGTACGTTGGATCCACGTAGACCGTAAATTTTTTATCAATGACTTCTTTTATGGATGAAAGAGTTGGTTTGCTGTTATCTGATTGAAGGAATTTAAAAAGTGCAGCTGTGTAAAGAGTTCGAATGACTAAACAGAAAAGCAAAAATGACATCAAAAGTATTCTCGGTGTTGATCTTTTCGGTAAAATATGTTGTGATCCTCCAACAAGTGCCACAATTATGTTCATTGCCGGCATCTTAACTTCCTTTCCTATGATAATTTTTCTCATTAAGGATCGAGGTTTCGGCGCTACAGCAATGACAATGAAGAATCCAAGAGAGAGAATTATCATCAAACATATCCAAACTGATTTATCAAAAGGTCGAATCAACTTCTCAAATGCACTGAACGGTGCACCAGGAGGAATGACCACGAAAATGCCATTAAAAGTTATTACCGATGAAAACGAAATGAAATAACTTTTGTTTTTAGTTCTTGTAAGAGATCCAATCATTAAATCAGATTTCCTCTCCACGATTTTAAGGAAAGCACCAACAGCTTCACCATTTGGTTTTAATCTTCCCCATGCACCTGGCGATGGATCAAAACTATATTGAATTGAAAAATTCAAAACGTTTGCAATTTCTTTAAGAATTTCTACTTCACTTCCCACAAGAGTGTAATTGTTGTCATCGTAAGATCCTTGCATGATCACTGCAGGTTCATAAATGAACGTGGCGACTTTCAATGGACATCAAAACAGATTTCTCATTTTCCGTGGAAAGAAATCTTTCGATGTCCATCGGTTGTTCTCGAATTTGTTAATGACAACTGGATCAGTTGAGTTGCAACTTCTCTCATTGAAGAAGAAAAATGTTCTGAGTTGAATGGCGTTCGAATCGTTACAAATGACGTTCACATTATAAATGAATAAATCAGACAACTTTTTGAACAAATAATGAAGAATGTCAATGTCACTTTGATTATCGATGTAATAAATCAAATAAAATCCACTGTAATCAAACCGATTCGGTGTCAATTCTTCGATCATAAGGTCGGTGTTAAGATGGTCCATGATTATCAACACGAATCTTCTTTTAGTCGAATCTTTGAGATTCTTGCAATCTTCAATTCGATAACTGATTGATCCATGAGTTTTAAACAGCAAAGTTCCAATGATCATTCCTGCTACATCATCATTTTTGATACATTTGATTACATTAAAATATGCTGACCGTGTTGAGAAGAATTGATCAATAACTTGAGATATTTCATCATGAGAGTTTTCATGAGTTTGCTTGTATTTTGATGCGTGACATGCGATAGAATTTGAAGAAATTATAATTAAAATTAATTTTATTAGAATTTCAAACATTTTCCTTATAAAATTAACTTGTGAAATTAGTTTCAGGCAGTATTTCAATAAGTAGANCAAAAGGTCGAATCAATTTCTCAAATGCACTGAATGGTGCACCAGGAGGAATGACCACAAGTAGAGAATCAAATGTTATTGTAGATGAAAACGAAATGAAATAACTTTTCGCTACAGTTCTCGTAAGACCTCCAATCATTAAATCAACTTCCTTATTTATGATTTTCAAATATGCACCAGCAGCTTCACCATTTGGTTTTAATCTCCCCCATGCACCTGGCGATGGATCAAAACTGTATTGAATTGAAAAATTCAAAACGTTTGCAATTTCTTTTAGAATTTTAACATCACTTCCCACAAGAGTGTAATTATTGTCATCGTAAGATCCTTGCATGATCACTGCAGGTTCATAAATGAACGTGGCGACTTTCAATGGACATCAAAACAGATTTCTCATTTTCCGTGGAAAGAAATCTTTCGATGTCCATCGGTTGTTCTCGAATTTGTTAATGACAACTGGATCAGTTGAGTTGCAACTTCTCTCATTGAAGAAGAAAAATGTTCTGAGTTGAATGCCGCTTGAATCGTTACAAATGACGTTCACATTGTAAATGAATAAATCAGACAACTTTTTGAACAAATAATGTAGAATGTCAATGTCACTTTGGTTATCGATGTAATAAATCAAATAAAATCCACTGTAATCAAACCGATTCGGTGTCAATTCTTCGATCATAAGGTCGGTGTTAAGATGGTCCATGATTATCAACACGAATCTTCTTTTAGTCGAATCTTTGAGATTCTTGCAATCTTCAATTCGATAACTGATTGATTCTTGAATATTTCTCAATATGAATTCAACAATCAAGTTTGTACCTTCAACGTCATTTGAACACGTTATTATGTCTAAATCTAAAGCGTTTCTTATATAGAATTCTTCAATAATTTCTGATAATGCAACAGATGATGGCAGTTCTCGTTTTATTTCTAAATTTATGTTGAAACTCGATGTGATATCCACAACATAGAGGAGAAAAAATATTTTGGAAGGAACCCCAAGCATTTTCAACAATTCTGATTCAAGTTCAAGTAATTACTGAACCAAATTGATGTTGAGTAGTTAACAAGTTTGTATTCTCTACAAATATTTATCCATGCTTGACTTTAGTTATAACATAAATGAGAGTGATAAAAAATGTGGTTATTAGATCGAAAATTTCATTATGAAAAGAGTCCACCAAGTATAAAATATCTCGACGTGCAAAGCCTTTGGTCATATTAATCATCACATCAAACTGTTGTCAATATATTTCCAACATGAATTTTTAAATTATTAATGTTTGTTTTGATTCCAAATATAATTTCGTAATTTGTTACGATATGAAATGGAGAGAATAAAGTTCGAAATTAGTGGTTATAATTATAATGTAATTAATGGTTCTCTATTAGCTACAATTTCGAGGTGATTACTTATTGGCTAACTACCCTACATAAGTGGAGATTTAGGAATTAAATTGTTTAAAGCATGAAAGTTTTGAAACCTTATCCATCATTCTAATTCATCATCATTATCAGATCAAGGACAGGCCCATATAGGAACCAGAGTTGGGCGATCCATTTTCCGATACGGATCGCCGATCCAATTTACAACAATCACCTTTTCATTTTAATTCTTTTTATTTAAATCCATATTTATAAGACTAGAAATGCAATTTTCAAGTAAATTTTGTTAGAATAGAAAACTTTACTTTTTCGGATTAAATCAAGTAATAATATGAAACAATAATGAAAGAATATATATTCATTAATGAAAACCTTAAAATGAAATATGAAACTTCAAGAATAAACAAAAGAACTGCAATAATATTTCCAATCATCCATAATCCAAATCCACCCCAAAGCTCCTCCAAATTTAATTTCTTTGGTCCATTTTTCGGTTCTTTTACGGCAAGATATTTTGGATCCACATATTCAAGTTTCAAGAACTCCATCAATCCATTTTCTGTGAATGCTTCTAACTTTTCATTGAAGGACTCAACAAGAAAAGAATCTTTCGGATAAGCCCACGAAGCATAAACAGGTAAAAGCTTTTCATTTAAAACTTTAAGGAACGATGTGTTGTTGCTTCTCATATTAATGTAAATTGTGTTGTACATCAGGTTGAGTGCGACGCCTTTGAAATTAGGATCAAGTGTTTTCATCAGATATTCATGGAAAATACTGACATTGATGGCTTTACTTCTGGAAAACATAAAATTATGAGTGAAGAAACCATGCTCACAACCCGCTTGCTTGCTTGCTTGCTTGTGTCTTTCTTTTCTCTCTCAGCTTGCTTGCTTAGCTTACTTTCCGGATATCTCTCAGCTTGTTTTCTCGGGTTGCCTACCTAGGCCTCCAGGATACTTCAGCATGTTTTTTCAGCTTGCTTTCGTGTTCCGGCATTTTTTTATCGTCCCCATTTCTCTTGTCCCGTCACTATTCATCAACCCCACTTTTTTCGGTTTTTTTTGGGGTCGATGAAAAGTGACGTCCCAACAGGAAGTGGGGACAATGCATAGTCACGGGAAAAGGTGAGCCGTAGAAACAAGCTGAAATATCCTGGAGGCCTAGGCAAGCCGAGAAAACAAGCTGACAAATATCAAAAAAAGGCAAGCTAAGCAAGCAAGCCATAGGAAAAAAAACATAAGCTAAGCAAGCAAGCTAACTGTAAAGAAATTGCAAGTCTAATCAAACAAGCAGGTTGTTTCTATGGAAGAAACTTCATTATTTTCTATCATCCTAAGCGCGTTTTTTAACTTACCTTTTCAAAATTTTCATGCCTTTGTAATGGTCATAGAAGGTAGGATAAACATAAACCACAAACTCTTTATCAATGACTTCTTTTATGGATGAAAGAGTTGGTTTGTTGTTATCTGATTGCAGAAATTTAAAAAGTGAAGCTGTGTAAAGAGTTCGAATGACCAGACAGAAAAGCAAAAATGACATCAAAAGCATTCTCGGTGTTGATCTCTTCGGTAAAATATGTTGGGATCCCCCAACAAGTGCCACAATTATGTTCATTGTCGGCATCTTCATTTCCTTTCCTATGATAATTCTTCTCATTAAGGATCGAGATTTCGGCGCTACAGCAATGACAATGAAGAATCCAAGTGAGAGAATTATCATCAAACATATCCAAATTGATTTATCAAAAGGTCGAATCAACTTCTCAAATGCACTGAACGGTGCACCAGGAGGAATGACCACAAGTACAGAATCAAATGTTATTATAGATGAAAACGAGATGAAATAACTTTTCGTTTCCGTTTTTGAAAGAGTTCCAATCATTAAGTCAACTTCCTTATTTATGATTTTCAAATATGCACCAGCAGCTGTACCATTTGGTTTTAAACTTCCCCATGCACCTGGCGATGGATCAAAACTATATTGAATTGAAAAATTCAAAACGTTTGCAATTTCTTTTAGAATTTCCACTTCACTTCCCACAAGAGTGTAATTGCTGTCATCGTAAGATCCTTGCATGATCACTGCAGGTTCATAAATGAACGTAGCGACTTTCAATGGACATCCAAATAGATTTCTCATTTTCCGTGGAAAGAAATCTTTCGATGTCCATCGATTTTTCTCGAATTTGTTAATGACAAGTGGATAAGTTGAGTTGCAACTTCTCTCGTTGAAGAAGAAAAATGTTCTGAGTTGAATGCCGCTTGAATCGTTACAAATGACGTTCACATTGTAAATGAATAAATCAGACAACTTTTTGAACAAATAATGAAGAATGTCATTGTCACTTTGGTTATCGATGTAATAAATCAAATAAAATCCACTGTAATCAAACCGATCCGGTGTCAATTCTTCGATCATAAGGTCGGTGTTAAGATGGTCCATGATAATCAACACAAATCTTCTTTTAGTCAAATCTTTGAGATTCTTGCAATCTTCAATTCGATAACTGATTGATTCTTGAATATTTCTCAATATGAATTCAACAATCGAGTTTGTACCTTCAACGTCATTTGAACACGTTATTATATCTAAATCTAAAGCATTTCTTATATAGAATTCTTCAATAATTTCTGATACTGCAACATATGATGGCAGTTCTCGTTTCGTTCCAAAATTTATGTTGAAACTCGATATGATATCCACAACATAGAAAATTAAAAGTATTTTGGAAGGAACCCCAAGCATTTTCAACAATTCTGATCCAATCTTAATTAATTACTGAAACAATTAACTGTTGCTAGATTTTTTTTTCTTTTTTTGTAAAAGTGAATTAATGAAATAAGTATTCGTTTCAAATATTTGTTGATGTCAATAATTTAAACAATAGATATTAATAATGAGAATGATGAAGTTTACTTGTTTATTTGGAGACAGATTTCGAATTAATTTATTTGTAATTAATCTTGCTGTTTATTACATAAAGTATTACGCAGTTGTATAACGCAAATCACGCTTTCAAGTGACACCATGATTGTGAAAAGTAATTGAAGGTTTAGGAATTACTAATTTTATTACAGTGGATCTTCGATAAACATATTGCTCAAGGGGGGCAAAAAATTTTTGCTTATCGAGGTTATTGTTTTATCGAGGCAATCTTCTGCAAGTTCTAAAAAAGAAGAAAACGATATGGCGCAACTTGAAAATTCGACTTTTGTCCTCTGAAAATACACTGTGCAATCTTTCAAAGATATTCGATTGTGTTTTCATTTGTTAATAAAGGTTATTACTTTATCGAGGTTTCTGTTTATAGAAGTTTCACTGTTTTTGGAATTTTACATTATCCTTCCTTTTATTAATATGGCTAATTCCAGCGTCATACGAGCAACGGTCACAAATTCAAAGCTGAATATCATATGTATGGCTTGAGCTTTTACTGAAACCACTTACACATTTAAATAGTACTTGGTAAGCTCTATTTAATAGTGTGAGTGGTTTTAGAAAAAGGTCAAGCCATGTTTTGACGAAGAAGACTTTGCTCAAGTAATAATATGAACCAATAATGAAAGAGAACTTTAAACGAATTGGATTTTGTAAAATTTTTATTTATTCATTTAGTTAGTTATTCATTAATGAAAACCTTAAACTGAAATATGAAACTTCAAGAAGAAACAGTAGAACCGTAATAATATTTCCAATCATCCATAATCCAAATCCACCCCGAAGCTCCTCCAAATTTAATTTCTTTGGTCCGTTTTTTGTTTCTTTTACGGCAAGATATTTCGGATCCACATATTCAAGTTTCAAGAACTCCATCAATCCATTTCCTCTAAATGCTTCTAACTTTTCATTGAAAGACTCAACAAGAAAAGAATCTTTTGGATACACCCACGAAGAATAAACAGTTAAAAGCTTTTCATTTAAAACTTTAAGGAACGATGTGTTGTTGCTTCTCATATTAATGTAAATTGTGTTGTACATCATGTTGAGCGTAACGCCTTTGAAATTGGGATCAAGTGTTTTCATCAGATATTCATGGAAAATGGCGGCATTGATGGATTTACTTCTAGAAAACATAAAATTGTGGGTGAAGAAACTTAATGAAGTAAATAAGAATGTTTGATCACGTCTTACTTTTTCATTAATTTTATGTCTTTGAAATTGTCATAGTAAATTTCATAAACATAAACCATGTACTCTTTATCAATGACTTCTTTTATGGATGAAAGAGTTGGTTTGCTGTTATTTGATTGAAGAAATTGAAAAAGTGAAGCTGTGTAAAGAGTTCGAATGACTAAACAAAAAAGCAAAAATGACATCAAAAGCATTCTCGGTGTTAATCTTTTCGGTAAAATATGTTGGGATCCTCCAACAAGTGCCACAATTATGTTCATTGCCGGCATCTTCACTTCCTTTCCTATGATAATTCTTTTCATTAAGGATCGAGATTTCAGCGCTACAGCAATGACAATGAAGAACCCAAGTGAGAGAATTATCATGAAACATATCCAAACTGATTTATCAAAAGGTCGAATCAACTTCTCAAATGCACTGAATGGTGCACCAGGAGGAATGACCACAAGTACAGAATCAAATGTTATTACCGATGAAAACGAGATGAAATAACTTTTGTTTTTAGTTCTTGTAAGAGATCCAATCATTAAATCAGATTTCCTCTCCACGATTTTAAGGAAAGCACCAACAGCTTCACCATTTGGTTTTAATCTTCCCCATGCACCTGGCGATGGATCAAAACTGTATTGAATTGAAAAATTCAAAACGTTTGCAATTTCTTTTAGAATTTTAACATCACTTCCCACAAGAGTGTAATTATTGTCATCGTAAGATCCTTGCATGATCACTGCAGGTTCATAAATGAACGTGGCAACTTTCAATGGGCACCCAAACAGATTTCTCATTTTCCGTGGAAAAAAATCTTTCGATATCCATCGGTTGTTCTCGAATTTGTTAATGACAACTGGATCAGTTGAGTTACAACTTCTCTCATTGAAGAAGAAAAATGTTCTGAGTTGAATGGCGTTCGAATCGTTACAAATGACGTTCACATTATAAATGAATAAATCAGACAACTTTCTGAACAAATAATGAAGAATGTCAATGTCACTTTGGTTTTCGATGTAATAAATCAAATAAAATCCACTGTAATCAAACCGATTCGGTGTCAATTCTTCGATCATAAGGTCGGTGTTAAGATGGTCCATGATTATCAACACGAATCTTCTTTTAGTCGAATCTTTGAGATTCTTGCAATCTTCAATTCGATAACTGATTGATCCATGAGCTTTTCTCACAAACATTTCGATTATTTCATTAGCTTGTTCATCATGGCATGAGCACGTTATTATGTCTAAAGTTTTATTTGGGAAGAATGATTCTTGCAGCTGAGATAACGCATCATGTAGTCGTGTTTTACGTATGAATTCTTTGTTTGAGCTAGAGGAAATTATTTCTGTACAGAAAGCAAGGACTACAACAACTTTTATTGAATATCTGAGCATTGCGTGTTCACGTTAGCTTACAAGAAGTTACTTTTTTCAATTGTTCAATGGAAAAATAATGAACATAAAAAACCCTGAGGTTTCAAATATTTTATTTACTCTTTCAATATTATTAGAAGTCATAGGATATTAATTATTTGTTTATTTCTTTCACTGATTGTGAAAATTGTGACATTAAGTAAACACATAATTTTATTAAATTTTGCTGGTAAAAATGTGCCACTCTTGCATACAAACTGTAAGCCTCTGGCATGATTGCATTAGACGTCTCCACAGTGGAAACTTTTCTTTGTGAGAGTGGACAAAAGTGATCATAGAAAATATATGAAAAAAAACAAAAATTGCCTACTTGATTAAATATTATTTTCATTTCCATACAAAAATGGCGAAATTTTGTGAAATATGAGTTCACAAATTTTGCATTTTCTTCCAGGTACGCAGGTATACGCAGCTGAAATAAATATTTTTGGAAAGCTGAATGATGTATGCTCTTGACCTCATAGTTACTTTTTGGAATGCACTGGAATGCCGAAATGAAAATGCATTCAAAATTTAGCAATTTTCATATAAAAACATAGAAATAAAAACATCATTTATTATTTATTTTTTAATAAATTAAAACAAACTATTTTTTTAAAATTACAAAGAATTTATTAATGTTTCATTCTGTTTTTACAGATTTTTTATTTAAAAAGAATAATAAAATAAATTTTAAGTTTTAAAAAATAACCTCATTTTCACATATATTTTTCACCTCGGACATGGGTGATTCATGACTAATTTTCAGTCACTCCCACTCATTTCCGGGATGAACAATATAAAGTCAAAAGTTGCGCCATATAGTCTTCTGCAAGTTCTAAAAAAGAAGAAAACGATATGGCGCAACTTGGAAATTCGACTTTTGTCCTAGCTAGTACCCACTGTGGTCTGCAATGAAAAAAAATTTTCATAACTTAAATTAAGAATTTACTTAGTTAAACTCTAGTTTTCTCTATAAATTAAAAAATATTTAAGTTTTAATCATCATTGACTTCCATTATTGATGGTTTTTAAAGTGAAATATTTCTGTAAATATTTTAAAGATTTTTTGTTGGTTTCATTTAAATATCCGAACAATTTTTTTTAATGCAGTATAAAAATATTTATTGTCATCATTAATCAAGAAAAACAATAGCTGGGTAAGTGATTTAACTCATGTTGTTATTGATCCATGTACGGAAGCTTGTAACACGTGCGAAACCGGCAGGGAAGCCTCGTTCGCAACCAGCAGCAGCACCGAAGGAAACAACTCCTACTTGCCATCTGCCTCCAGCACGTCCAACAGTGAGTGGGCCACCGGAGTCTCCATTGCATGTTCCACGTCCTCCAGTTGTTGCCATGCAAATAACGCTAGCAACGACGACGTTAGTTCCATAGGTTGATGCACAGAGAGCATTGGTGATAATGTTGTTTGAAACAACTCGTAAGTTAGCAGCAGTTCCGCAAGCAGCACCAGCTCCGTCACATTGACGTCCCCATCCTGAAACGGTAGCCATTTCTCCGGCAAATAATTCAGCGTTTCCAACTGGTGGAAGAACTGAAGATTGGATACGAGCACTCATTGGAATAACTGCGTTTGTAATCATGGTGGCAATATCGTTGTTCAAGTTTGATGGATTATAGTTAGCATGAAGACGATAGTTGGCACTTGGGATAGTTTGACGCTAAGGTAAAAATATAATAATTTCATCTAGAAATCAGAATTAAGAAAATTCTCCACTTACATGTTGTGTTCCTTCAATGACCAATCTGTTGTGAGCACCCAAAATGATTTGAGAATCCAATGAATTGATTGGACAATGAGCAGCTGTCAAAACGACTCTGTTTGAAATAACTGAACCACCGCAGAGACCGGTACCTCCACCGAAACGCATCAAAACAGCAGCTTGGTAAGGATGAGCTCCAGGAGAAGCTTCTTGTCCTCCAACAATTCTTCCTGTACGTGTGTTAGCAACACCTGGCAAAAGAGCCTCGTCACGACCCTCCCAGAATCCGGGAATGTCTTCTACGGGAACGACTGTTGACATGTCGAGGTTTGCCCAGAATTCTTCTGATTCGACATCAGCATGAACTGAGACAGCCACGAAGGCGAAAAGAAAAGCGAATAAAAGTTTCATCTTTACCAGGAGTTGAATTAAACTTGATGAATTTTCAGCACAAACCGTTGCCTTTTATACTCTTCAAACTCTTTAAAAAAATCCGTAATGTGACGAAATGAGCTTAAGCTTCTTAAACAACATTATGATAACATATCACAAATGATAATGTGTGGGATTTTCCAGTTTAAAATTAAGATTGGTAAGGAAAAATATAAATGGCTGCTAAACGATCTCCGAAGCTTGTAAAAGAATTCATTCAAATTTTCCAGATCTTTTCAACTGCAATTAATTTGTACCAAATTCAATGATTAATTTTCATATAATATTTCATATTAATTAACCAAATCCTGAGTACGCTGAAGAAAATCAGAGACGCAAAAGATTTCATTGATATCTTATCGTAAAATATTTTATAAGTGTAGCATTGAAAATCTGAGAGATATTTCTGGTTTTTCCTAATCATGTCTTATCGTTCTTTTGCCAAATGAGACTTTAAAATAAAACAAAAATATATTTATAGCGGCAAAGTTCAATTGAAACTTTAAATATTATTTTTATTTATTCGTTTTGTTTATAAATTTTGTTTATTCATTTGAGTTGATGAAAAATGGAAATTTAATAGAAAAGTTTATAAATTTCATTGATTATTCTATTTCATTTTGGAATTATGCATGTTAAGAGAGCAAGTTTAAAATTTAATTAAAATTGTAGCTTAGTCAAAATCCAGAAGAATCGAAGAATTTGAATGTGATTAAACGAATGTCGTAAATATCAATTACAAGAACAATAAATCAAAACATATTTATCTACGTCCTTCTACTGATAACGATAATCAGTTCTATTGAAACTAAGCATTTTATCAAAATATTAAAAATAGAATAAGCTTCATAATGATCTTCAGTTTCTTGATTAATTTCAAAGGCTTAGCGTTTGCGCGTTTTTGAATTTAAAAAAAGAATTTTAGTTTAAGAATAAAAAGCGTTCAAAATGAATTAACAATTAAATTTTAATTTACAACATATAATTGATTTTTGCGTTCCTTTAAAAATGTTTTTGAATATCCACACAACGCTTCAAGTAGAAAGATCAAAAACGCAATCGAAATTCCCAGAAACCATAATTGAAACCCACCAAGAAGTCGTTCAAGATTCAATTTTCTAGGCCCTTGTTTCGGTTCCTTAATGTTAAGATAGCGAAGATCTATGAAATCATTAGTCATGTAGTATAATAATCCATTTTCTCTAAACTTTTGTATGTTTTCATCAAACATTTCTACGAGAAAAGAATTCTTTGGGAAAACCCAAGATGATAATGATGTATAAACGACCTCGTTCAACACTCGAAAGTAATTTTTTTTATAGTTTTTCTTATTTAAATAAAGTATTTGATCCATCAAAGATACAACAGCTCCTTTAAATTCCGGATCAAAAGTTCTCTCTTGATAAGAAGAAAATTCGGTGACATTCACAAGCTGAAGTCTGAGAATGGAACAAATTTAATAAATACACGTTGTAGGATAAATTTGATAAAAGTTATTACAATTTTTTAATATTCAAATGTCTCAAAGTCTCTTCCATTGATGCATAGTGGTAAACAGTGAAATTTTTCGCAATCAGTTCATCGATTGAAGATACTGGAGATTTACGACTGTCTGATTGAAGAAATTTAAAAAGTGCAGTTGTGTAAAGAGTTCGAATGACTAAACAAAAAAGCAAAAATGACATCAAAAGCATTCTCGGTGTTGATCTCTTCGGTAAAATATGTTGTGATCCTCCAACAAGTGCCACAATTATGTTCATTGCCGGCATCTTTACTTCCTTTCCTATGATAATTCTTCTCATTAAGGATCGAGATTTCAGCGCTACAGCAATGACAATGAAGAAACCAAGTGAGAGAATTATCATCAAACATATCCAAACTGATTTATCAAAAGGCCGAATCAACTTCTCAAATGCACTGAATGGTGCACCAGGAGGAATGACTAAAAACACTCGATTGAAAATTATCACAGTTGAAAACGAAACGTAAATATTTCTTGTATAAGTTGTTCCTAGCATCCCAATCATTAAGTCAACTTCCTTTTTTACGATTTTAAAAAAACCACCAACAGCTTCACCATTTGGTTTAATGAATCCCCATGCACCTGGCGATGGATCAAAACTGTATTCAATTGAAAAATTCAAAACGTTTGCAATTTCTTTAAGAATTTCTACTTCACTTCCCACAAGAGTGTAATTGTTGTCATCGTAAGATCCTTGCATGATCACTGCAGGTTCATAAATGAACGTGGCAACTTTCAATGGGCACCCAAACAGATTTCTCATTTTCCGTGGAAAAAAATCTTTCGATATCCATCGGTTGTTCTCGAATTTGTTAATGACAACTGGATCAGTTGAGTTGCAACTTCCCTCATTGAAGAAGAAAAATGTTCTGAGTTGAATGCCGCTTGAATCGTTACAAATGACGTTCACATTGTAAATGAATAAATCAGACAACTTTTTGAACAAATAATGAAGAATGTCATTGTCACTTTGGTTATCGATGTAATAAATCAAATAAAATCCACTGTAATCAAACCGATTCGGTGTCAATTCTTCGATCATAAGGTCGGTGTTAAGATGATCCATGATAATCAACACAAATCTTCTTTTAGTCGAATCTTTGAGATTCTTGCAATCTTCAATTCGATAACTGATTGATCCATGAATATTTCTCAATATGAATTCAACAATAGAGTTTGTACCTTCACCGTCATTTGAACACGTTATTATGTCTAAATCTAAAGCATTTCTTATATAGAATTCTTCAATAATTTCTGATAATGAAACAGATGATGGCAGTTCTCGTTTTATTTCTAAATTTATGTTGAAACTCGATGTGATATCCACAACATAGAGGAGAAAAAATATTTTGGAAGAAAATTTTAACATTTTCAACAATTCTGATTGAAGTTCAAGTAATTACTGAATCAAATTAATGATGAGTAAGTAGTTAACAAGTTTGTATTCTCTACAAATATTTATCCATGCTTGACTTTAGTTATAACATAAATGAGAGTAATGAAAAATGTGGTTATTAGATCGAAAATTTCATTATGAAAAGAGTCCACCAAGTATAAAATATCTCGACGTGCAAAGCCTTTGGTCACATTAATCATCACATCAAACTGTTGTCAATATATTTCCAACATGAATTTTTAAATTATTAATGTTTGTTTTGATTCCAAATATATAATTTCGTATCTTGTTACGATATGATACGTTTATATGGACATGGTTTTGAATAAATTTCTTCATTCTATCTTCTTTGCTACTCTAGACAATTTTTATAAAGTGATGAGGATTTTTAATAATGCTTAGCAATTTTCCTCTGATTTACCATTGGTAGCCTCCATTAAATGTGTGCTGTGTATCTACGTATTTAAAACTGGATAATAATTAATTTCAATAAGCGAATTATATTTAATATTTTATAGTGAATGGACAGCAGTCAATTTTGACAAATTGTGAAGTTAAAACCTCAAGTATAAACAGAAAAAGTGCACTAAAAATTCCACAAAACCAAACTTTAAATCCACCTTCAAGATGTTCAAGATTTAATTTTCTGGGACCAATTTTTGGTCTTTTTATAGTGATATACTTCGGATCCATATATTTCCCTGCCAAAAAATTCAATAATCCATTCTTTCTAAATGCGAGTATTTTCTCATCGAAAGCTTCAACGAGAAAATGATCTTTTGGAAACGCCCAACAAGAGTGTGAAGTGATAACATGTTCACTTAGCACTCTCAAAGTGAATTTTTTATAATTTTTCTTATTAATATGCGAAAGTTCATCCATTAAAATCAACACGACTCCTTTGAAGTTAGGATCAGAAGTTTTCATCAGATAATCATAAAATAAGCTGGCGTTGACGACTTGACTTCTGAAAGTTTTGTATTGAAACTCAGCCTCATATTTATGTATCATGTAAAAAGCGACTTACCGTTTTAGAATTTTCATTTCCCAGAAATTGTCATAGTACGTTGGATCCACGTAGACCGTAAATTTTTTATCAATGACTTCTTTTATGGATGAAAGAGTTGGTTTGCTGTTATCTGATTGAAGGAATTTAAAAAGTGCAGCTGTGTAAAGAGTTCGAATGACTAAACAGAAAAGCAAAAATGACATCAAAAGTATTCTCGGTGTTGATCTTTTCGGTAAAATATGTTGTGATCCTCCAACAAGTGCCACAATTATGTTCATTGCCGGCATCTTAACTTCCTTTCCTATGATAATTTTTCTCATTAAGGATCGAGGTTTCGGCGCTACAGCAATGACAATGAAGAATCCAAGAGAGAGAATTATCATCAAACATATCCAAACTGATTTATCAAAAGGTCGAATCAACTTCTCAAATGCACTGAACGGTGCACCAGGAGGAATGACCACGAAAATGCCATTAAAAGTTATTACCGATGAAAACGAAATGAAATAACTTTTGTTTTTAGTTCTTGTAAGAGATCCAATCATTAAATCAGATTTCCTCTCCACGATTTTAAGGAAAGCACCAACAGCTTCACCATTTGGTTTTAATCTTCCCCATGCACCTGGCGATGGATCAAAACTATATTGAATTGAAAAATTCAAAACGTTTGCAATTTCTTTAAGAATTTCTACTTCACTTCCCACAAGAGTGTAATTGTTGTCATCGTAAGATCCTTGCATGATTACTGCAGGTTCATAAATGAACGTAGCGACTTTCAATGGACATCCAAACAGATTTCTCATTTTCCGTGGAAAGAAATCTTTTGATATCCATCGATTGTTCTCGAATTTGTTAATGACAAGTGGATCAGTTGAGTTGCAACTTCTCTCATTGAAGAAGAAAAATGTTCTGAGTTGAATGCCGCTTGAATCGTTACAAATGACGTTCACATTGTAAATGAATAAATCAGACAACTTTTTGAACAAATAATGTAGAATGTCAATGTCACTTTGGTTATCGATGTAATAAATCAAATAAAATCCACTGTAATCAAACCGATTCGGTGTCAATTCTTCGATCATAAGGTCGGTGTTAAGATGGTCCATGATTATCAACACGAATCTTCTTTTAGTCGAATCTTTGAGATTCTTGCAATCTTCAATTCGATAACTGATTGATCCATGAGTTTTAAACAGCAAAGTTCCAATGATCATTCCTGCTACATCATCATTTTTGATACATTTGATTACATTAAAATATGCTGACCGTGTTGAGAAGAATTGATCAATAACTTGAGATATTTCATCATGAGAGTTTTCATGAGTTTGCTTGTATTTTGATGCGTGACATGCGATAGAATTTGAAGAAATTATAATTAAAATTAATTTTATTAGAATTTCAAACATTTTCCTTATAAAATTAACTTGTGAAATTAGTTTCAGGCAGTATTTCAATAAGTAGAGATTAAATACTGTTTTATTTTTTTGTAAATCGGAAAGGAATTATGATTGATATTTGGTAAGTCACTATTAATAACAAGCATTTAGTATTGTTTGCGTAAGAAGATAATCTGCTTGATAATCAATATTCATTATATTTAAATACCAGTGCTAGGAATATTGACGTTTATATTTGCTTTATCATACATATGCAGATCCATAATTACAATAAATTAGATTACTGAACATGAAATTTATTATTTAGAATATTTACTTAGATGTTTATATTTCGTTAAAATTTTTATTTAGTTAAATATGATTATGCATCAATTCATTCAGCTATTGTGATAAATATTGAGGTGAAAATATTTCATTTGAAAGTTCGCTTTCAATGCAATGTGTTTATTTCTTTAAGTATAACTTTATTTCCTATAAAGCTTGATGAGCTTATAAGCTTCAGGAGAATGCTTCAAATTGATATCTAATAGTTTAAGCATAAAATCAAATGGAAATTTATTGCGTCAATTAGGATAATGAAACTTGCCTATGAAGCTTGTCTAAACTTAAAGCATGATATGAAAAGTGACGACATTCAAGTGTTAAAAGCTTAAACACTTTAAACCAATTTCAATTTGATTTTTATTAAGACAATAGAGAAATAATTCATGTTAGGGCAATAAACCTGCAACTGCAGTAGTCACTGAAAATAGAATGGAAAAAGGTCATCAGGAATTATTTATTTATTTACATATTATTAATTTTCTAATTTACTTACTTACATATAAATCAATTCTAATTCTCATGTCTGGTGTTCAACATGATAGGAGTTCATAAATTTGATATAAGTTTGATCGGCTTTTTTATTGTCTTTTCTTGACTTTTCTTTTTTTAATAAATGTTTAAATATAATAAAATACAAACAAATAGAAATAAATAAATAAACTTGATTATAGTAGTTTACTTTGGCTCTTTTACTTTTAGTTTAATGTGACATTTCTGATATCATGCTTCTGTTTTCAGTTACCGCCTTTCTGTCGATGAGACAAGTTTCGTGAAATGACATCAAATAAAAGTCAATGGAAAATATTTCTCGCCATTTTCATAAATTATTTTATATTATTAACGCATCAATTTTCCAATTATTTAACACCTCTAAAAGAGAGTGAAAATTTAGAAAGTTCAACATGCAGTGATCCAGTCTATCAAATATTTAAATTCATTAATGTCAACGAAATAAATTTCATATTAAACAGAGAGAACTTTGACATTCTTGATTTAAGTGAAAAATATTATAAATCGATATCTCGTGATTTTAAAGTTAATGTTTATGATTTTAGTGATTTGAAGGAGATTCAGAAAGTTTTCACAGTTTTCCTGTTGATTGAAAATGAAATTTCTCTTGATCAATTTATTAAAGAAGTTTCATCGGAACATTTTTATTTCCAAGGATATTTTCTAATTTATATAAATGATCAAAATGGACTCAACATGACGAGAATATTCCATGAGTTCTGGAAACGTCACATCTATAATGTTAATGAAATAAGTTTTAAAAACAATTCAATAGAAATGAGAAGTTTCATACCATATCAGAAAAACAAATGTGATGATGTCAATCCTAAAGTAATTAATAAATATGACATAAATTTATGTTTGTGGACATCGCCAGACATCTTTCCCAATAAACTCAGAAACTTTTATAAATGTCCAATTGTGATATCAACTTACATTTACCCTCCAACAATTATTCTCGATAATATAAATGGAACTGAAATAATTACTGGATACGATATTGAATTGCTTGAGACACTCGGAAAAATGATGAATTTTACTTTAAAAATTGAACTTGTGACAGGACAAACTGCTTGGGGATTCATCACAGCAAATGGAAGCAGTGGAGGTGTCATTAAAAAAGTCATGGATGGAGAAGCTGATGTTGCAATTGGAGGATATTATTTAACATTAACGCGAGCTAAATTTATGAGTTTTTGCATTTATGGGAATACGAAAATTATTTTTGTTGTACCACCGGGAATTCCATTATCAGCCTTTGAAAAGCTTCTCAAACCTTTCAGTTTTTACTCGTGGTTGGCTTTGTGCATAACTCTTTTCATAGGACTTGCGGTTATTTATGTAACAAAACTTCAAAAGCCTCATATTCAGCAGTTGATAATTGGATCAAGTAAAAGCAGTCCATATATGAACTTCTGTAATATTCTTTTGAATGGATTACAACAATTCAGCCCAAAATCATCATTCTCGAGAAGTTTACTTGGAATATTTTTACTGTTTTGTATGCTCATAAAGACAATGTACCAAGGTGCTCTTTTTAAGTTTCTTCAGACCGATCAAAGACATCCTCAAGTTCAGACAATCGATGAGTTGATTGAACATAAATTTGATTTTTATATGTATCAGTCATTTGAAGAGCTAAGTAAAGGATTGAAAATTCATCACAGGTGCGTGTTTTTAAACTAAAAAAATTAATTCTAATCTTCTCTTTTTAGACGGAAACTTATAGTTAATAAAACCATAGAATATTATCAATTGAAAACTTTGGATCCCTATTTCAACGGTGTCACTGTTGGGCCATTGACAGAAGTTTGGTACTTAAATCAAATGAACAGCAAAAACTTCACGTTGCGTGTTTTTCCTGAGATTCTGTTTTCCATTCCAATAGCGATGTATTTTCCGAAAGATCATTTCTTGAAAAAGATTTTTGATTTGAGAGTCAGTGAATTGGAAACAGCTGGTTTGATCGATAAAATGATTCTTAAATATTTAAAACCATCACAGAAAATTATTCCCACGCATAGTCCAAAGAAACTTTCAATTGAAAATTTAATTGGTGGATTTTACATTTTAATTATTGGCTGTGTCTTAGGATTTGTTGCTTTTCTCTTGGAGATTATAATTCAAACGAAAAAGTTTTGTTTAATGTCGGAAGATAATCAACAAACACATTGACGAATTGACTTTCTGTCCAATTAAGTTGAAATATATTCAAATTATCTTTGACAACCTGTTGATTGATGTTTCATTCATGTCGATTTCTTTTATTTAAAAGCTTAATGTTTGTACATCTATCAGTAGATATCTTATGTGTAAATATTTAAATGCATCAGTTTCATTAAAAATAATTAAAAACTTTTATAACTTTGGTTGAATTTTTCTTGTTGCTCGATTAACTTTCGATTCTGAAGGTCGTCCAAGTTCCTCGCAAATATATTTTCCGGCATCAATAAGCAAATCTAAATTAATTCCTGTTTCGACTCCACAACCATTAAGCATGTAAATGACATCTTCAGTTGCAGCATTACCAGATGCTCCTCTTGCATAAGGACAACCGCCTAAACCTGACACAGACGCGTCAACAACAGAAATTCCAAATTCTAATGACGTTAGAATATTTGGCAAGGCTTGTCCATAAGTGTCATGGCAATGAACAGCAAACTTATCAACTGAATCAACTTTCAGAACTTCATTTAGCATTTCTTTAAACGTTCCAGGAGTGCCCACACCAATTGTATCGCCCAATGAAATTTCATAGCACCCTAAAGCCAAGAGCTTTTCGCTGACCATTGCTACTGCTGATGGTTTAATTTTTCCTTCATAAGGACAACCGATGACGGTGGACACATAGCCACGAACTTTAACTTTGTTGTTTTGAGCTGCTTTTAAAACGGATTCGAACCTTTCAATGCTTTCCTTTATTGAACAGTTAACATTTTTTTTCGTGAATGACTCTGATGCTGCTCCAAAGACAGCTGTAATATAGAAAATTGTGAATGCTCCTATCAAAAAATGATTTGTTTCTAGTTTTTACCAACTTCCTTAGCTCCAGCTTCTAAAGCCGCTTCAAAACCTTTTAGATTTGGTGTTAGAACAGGATAGGAAACTCCTTCAACTTTTTCTATTCCCCTCAAGACTTCTGTATTGTCGCCCATTTGTGGAACCCATTTAGCTGATACAAAACTTGTTGCTTCAATACTTTTTAATCCCGTCTTGGACAATCGATTTATGAGTTCTATTTTAATAGAAGCCGGCAATACTTTAGGTTCATTTTGTAAACCATCACGAGGTCCAACTTCAACAATTCGCACTGAACTTAAATTTCTTTTAATTACTCTGGAAATTGATTTTAAAAGCATTTTTTATGTGATATAAAAAAATATTTTTCAACTTTTAGCATTCGCAATTAATCAGTCCCTTGGTATCCCCCAAATGGTATTTTTCAAATTTCCCCTTGTATCCCCCAGTTGCTAAAATATTTGTGAAAACATTGAAGAAATGCTCCAAGTCCTGTTTTCAAGGCAAATTTCCATTTGTTTGGTTAAAATAAAGTTAAATTAGCTATCTGTGATGCTCAGTTGGTGTACGACTTCCTTTAAATTATAAAAATTAGATATTTTAAAATAATCAATGTTTTTCCATTGTTGGTTGCTAGGTTGGTTGCTCAGCTAATCAGCTGTGATCATCGTTGTGACGTCATCAAAACATTCTACAAAACATTGAACCTGTCGAAAACATAGATAGATGGCAGCACTTTTAGACAAGAGAAATATAAAAATTCAATTTTTATGATGTTACTGATGATTTTTACTGTGATTATTTATACTGAAAGGAAAGAAAAACAAGCATTAATTTTTCTATTTTTCGTATCTTAAATAATTTATTTTTCACAATATTGATCCATGTTTTTTTTTCTTAACTTTTAGCTCGAGATATTTAAGATTCTTTCAGCTATTTAATTTCTCATATTTATGAAAGAAGATTATTCTATCTTTATGTTCCGTCATATTTTAATTGATAATTTTATCAAGAAATCTTTTCATTTCCAAGGCAAACATACGTTTTCGTGTTATAGTTTTATATTATGGAGAATTTTTTATTTTCACTTGTACAAAAGAGACTTTAGAGCTCAACGTAGTAGCAATTAAGTTGAGAAAATCTTTTACAAACGAGCCTTCCATAAACATCAATTCACACTAAAACATTTTTCCTGACAGTTTTTGAAGGAAGTTTTAGGAAATTTCAAAAACAGCTTTTCATATAGAAACAAAACAAACAGTTGAGCTTAAATTAATTTACTTCCATAAAATATTTATTTTTGTAATCTTTGAATTAGTTTTTTATCATTTTTTTTTTCGATTTCAATGATTTGCTTATACACAGCAGATTCTCTTTTATTCCCTCACGATCAAGAAGTTTGATAAACATTAATTTTCGAAATTATTTCATGTTTCGATTGACAAATTTTTCTTTTCTTTCTTTTTGGTAAAAAATTATTTTTAATTAGATTTCTTCTCACAAAAAAAAATTCATCTAAACATGATCACCTAAATATTCCATAACTTATCAACTAAATATTGTGACAGACATCTTACAATAAATCTACTACGAATTCCAAATTTTTAGGAAGAATAATTTACGGTTTTCTTTTCGATTAAAAATTAAACCTTTCATCTTAGTAGGAATTATTTTCCTTAACACAAGGTGAAATCAATTCCTTATACATTTATCAATTTTCAATTCTGCTTTTAATAATAATGGTTAGGAAATGACTTAGTTAAAGCGAAAAAAAAAAGATTTGCTTGGAACATTCTCGAGTGGTTAAAGTTTATAGAAAATGAAATCTTCGTAATTTGTTATTCTAACTTTTCTTTGACCGTCTTTCTTCATGCAAAATTTCATTAGTTGAATAAAAAATATAAGGCAAACATTAATGATTTTAGTCGCTTTGAGTGTTTGCGGTCAAACATTCCATTTTCATGTTGATGATGATCATAATTATTTAATTTATTGACACGAGGATTAAATTGACTCTTGTTCAAAGTAAGAGACGACATTTCATATTTATTTTTATTAGTATCAAGTTAGATATCTATCAGATCTTTATGCGTTTCATGTTGGCATTTGTCTACTGATAATTTTTTTTTAAAGAAGTCTGCCAAATCTTTGTTTTTTAATTTTTACATTGCAAACTGATTCAATTAAAATAAGAAATAAAAATCTTCTCATGTAGAATTTTTAATTACATTATTGAAATGTGCAATATGTCGTTTAAAGAGGTTCTCTTTTTTAAATGTTTTATCAATCATATTTGTTCGAGAAATATGTATACGTACGATTTGCTCATGGATTGAAAATTAGATAACAATTTCTGATCTTAAACCAAACAGATATGGTTCATTGATGTATTCATGGATGAAAACAGCAAAGTTCCGTGAGGGACAAAATGATATTCGTTCCAGTTTAAAAGTTCTTTCTTTTATCTCGATATATTTGATTTCATATTTTTTATTGATATAAGTTAAAGTTTCTATTCTGATGAAGTGAGTACAAAGATTTTTCGGTACTTTCTTTTCAAAAATTTTATTGCTTAATTTTAAGCTCACAAGAAAACAGATGACAATTGTGTCAGGTTTTAAAGGATTATCCGAAAAACAATAAAAACACAAAAGGGAAAATGTTTAGTTATTTTGAAAATCCGCTTAAATCAAATGACATTGGCACCGTTCTTAACATATTTAGATAATTCCAATTTTATGAATTATAATTTATTCATAAGTATTCTGAAGCGTTTCTTGGCTCACATGTTACAGTTTCTTGCCATGAATTATTTTTACATTTTATTTGATGGCCAGAGACTGTAACTATTTTGATACCATCGCCATGCATAGTTCAATCAATCGATAGTCTAAATAAAGGATATTTAATTTAATGTTTCTTACTTTAAATTAGTTAACTAAACTAAAATGTGTTTTGTGTAGCTTTTTCTTTCTTCTATTTGTAAGTGTGTGTGTGTGTGTGTTTGTTTATGCTCTCTTTGGTTTTTTTTCTTCTGCATCTTCTAATGATTTTCTGATCTTTCTTTGAAGCATCTCGCAAAGCGTTTTCTTCTCATTACTCCTGACCGATGTTCACTGAATAGTCGAGAATCAACATTTTTCATTAATCTTGAGGAAAAACATTTCTTTGGTGATATAACAGTTTCTTTCTCAGTCTGTATTATTTTTTTTCTTTCATTCGATATAAAATAGTTAAATTATTTTCAAATCTTTGTCACTCCGAATAACAATAGCATAAAAAAGGAAAAATGTTTTATTGCTTTCACGTTTGACTTCATCGACTTAATCAAATGACATCGCAGCAAGTAGAAGAAGAATTTGCGTGATGATCTCACTTAACTTTTTTTTGGTACACAACGCATGTTGTTAATGATTTTATTTATCTTTCTCATTTTTTTTGTGTTTTTGTCAGTCGATTTGTATGCGCTTTTTATCGTTTTCACATTATTTTATTGCTATACTTGTTATTATTTATTATTATCTTTACTTTTTAAATGTAGGATGCAAATCATGTTAACGATAAATTAATAACAGCTAACTAATGAAAGAAAAAAAATATAATAATGAAGAGAATATTTAGAAATTAATTTGAGCGGGGGAGAGAGTAATGAAAACATTTATTCTTGTAGATATTTATTGGAAGCCTTTAAATCTCGAAAAAAAATTTCAACAATGAAGAAAAGAAAAACAATCTGGAGAAAACATAAGGAAAACTAAAAAATATTCGGTGGTTTACGTCTTACGCCCATCGAAAATAATAAATAAGATAATCTTGCATTAATGGCCACGGAAAATGTTTGAAGCTAATTCTCGTTACCCGCGAAACCATAAAATCCTCAAGATTCTCAAAAAGACACTTCGAATGACGCTGACGAATATTCATATCTACTAGAGATATTTTAAAAATCATCCGGATCGTCAGCATCGATCTCACCATCGCTAACATAAATCATATTCTCACTTGGATCATTCATTTTTCCAGGTGGCCGCTTAGATGTTCGCTTTTTCTTATAACGCTTTGTCAAATGTGAAACATCACGAAGTTTTCGTTTTTTATTAGCGATGGATCCAATCTCAAGTGGATCATCTTCTATTTCCTGATCAGGATCATCAAAATCATCATCATCGTCATCATCCGAATCTTCTTCAGCAATGAGGCATTCCTCGGTCAAAGGCTCTTTGGAAATTCGGGGTTTCTTAAACTCATATACAAGCGGGTAAATGTGCTCAATAGCTGCTTGAACATTGGCAACACTTCGAGCTTAAATAAGAATAAAAACAACGAGAATAAAAACAAAAATATTCCCTCACACATTGCTCACCTGTCACCGTCATGCTTCCTGTCGAGAAAATCTTCAATGTGGCAGTGGGGTTCTTTAGAATGTATGTAACACCAGGATGAAGTTCTGGCTCGTAGCTTGCATCTTTCTTATACTTCTCCGAAAAATTTATGATGTTTATTGCCCATGGCATTCTGCATGTTCCCAATACGTTTACGACTCGATAGTTTTGAAAACGAACTTTGAAGTTTAACTTTTGAAGAACACGAGCATATCGACGAGCAGCAATTTTTGCCTTTAATTTAAGTTATTTAAAAGAGATTAGTAAAAGTTTGTTTTGACGTAGGTCAAAGGGATGGAGATGAAGGGAGGTAAGCTACGCAGTTCGGGTCGGATTAAATAATAAACAATTATCAGACAAAAATTTATTTAATTATGTAGCTCACCTGATCTTCTGAAGTTGCTCCCGTACATGTTATCTTTCCTGATGACCAGATAGATGCTGTTGTATATGGCTTGCGTAACTTCATCGTTACCATTCCATTTTCTCTTTTAAACTCAACATTTGCACCATTGAGCGCAATATCTTTCAATGCCAGATGACAACGAACACTAAAAGCACACACAACATTGCTTATTACAATGTCAATTTCCGGTTCAGGTTCTTCGTTCGCTTCTTCTAGCACTTCTTCTTTCTCAACTGGCACACTGATTTCATCAGGCAAAACTAATTTCTCTTCTTCTTTAATTATTACACTTTTTAGAGGCTCATTGGATTGCTCCTTATCACTAGTGTTGGTATAAAATGTTTGCTGATGAATGAGTGGCGGCACTGAGGAAATTGTTGTCCCCGTATGATGATTATTGTTCATTTGTTGATGTATCAAGTTGCTAAACGTTGTGTGATTATTTCCAAGCATAGAGCTAGTGGTGTTTAGGGAGGAATATGTATGAAATGAGTTATGAAAGCCATTAAAGCCTCCGCTGTTTGTGTGATAGAATGAAGTTCCATGATGCAATTGATCGCTCAAACTGTGGTGTATGGAATGTTGACCGACAAAGCTTGACGCACCTCCGCTTGTTGCACTCATTTCATGAGGCAAAAGCATTTTTGTGCCTGTTGAATCAAGAGAATCGTTTGTCATCATTGTTACTACGTCTGATGGATTATTGATTGTTTCAAGCTCAAGAAGGCTTTCAAAATTTGATGCGTTTTGATGCAATCGATTGGCGATTAAATGATCTTTCACTTTCTCATTTGATGGTGTTTGATGTTTCATTCAAAGTGCTTTCTTCTTATTAAGAAAGATTTCTTGAAAACAATTATTAATTATATTATCAACTGCACCTAGTTTCTTATAGCTTTTCAATTGTTTTTTTTTTTAGTTTTTTATTTTTTTATCACTTTACCACTCTCATATGAATTTAATTTAATTTTCTTCTTTGATTTCTTCACTTGATAACTTCATTTAATTAATATTATTCTTTTTTTCAAATAGTATTTTTTTAATATTTCGCTGCTCTTCTCTTCTCTCGCAAGGAAATCGATGTATAAGTTTTGCTGACTTTGAATATCTACAACAATGAAAGAAACGATTAATGATTATTAAGAATGAAATAGTCGCAATGAACAGTGAATAATGAAAGATTAAAAAGAAGAAGACAACCAAGAATTATTATTTATGTTAAATATTTATTTATATAGGTAAACGTAGCAATCAATAGAATTTTGTGGTTGTAGAAGTTTATTTCGTTTTGCTCTTTTTTTTTGCAGTTTAAGAATTGAGAATTCCCAAGACGTAGTTATACATCTGGTAGAGGATTGCGCAAAGACATTTTATGACTTCAATAAAATTCAAATTATAATGACAAAATTTTCGAAAAAAGAAGAAAAAACATTATAAAACGAGACATCATAAAGTTTTGTTTCTCTAAGCAGTTATCTCCTAAGCAATCTTTTAGACATGTGTAGGTGTAAAAGTTTCGAATTTCAAGAATTTTTACCCCAAAATAATGCAAATGAGTCACTGAGTAAACCTCGAACTAAATAATAAAACAAGAAGATATCCGCTCAAAGACAATTTCTCTCTCACAGATGATCAAACAAAATATCTGTTAAGCTAAGAAACAGAGAATCATTAAACGACTCAGTTAGTGTAGAATTGAAGCGTTATAAACACTTGAAACATTCTAAAAGCGAAAACTTCGGAGATAAAAATTATAATTAATTGATGAACAGGAGATGAAATTATTAAATATTGAGTTATAATGACAGATGAAGCAAAGTCAACATTATCTTAACTTGTTTCAATGTGACATGTGTAGTTTGCAAGCAATGACCTTTGCAGCTTATTTCGTTTATATCTACGTCGATAAAAAGGTTCAAGGTGCTTTCAATTTACATATTTATACCCACAATAATGACATAAATATTTCTTGAGTCGTAACAATGATTTTCATAAATTTTTCTCGAGCAATTTAAGTGTGCGCAAGCTTTTTTGTATGCTACCGACTAATTTTTTAAACTATTCCGAACTCAAACAAGCATAAAAATAAATAAACAAAATCATCAGCTGCTAAGCAAAAGGTTACAGGTTAGAACTGTTTTTCAGCTACGTTGACCTGACTGAAATTCGAGACAACAAAGCTTAGTCTTATATATTTCGCGAAGACTACGACAACATGAAAGTCATTACGAATACGCTCTTAAATTGGAAATTTCCCCATTTTGTGTATATATCTCTATATATAATATTTATGTATAACTTTTTTTTCATCTTTTTTTGAATCAATTGACTAAACTGGCTAAATAGCAAAATGTTCAACATCGATGATAACAAAAAAAAAAGATGAGCAAAAGCAAACTATTCCAAAACAGTGAAAAGTGAGAGACGTCAAAGCCATTGGATGATGAAAGCGTCCTTCACCTATAAACATAATTCCATCAACTATGAATTACAAGCTGGAGGGTTTAAGGAAGTAAAGTGTGAGAATATGATAGCACTTCACATTTTTATCGCAACCTTGGATCTTTCATCTCGAAATTCTTTTTTAAATGATAAGAGCTATAAGAACCAAAACTAAAACGTGTTTAAAAACATGAATAAATTCTAAACATTAGGAACTTTACTCGATTTTGTGAGCCCTTTAATGACTCAACATTAGATTGCACACAATAATATTTAATGAGTTATTTTTCCCTTCTTGCCTTCTTATTATTCTTCGTTTTCTTCTAATTTGAGTGCAAAGCATTAAAAGTACTCATCACGAAAGTTACGTTTTATATATTTTTTTATTATCTTTTAGTTTCTTTTTTTTTGGTTTTTGCTTTCTTACTCATATTTTTCATTTTATTTTTCTCTTCTTTCGCATGAATTTTCAAGTTTCATTGTTAAGCACGAGAATGAATTTGTTAATGTTAATTTGATTAAGACAAAATTCTAATGAGAAGAGAGCCATTTTTTATCAATGCTTTTATAACAAAAGATGAAAAGATGGAAATAGAACAAGAAGATTTCATTTCGTTCATCACATTGTGTACTCAGCTTCACTTTATTTGTCACAATTATTTTACTTCGATAGCAAGAAGAAAGAAAAAAAAATGTACGCGCGGGGGACCCACGAAAATAAATATATTTCTTTGAAACGTCGCGAGCTTCCTCCCCAATCGCACACAAACGGACATCTCGACCGAAAAAAAACACCATCAAAAACGAAATTCTCTCGTACTCAGCACATTTATGAATGAGCTAAATTTGAAGAACTTTTCGATTATTGGGTGATGTAGAACTGGCGAAACGAAAATTTTAAGAAATTCACTCAGGGAAGATAATGTGTTCAATGTGAAACTCAGGAAGAAAGCGAAAGGAAATAATTTCACTGAAAATTGAAATTAATGGAGATTCTCTTCTTTTTTTTCGAGTAAGTCCTAAAAGGGGAAATACTGAAGTGAGACTAAGAATAATGCAACGCTTGCTACTTTTTTAACATATAAATTGTTGAATATCGTACAACTTACGTTTTATTCTATTTTATTGTCCCAAATATAAAATTATATTTGCTTTTCACGATTTCTTAAATATTTTTTTTTAAAACTTTTTTTCATTGTCTTAAATCACTTCCAATCTCGTTCACTACACGTTCACAACTTTTGGAGTACGTTATTTGGTAAATGAACTTAAATTTGATGCACAGTTTTGATCAGGAACATTCTTTTTTGTATTATAAATTATTTTGATATTTGATTCAAGAAATCCTTCGACAGTGCGAACTAATCATTTGGTCGAGTTTACTAAAAAGAATATTTAAATGTTGAATTACCGTTAAATATTCTGAGAAGATAAATTAAAGTAAATAATTTTAAGGAAATGAGAGGAAAACATCATTTAACTAATAACGTTTTAATTAAATATTAATCTTTAAACAACGTAAAGTCAAATTATTTAACTGCTTGTCAACAATCACAGTGAGAGTTTATTAATTAATTATCATAAAGTGTAACACCGCCTACAAATTCGAATTGTCGAAATTCAGGGGAATGTTTTTGTTTCGACCATTTTTTGGACGAGATATGATTGTGCTAAAATTTGAAAATCTTCATACGTTAATAATTAGACTCAGCTTTTAGCTATTTATACCATCCTTGAAAATATAAACTGATCATTACTGCATAATTAATGTAAATTATATATGCTTAGACAGTTCATGATTTTTTAATAATCTAAACAACCATCACAAAGTTGATAGAGTGAAAAAATGGATTAAATTGAGTGAATCCTTGCCCTTATTATTACATTGAATTTTGACTATCTTATCGGATTTTCTATTACCAGTTTATGACTTAATAAATATGTATTATCCTTCAATAAAATAATGTTAGCACCTATTCTCATTGTCAATTAAAGTGTAAATAGTAGTAAAGTTATAGTGGTTCATACATATCATTTATTCTAGATGTAGAGTAGACAAATTGTTTAAACTAGGTAATTGAATTAACAATTTTGATGCCCATCTGTTTTTAATCAGGGGCATTATAAAAAATTTAAAGAAGATAAAAGATAAGAAGTTTATTGCACATAACTCTATTATCGATTATTGGTTCAGTAGTAATTGAAATTTCCTGTAGAACACAAACAGTATTTAATAAAAATAGACTATGAGGAAGCTGAGAATTAAAAGTTTATTATTAACATTGGGATTTGCAGCATGTATTTCAGCTGTAACTGTCACGTTATTAATAGTCATTGGAAGACCTGAATCAAGCCCACAAACAACGGATTCAAGTGTGAGCTCAAGTACTGAAGAAACGTTTACTTCCGATGATTCAACACTACCAGACGCCAGCACAGGAACTACGGATTCAAGTGTGAGCTCAAGTACTGAAGATACGTTAACTTCCGATGATTCAACATTAGACACCAGCACAGGAAATGGTAGCACACAAACAACGGATTCAAGTGTGAGCACTGAAGAAACGATTACTTCAGATGATCCAACATTAGACACCAGCACAGTTCGGATACCACCTACAGGTTTACTATTGAAACATATCAAAGAAATTATATTGAATAATTTATATTATGAACTTTCATTCAAGCTCCCCCGATTACAGACGATCCTGAATTTTGGGATTATTATGCATATCAAAATTAGATATGAATTTTAAAATTGGATTTATTCTCATCAGATTTCAACAGTCTATAAAAAAGGTTTTCAAGATTTTAAATATGACAATCCGACAAATAAAACATGTTTTGAAAAACGATTTCATTTTGTAATTCTTTACTAACTTTACAATTTTAGCAAATTTTAGCACTAAAAAACAATTGTTTTTACGAAATTTTGTAATTTTGTGTATAAATCTTCAATGAGAAGTTTTTAAAGAGATTCAAAGTTCTCCTTTATTTCCTTGAATTCATTCCTATTAAGGTAAGACAAAAGTTTTAGACGAATTGTATGCTGTATCATATTTTCTTTATCCAAAAAATTTTTTTGAATCATCCAGATTTCTTCTTAATTTTATCAATTGATTCTTGTGATATTTAGTTAGTCGGGATGTGATTAAGACAGTGGTTAAATAATTACTTGCACAGTGTAATAATGTCAAGTGACATAGTTTTGAATATCTACTTTGGTGTGAACCATCGGAAATTATTGAATTTTATTTATTCAGAGTAATATTTTTCGCCTCCATAGTGAATCGATCTTAAATAGTGCCTTTGAAAAATTTCGATAAGTGGTGAAATGAAAAGTGTATGGTTCATATAAACAAGTAGTCCTCTTTGCATAAGGCAATTAATGCAAATTCTATTAACATTGGCTACTTTTAAAAAAGAGTTCAAGTTATTCTTATTTTTCGCCGCATCCTTACCATCATTATTTTTTCTCATTTGTATGGTGACAACTTCTGCGCCTGCCTGATGTTTTGTACATGTGAATGTTGCCTGGCAAGTAACCACGCCTCAAACTCTCAGTATTGATCACTTGGAATAAAAGCGTGTTTGTAAGTTAGGGTGAAATGTCCGCTTCCACTCTTCCAGTGCCACTTATTTTACATCAAAGAATAGTCTTTTACGCTTTTGAGATTCGAAATCTGTCCTAAAAAACACTGCGATATTATAGACAATTCTCACTTTAAACTCGTTAAAGAATGGCCAAAGCCATCAAATTCTCACCCTCATAAGGAATTTAATGAAACGTGTTTTCTCTCTACACTGCCGTTTGCATGTTTTGAAGCTCTTAAACGTCTTTACACATTTAAGGTGACGATTCAGATATGAATATTTATAAGATACATTTCTATTTAAAGCTAAAAGCTTTTTCTTTAGAATTTTTAAGATTACGTCTAACAGCCTTTGTTATCGGATCAATTTTTTTTATGAAAACATTCAAAAGACAGATGAAGCTTATCCACGAGTAAACCCTATTCCTACAGAGACATTAATCCTCCCCCAAAAATACATAGAAGCTTCATGATTCTGAGTAAATCATTAATCCTTGACGAGTCTTTCAAAGATTTCTGTTCACTAACGATTGATTTTGGATAATCATGCCAGTGAAAATACCGGCAGAATATAGCAACACGAGAGAAGGAATTGATTTCAGATTCTCATCACATAATTCTTGCAAATTGAAAATCAATTATCTACATTTGTCGTATTTGATTTTTTCATGTACTTTCTTTTTGTTTTTGTTTCGGCCCAAGGGAACAGAAATGTCAATGACTGGGTCACCTATAAATTGTTAATGAAAATCGTTTTGGAAACTTCGATTCTAGAAAAGCTTATGAATAAAATTTACATTAAGTAATGTGGTGAATTGAGCATTGAAGAAGAACGAGAAGATAAAATTATTTAGCTGTTTTTAAGCAATGAAAATATCGATTTCCATTCCAAAACTGACGTCATAATCTTAAACACGAAAAATGGGGTGAAATGTTTTCTCTTTTTTCTTTCTTCTGTCTTTTCAAATACGATTGAGAAAATTTAGCCACGGAGTTTTTGAAATAAGACGGAAACATGTTAAAGGCACATTTTTTTTCCTCAGTTTAGTTCCTTCCGTATTTCATTCCGTTTGTATGGATGTCGTCATGATTGTGTGTTTCATTCTTTTGTACTATGTTTACGTTGGGAAAATAAACCAAATATAAATGGGGAAAATGTAAAAAGCTCGTAAAAATTCACCCTCTTAATCAAACAACATTTACACACTGAACATTCTTTGTGTTTGTTTGGAAATCTCACTTTTAAATGTGTGCGTGTGTGGGATTGTGGAAGGAAAAAATAAAATTTAGGGGAGAAAATTCCGAGTCGTGAAAAACATTTTCCAATATTTTCATCAGATGAGTTTTGTGTGTTTTGGAATTCAGCCGGTTTTTTCTTGGTTTACGGAAGTGGAATATTTGACTGACATTATTTAGTGAAAAATTATCTGAAACTGGCTGAACGAAACAATTTTTATTGTTTTATAGAAGAGAAAAATTTTCATCTTAAATTATTGATTTAATAATTGAAGAAAAGAAGACAATCAATTTAAATCACGATTTGATTTGATAAAAGAAAATTCCGATAACAGTAGAAAGTAAATGCAAGGAAAATTTGAATTAACATTTTATGAAAATTCAAGAAGTTGAGTGACGAAAAGAAAATTTTCATGTGAATGAGATAAGTGAAAATAACAAAACGAAGAAGAAACAGAAACTGTGACAAAATTGTGGAAAGTGAATCGATAAGCACCACTTTCGCGAAAAGCTCTCTCCTGTGACGCGAGAAGCCAGGGAAAACCAAATAAAAAAATTAATGAAATGTAAGCACTTTATAACCAATTTTGTTGTCGTTCGTTGCGTCTTTGTTTTGTCATTTCCATCTGAAGTGGAATAAGTTGATTCTTACGATTGAATGAACACAAGTAGAGTGTTAAATTGTAAAACAGATAAAAGCATCTGAAGGCATGTTGCTAAAGTGGTTTGCCAGAGAAAACTTCTCATTATCATCACGTCAATTTTATAAGCGTCGTCATCTGATTTCGATAGCTTTCTTGTTTTCCTTGTAAAGTATACATACATAAAACATTAAATTTCAAGGAGTTATTGTTGATTAAGTGCATCAACCCCAGCGACGGGATAGTTTTGCACAATAAAAATTCTCCTCTAAAATTTTGGACTTGCGCAACAACAATGAAAACTAGAGATTGTCGATGTGCCTATATAAATAATGGGATGCCGGGGGTTACAGTTAAAGACACAAGAGAATGGGACATTTCATAAAAACGAGCTAAAATTAATTGTGTAATCGACTACTCTCATAATGTATAGCTGGAAATATTATAAGGATGAACTAGAAATGCTTTGGAATATCATTAGCATTGATTAAATGAGAGATTAATTGGGAAATGTGGACACAAGGTTTTGATGAATAGAAACGGGATTATTGGTGTTCTCTAGAACAGAAATTTTCTCATTAATCGTCAGCTTCAGAAACAGAAGATGAATAGTTTTACATAGCTTCAAGATATTTACATGATTGCTCTATAATGAATGACTCTTGCCATTTAAATATTGTCAACGATCTCAAAGATAATAACTCATTTAAAAGCTTTTAGAAATTTCTTTCAAAAGTGACAAAATGTAAGATTTTGGTCTAATTTTATTCAAATGTAATGAATTCAAAGAGAATTGAAAAGCATCTCAAGACGCCCTTTAATTAATTTCCAACATCTTTTATGACATTCGACGGAACTTGAGCGGAATGATTCAAATTGAATTTGAATAATAAGCTGGGTAGAGACTAAGGAGCTCTCACAATCTCCCTTGTTTTGAGGATGTGATGAAATAGGGAATTGATTGAATTAAATTTTATTAGACGGGGGAAAATATTGATTCGTTATGCGTTTGAGAAAAGCAAATAAATGTACAATCATGTAGCCTCGAGCTTCAAACTTCCGCAATATTCTTTTTCATCGGTGGAAAATTTCCGGTTTTTCACTTTTTGTAATTTATTTCTGAGTGTGTGAAATTAACTGACTTGAATTGGAATTTTTTTAACCCATTCAAATAGAAAATTTGAAATTTGAATATTTATGGCAAATATAAAATTTCTACGAGAAATAAATTCATTTTTATTTAGTATTTGATGACTGACTAATCCACAAATGAAGCCAATGAAAAGCTTTCTTAATATGAGAAACAAATGAAAGGCGATCAATCAGAATCACATTTTGAATGGCATTTTCTCGCTTTGGTAATCCATATTTGCTGAAGGCTATAAGCGGAATTGACAGAAACAAGTATTATATTGATAAAAGACAAACATGGCGTTAAAATAAAGAAAGAAGAAAAATAATCAATTTAATCTTCATAGCTTTAGTATAATAAGAGGAAAATATTCTAACATGAAATGTTTTTGTTTTCTTGTGTCCATAAAAACGTGTCAACATTAAAATGCAACGAAAACAGTGCCATCAGCATTGAAACATGAGCGATGAGAGTCGTGCAAACATAACCTGAATCAATGAATTATTCACAACTGCGTAATTGATTAAAGAAGTTTTTTGTTTTTTCATCCTTTTTTTAAAAATTCCATGAGAAAGCTCAATTTTTACATTACATTACATAATTATAGAGCTTTCTTAAGTATAATAATCAAGTAACGTTTCACACAAGTTCGTGACTCGTGATAATTCGAACATTTCACTGTCAGGAAGCTCGCATAAGGAAAGAAACACCAAAAAGAAAACTTTTTTCAACATTTCCAAGGAAGTTAATTATTAAGCTTCATCTTTAAGTCTGTGAATATTAATAATTATTTCATAACAGTTGAATGCTAAATGAAAAAGAAAATGCCCAGCGGTGGATCCAGGATATAAGAAATTTATTATGTAAATTTTATGTCAGGTATTAATTACGATTTATTTATTCTCCAGCGACTGTTTGCAAGCCAAAGTCAGAATAGATTTCAATTTAAATGTATGAGTTTTGCTGATGCTAAAATATACATTAATTAATTTATTTCTGCTTCCCTTTTTAAACATAAAACATCGCTGTTTACAAACTTTCATAACTTATGGGGATGTAAAACAATTTTTTTATGCAACTCTTTCAATAATTTTTCGGTTTCAAACCCTCACTTTACCCATTCATAAGCATTTCATTTTGCCATATTGTATAACTTGGTGTTTTGGGACGTGACACTTTATGAATTTTTCAAATTAAAAGGCGGAAAATATTCGAAGTATGGAAACATTAAAAAGATTTTATTGTACTTAAATATTCTACCGTTTAGATGAGAGTCACGGAAAATCAATGAGAGAACAAACACGTTGTCGTTATTCGCAGATTATACTAAGCGTTCAATTATGAACCCAAGAAAAGAATCCTCAGATAAAGGTAAAATATTCTCCCCCAGTTGATCCTTCGACGTGAATTTGGGAAGATAGATTTTTGTGAACCCTTTGAACCCTCTTTGTACTTTCCACAACAACACAAATATCCTCGAATCGTATTCCAACTTGAAAGATAAAAAAGATATCGTTCACAATTCCAAATCAGAATGTTAATGTAATTTCTAAATTATGAAAAAAATGAATTTATGAAATAAATCTGAGATCTGTAACATGAAAATTAATGAGAAAACTTAACGCGTAGGAGTTGTAGAGCAATTTCAAAAGTTCATAAGTCCCAAAATGTATTCGACATTCTCTCAAGCTCACATTTACCATTGCCAAAAATTGTCTTCCCTTTCCCTCTCTTCACATTCACATGAACAGTTATTGCTGTAATATTTTATTCCTGTTTCTAACACATTCCATGCTTGAGTACGCAGCAGATTGTGAAAATTCCTTTAAATTACTCTCGGAAAGTGTTTGTTGCTTTTCCACTTGTTCACATCTTGGGAACAACATGAAAAGAAATTAAAAGTTTATATTTCTCGTACTTCTTCACAAGAATAATTGTGATCTGTTGTGTATACAAAGTAGAAGAAGAACAACAGAGAAAGTGCAAATATATTCAAGAGGAACCTTCGACAAAGCGAAGTAACTTTGAACATGTATTCATTAAAACTCATACAAATTTGCCTAAACTTTCATCACACTCACAATTGCCATTTGCATTCTAACATTCAATTCATGTATGTTTGATGACAACAACATTTTCCAATTATGATGTGAGTCACATAGAAATTTAATTGAAATTGAATCTGAATTTTTCTTTTTGTAAACTTTATGAATTGTTTGTTTTGTCTGTCGAGAGAAATCAATAAACAGGAAATCTGAGAGATGTTGTCACATGTTCTTCATTCTTTCCTCCTCTAAAAGGAATTTCAATTGAAAGTTTTCTACATTGTGGAGATTTCGAAACTAGTCACGTTTTCAATGATCTGAACATGATTATCCGCTCATAATATCCGTCTTAATATGTCTACATCAATTTATATTTGATCATTGAATCTCCATGATTTTCATCCTCCATCGCTATGTATAAATGAAAGCAAAGCTCGGAAATTCTTTACCCGAAAGTCTTCAATCAAACCCATAACAAATTTTCTTTCAACGCTAATGCTTAGTGAGTGGAATAAGATGAAAAAGTTCCAAACTGCAAAAGATTGAAATTGATTTTTAAAATATATGAGAAATAAGCGATTTTCAAATCAATAAATATGTCTGGTTGATTCTTGCGGCAAAGTTGTAAAAAAGAATAGAAATAGGAAATTTCAAATCGTTCATCACGTTCCCTTCACCGTGTTTTTCTGTCATGATTTGAACTTTTAGCTATTAAGTAAACCTAACATGTGATCAACAGTCGATGAACAAATTCAATTAAGAGAAAAAAACATTAAACGCGCCAACGTATAAAAGAAAGTGAGAGTAAAGTGTTTACAGGGAAAATCAATTTCGATTAAGAATAGAACAAGAAAGTCCTTGAGGCCGAACATTTAGCAATTACTAATCGTCAAAAACCTGGCATTTCTTTTATTTGCTATTTTTTGCGTGACCTTCTTGAACAACCTTGGCTATGCGTTTCGTGTTTTTGACTTGGGTTACAATTAAGTTATATAGCAGTAGGGTGCGTGGGTGGTTCGCCGGATTTTACCGCTTTCTTGATTATTCTTATTCCAGCAACAATTTAAGACGACGATAAAGTACGAAAATTAAATTTTCATTATTAAATCTTTTCAACCAATTCAATAATGCTGAAAACTTTATGAACAGACGCGAATGTGAGCAACTCAAACATGAAAATGTTTTCCAAAGAATATTTTTCGTGAACTTTAATGGATGAAGCTTTTCGAATATAATTTTAAGACTTCATATTGCTTTGTTTTTTCGTTCGATTACAAATGCTTTATGTCGCACATAAAAAAGCAATAAGTAACATATTTGCCATAAGCTCTTGTTATAGAAGGTGTAAGCAATAAAAAGCTTCACTTTTATTCTTCCCAGGTTTGCTGTTTAAGGGTGTCACGATTCGTCTGTTTGTTTCGTCGTAAAGCTCAAAACCAAACAACAAATTCGATGTTCGAATGCAAGACTAAATTTTCATATATCTTTGAGTTCTTTTTCTGGGAAAAAGGGAATTTGATTGTGCATTTAAGAGTTTTCCAAAGGTTTTTTCTTCCTTTCATAAATACTTACATTTAGACATCTAGAAGGAAAGAAAAGTTGTCAAAATTATCAATCGAAGAAAGAAATGAAAATTGCCGAAAGATAATAAGAAGAATGAAATGGGGAAGGAAAATCTTATTGTATGAATATGTAGGGTGAAAAATCGATAATGAAATCAACTTCTTTGGGTGTGAGTGCGAGAAAGAAAATGTTCCGGAATGAAGACGGCAAAAATCACCCTCCGTCTGTTTGTTGTTAAGAAAAAAGAAATCAAACCGCAAAACCTTCAATGTATGGAAAACTTTTTTGTCGAATCGTGTGTTTAAAAAGAAAATTTTAAAAAGAATAAAAAGGGTCACAAGGGATAAGGTTGTTGGGGGTTGTTAACGAAATTTAGTGAAACATTCATTGAATGTTTAACGTATTTGAAGAGAACAGTTCTGAATGAATTGTTAATTGGTGTGAAAAGCATAATCAGAATTATTTAAGAGCTCTTTCAATCGTCACTTAAGACTAAATACACGTTCAGATTTGGAAGCAAGCAAACTTTATCCTTCATTAATAATTAATCGATTAAATAACATCGTTGATGCAATGGAGATTGTCAGTGTTCATTATGAGTTTAAAAAATGTTAATTCTCTTCTGAGCTCATTAAATAAACTTTTAATTGTAGCTTAACTATAACTTTTCAATGTTTTAATGCTTCATTTGTTCATTAAAACAAGTCGAAAGGATTTGGTGTTTAAAATTTCAATAAAATTTCATGTATCTGCAAATGCATTGAAGTCGATTTGGTAATTAAACAATGAAAGTTATCAGTGCATGCACAGTAGTTACGAGTGTCAACATTTTATTCACAGATATTCAGCTTAAAGTTTCATTTCCAAAGGATTCAATAATAGATGAAAATGTCGGAAAAGGTTACGACAACGTCAACGACTAAGCCAGGTTTTTATTCACAAATTTATGAAAGATTTTTATGTCACATCAAATTCTTTTTACTGCCATTGTCGTCGTTCAAAAGAAATTTTAAGCGGAGAAAAAAATCATAAATTAAATCATGAAAATTTTATCGCCACATCTGTGAATTTTTTCATTTTTCAAGCCTTGCAGCATCACAAAACCGTGTTTGAAAATTCACATTCAAAACTAATAAGAATTGAGTGAAGGAATCGTCAGGAATCGTTTTTAAATTCTAATTGAATTTCACGGTTTTGTAATAAATGGAAAAATTTCCATGAGTAATCGACGCTATCATCAAAGATTATTTTTTTAAAATTTCATTTAAAATTGAGGCTTGCGATAGTTCTCACGCTCCACCTTTTCATCGTTGTTAAAAGCATTGCATTATGTATTTATGTGTGCCTTTTATCCATCTAGAATCGATCGTTTACTTTGCACTGATGAACTTTCTATTGAAAGAAACATTTTTCAAGCTTTTTTAGATCTGGGATTAAAAAAGGCATTTCATGAATTTCAATTTCTCCCAACGTCAATGTTTGAGAGTTTAAAATGTATGTTCATCTTAAATTCTTTTAGATTTATAGACGTCATGTATTTATTTAACTCAAAGAACCCTTGAAACCTCAAGAGAAAACTTTCGGCCACAGCATTAGACTCATCAAGTAGCTTTGAAGCTGAAGAAACAATTTTGTAAAAAGAAATCGATAAAAGGATAATAAATCTATTGGAAAAGTTACAAATGTTTCTTTTATTAAAGATAATCGAAAGCTTTGGTTAAAGTTTATTAAATAAATATGTTTAGTTAACTGAAAGACATAACAAGCAATTTCATGAAAACCATTTAGTGGTTTCATGTTAAAACGACTTAGTAAACAATAAAATCAAGAAGTTTTCATGAAAATCTTGCTTTCCTCCCATTTTCACTGGAAAAACAACTCTTTCTTTACACTTTTCCTTAAGTAAACGAATCTCAGATCAAAAAGTAGCAGCTGAGGCGATTACATAATGTGGTTTTAATGTTTAACGCTTTCTGGTTAGCGAAGAAAACACATTACCAAAATATATCCGATTTTCCTTTTATTTCTTCTTCTTCTATCATTTTTCGCCCTCGTTCGAAGAACACCAGATGGGGATTTCTCTTCCAAAAGTACTTTTATTTTGTCTTGTTTTGGAGAAAAAGATCTGTTACAGCAACGACATCACGCATGATGATATCTTTAAAGTAATAACTTTTGATGTTGTACGGTGAAAAATCAGATGTAGGTGTTCGTTCTGCGTGCAAATAACAAAATTTCATTCCGTTGATATGACAAATTGATGCTGTAATTCATTTGCGTCATCGTCACTTTGTTTCCATAAGGGAGTAAAAGTAAAATATATTCGTGTGAAAAGTTGAAAGAAGAAACATTTCAGTGAATGCATGAGAAGATTGATGAGACTTAAAAAATTATATGAAGAAGAATTGCTTCGCTTTTTTGTTGTAAAGTTTTTCTTTTGAAACCTCCTTGAACTGTTTATTTGTTGGCTCTTTTCTTCTCAGTTTCATGAGTTGAATGCATGAGTAATCTTGGCTTGAGGTATGATTCTGATGCTTCCATTCATACTTTTCTTGAATAGCTTACGGTTGAGTTGCATGTTAAAAAAAGGAAAACTTGGGGCCTCTTTCAAAGCTGAACTTTGATTATGTTTGCAAAAACATAATATTATTTATAAACCGAATTTCTTCTACCTTGTTAAAGCTTGTTTACAAGAAAAAATCTTTTGAGAAAAAGAATCATCATGGAGAATAAACTTTCATTTTTATTGCATCCATTTTTCTATAATGTGAAGTGCTGTGAATAAAAACGAGCGTTTTTCTTTGTTTTCTGTTTACAGAAAGTTTGCTGATTTCCAGTTGAAGAACTTTAGTTGAGAACATTTTAACTGAACATAACAAAAGCATAAAGAATTGGATAAAATTTATCAAGATTATCAAGAGTATCCCTGCATTGCTGGTGGAATAATGGAATTCGCTAGATTATGGTGAGTTTTACTCCTGCCTTTTGCAATTCTTTTAAAAGTCTTGCAAGCTTTCAAAAGGTTCAACTTACTTACTCAAGAAACGACTTTCTTGCTATCAAATCAAATGATTTGAAATTTTCCACTTCAAGCTCTTTAACTGATTGTTTTCTTAAGAACTAATTCCAGTTTAAGTTCTTCAACAAAACTGAAGTTCTGATTCCGATTGCATCAGCACTTCTTATTATCTGTAATCATAATGACTAAACTTTCATGTTATTGATTCATTAATTACATTATAAAAGTTGTTTATTGACTTTCTCTGACAATAGAAATCCAATTAAATGGAAATTTTCTTTTCCAAAGAAAATCTCTAGAAGGAAATAGACCGCGAGGCCTTAGAAGTGACCTTTTAAATCACATTTAATATTTACTCAACATTCTTTTTATATCTCACAATAATAACCCGCTGAGATGTAATGTTGATTAAACCTTTCTTAAATCATAACAAAAGCATTTCATCTCAACTTTTTCCATTAGATTTCAATAAAAAAAGTCAGTTTCATTGCTAAAGTTTTCCTCTCAACAGAAGCTTAGCAAATGAAATTCAGATTTTATGAAAATCATGACGGCAAAATCACTAGACTAGCGAAAACTATAACAAGAGGGTTGTCTTGGTTCGACTGAGTGAACAATTGGATGGAAAACTAACAATAAACATCGGATTTTCGTATGAAAATGTGGAGGGTAAAATACGAAACTGATTTCTATCATGCTGGGGAAAGGGAAGCGATTGTAATAATCAATTTCGAATTTCTATTTGCTTGAGCCATTGACTTCTCTTATTTTCCTTTTTTTCCGTTTCCCTTAAACAATTGCTTTCTCATCTAAACAAATTGCCATCTAAGGCGCCTAATATCGTAAGATGAATTTATGTGTGGGTGTAAATAAGCGTCAATTTAGTTTAGTTAAAAGTTTCTGTACTGAATGAGAAATCGAAACTTGATTTAAATTCTTCAAAAACTCTCACAATAAATTAAAAATGTTGAATTTGGCAGTTTAACCACCGATATGTCATACTTTTGTGTTTATTGTCATGAAATTGATAATTAAAGGACGATGATTCATTGTTAATGATATTATTATGGACTTCAGTGATTCACATGATTAAAGTTTGAAAACGTGCTGCGATATCACTGGCAAGTGCTTTCCAACGCGTGATGACTGTTTGCGATAATTTTTTTCTTTTATTTTTAGAATGAACATTTTTCTCTTATCGTTCATAACTTTTTTTTATGATGTGTTGCGTAAGCAATAAAGTTTAAATAGATACAAGGGAGCGAAAAAAAAGAAGAAAAGTAATAATTTGTTTAAAACATTTTAAAAGCCTTTTATTGTGTTTGTTTTCCTACCGAAAATGAAATCATTTGAAAAAAGAAATCTCAAATGTTGATTCATTGAATAAAAATTCTTTTATCCAGAAATTGTTTTGTTATCTCTCACAACTTGTTGAGATTTTGCGAGAGATTTGAACAGTAATTAAACTGGAAAATGATTTCTTTTTGAACTTGATTTTTATCAATTTTATTTTGTTGTGACTCACAACACTCGAGTAGAAGTTTTTTTGACTATGACGTTCGAATGAAGTTATTATCGGGCATTTAAGATTCAAGAGTCTATTTCTGAACACTATTGCGTTGCTTCTTATCTTCTATTTTGTTATTGTGACGAAAATAGAAAGTCAAGTGATATATTGACAGAAAAATTCCAACGTTGTCATTTATGTATGTGTACATGATGATTTATTATCGCGATTGCATTTAAGAGACTTCTCTATAAAGTGAATTAATTTTAATTTAACATTTCTGCTTGCAGACAATAAAATTTCCGATTAGAATACAAAGGTCGTGAATAATCAACATGAGCTCACGTCACGCCCTTTACACCGTTGAGGTGGGTGATACTAAATTCACAATATTGAAACGTTATCAGAATCTTAAGCCGATTGGATCAGGTGCACAAGGAATTGTTTGGTGAGTGTTGTCCGTGTCTCTTATCGATTTATCTAATTGCTTTTGCTATGCTGATGTTCGTTCAATATATTTTTATTTATTCACGCAACCAACTTTTATTGAAAAGTTATGTAGCTTGCTTCACATTCCAATCATTGTTTCTTTCCTTTCTCATGCTTTTGTCTCGTCTATCGCTTAAATTTTTATAGAAATAAAAACATTGATTGTTTTATTAAACCTTCGTCATAAATTATTTGGGTAATTGACATTTATTATAATTAATTGATCAATATGAAAATTGCATTAAACTTCCAGACTTAAAAGTATTTCCATTGAATTGCTTGTTAACATGTTAAGAGAACAAAAGACAAACAATGACTCATGTTTTACCGTCTAGTCTTAACATTGTTTAGATCTTCCTACACTTCTTTAAGTATTTAAATCAAGTTAAGTAAAGAAGAAGAAGGAAAACATGAAGAAAAATCATCACAAGAGAATCGCGTTTGACTGTTGACTCATTCAAGTGGCGCGCTAACGAGAAAAAACACAAATAGCATCTGTGTTTAAGAACAAATGTGTTTTTTGGTGGTAATATCTACTTCGAAGAAGTTAAACTAGTAATTGTTATCAGCTGTTCTACAACGTTCAACGAATAATTGTTATCAGTAACCTGTATTAATATGAAATACAACAAAGCAAAAGATTTTTAGTTCAGTTGACTTTTAGATCTGTTCGGAGTGAGTTGGTGAAGTTTTTAGTGAATTATTAATGTGTAAAGAATTGCAATTTTGATCAAAAATGGAAGTTTAATTAAACAAACATGAGTTGATGATGAAGTGTGTAATATTTTAATCTCACTAGATTTTCAACGATCAAAATCTGATGAATATTTAATGTTGTTTAAAGTTCTTTGGTCTTCCAAATATTTATTAAACTTTCATAACACAAAAGCTTATTTTTATTTACATCTAAACATAGCAAATATTGGAAGAAGTTTTCAGATATTTATTTTAACTATTCAACATTAAATTGATCTGTGACATAAAACAAAACTTACTCGTTTATATTTTATTAAAGAAAACTTCCCGTCCATTAAATGTGATTGAATTTTGCAGAGTTCGAATCAGAAAAACTTTTTCTTCAGCTCTTGAATGTCTCGTTGATGTGAACGTTTACCGAGAAATTGATTAACATTGTTAATAATATCAAAACAATGGACAAGCAGTGCTGTTGTTTGCAATTTTTATATTGTTGCTAACATTGAATATGATTTCCCTTTAAATCAATTAATGAAGTGAGTTTGTGAAAGAATCCTTTGAAATGTTATTCAACATCGGATAGTTTTACCAACAATAACGAAAACTGTTATTCGACAATTTAGTTTGATAATAAATTAAGCAACATCAGGTCTTGAAATTTCACAAACTGCGATCACATTTCATTTTTTTGTTTTCCCCTCCCTTACTAAGCAAAATAAAACCTAATACAAGAAAGTTTAGATTGAAATGAAGTTCATCGATACTGAAAAGGGTTGGTTGGTGGCGTACATAAGATTGCCAAAAAAAATGAAGAATCTCTCGGATCGAATTCCAAGTAAAAAAGTGACTACGCGATGAAAAGAAAAACGAACCTTCGAGGGTGAAATTATGACGATGTGAAAAGAATTACGTAAATATTGATTTCCTACTCAAATTCCGAGTCACCCCCGCAAAAGCTTAATACGATTGAAAAGCTTGAAACCTTTTTTTCTCTCTTTCGCATGCCACCTGTCACGATCATGAATTATTCATTAACTCATTTGTCTCACCGAGGCAAGTCCGCTCACAACATTTATGATGTAATTTTAATGTGAAATTAAATATTTATGTCTCGACGTTCTATCTTCGTGTCAAAAAAAAATTGCCTCAAGATAACGAGTGAGAGAAAAAAACAAAATTAATTCCAAATTTTTCTGAGATTCCTTTCATGAAGCGAGAATCAAGAAACAAGAAGCAAGAGCTAAAAGGCAATAATATTCACTCGAGTGATTTACATGCACGCCAACTTCTTATCACACGATTTCTATTTAACCATCATTTGTTTATTTAATCAACCAAGTATTTGATTAACAATAAATCGCATTACTTATTTCGGGAAGATTGTTTTTATTTAAATATAATTTTTTCCTTTTTATTTTTATTTTCATTTCGTTATAAATTAGGGTTTAGAATCACAAATTATTTTATCAGTTTATTGACCGTTGTTGTTATTGCACGTTGTCTTGCAAAAAAAAAAAGAGAAAAGATTATAAAAGAAAGAAAAAAGAAGTTTTTTGTTGGATTGATATTAAAATAAGACGAAACATAAAATGGCAGAAGACGAAGCTCGAAACTACACAAGCTACACATTTGGTGACACAGAATTTATCGTGCCTTCACGATATATTGAGTTGTCAGCTCGCGGAACTGGCGCTCAAGGCATGGTCTGGTGAGTACCATCAGCGGAGATTTAACATTGAATAACACAATTAACATCATCAACAACCAAACCGAACTAACTTTTAGATTAACAGAGGAAACTTTACTTCAATAACTTCATTTTCCATCATTTCTTATAACCGAACAGAATAAATTTATGTGTCAACTTTGAGTCTCGTATATTTGAATTGATTTGCATAAATTTTTATCTTCAAACAAGAAATTTCCTTCTTTGCATGAACATCAAATAAGAAAGATAAACATTAAAGCGTTTTTAAAGTTTCTGTTTAAGTGTTTCCAATCACATTGCTTTCCAACTGAGTTGTCTTCACCTGACGCTTGCTTGTCGAATTTAGAATCTAAATAAAAAAGAAAATGGGTTGAAAGAAGAAAAAAGCACCTGATGGAAAGTGGATGTGAAAAATCGCCATCAATGGTGAAGTGGGTTGAGAGATTGTAAGAGATTACGACCTTTAATGGTGAATGGTGAAAGTTTTCTTCACACCGGGATCTCAAGAGACCCCCAAACATTCATTATTAATCCTCATTTTGGAAGCTTATTTTACCTTTATTCTTCTCTTCTCCTGCATGCTTATATATATATTATCCCCACCTTTAAACTACATGGTGTAATGTGTTTTAACGATAATTGCTTGCTTTTTGTTTTGCTTTAAAATTTGTAACAGTTTTTGAGAGTCTTCAATAACCATTTTATAACTCAACTAATGACAAAACTTTTTCTCCTTTTTCCTTTCTGTGTTTGTAAACAGTGCCGCATATGATACCGTCACACAGCAAAATGTCGCGATCAAAAAATTATCGAGGCCATTCCAGAATGTTACACATGCCAAACGAGCCTACAGGGAATTTAAGCTTATGAAATTAGTCAATCATAAAAATGTGAGTATTTATGTTATGAACCTTTTCTTATTCTACCTTTTTCTAGCTTTTCCTCCAACATATTTATTTATGTTGTACATATATCTGAATTTAAAGTCGCTTTGGGGAATCGTTTTTAGGTTTGAAAAAAAAAATCAGAACATGAGAATGTTTTTACTTTCCCTCTTGCAACTTAACATTTAAATCCGTGATGGTCTGATAAATATAAGCAGCATGGTTGGTTTCATTTGCATGCTATGTTGAACAGAGTCGATTAACGTGAAGGAAGAAATGTCCTGAGATTTTAATAACTTACATAAGTACGAGTAAAGTCTAAAAATTTTGCATAATCTTCTACTTATCCTTACGCCCTTATTCGTTCCATGATTTCTAACAATTTCATCAAACATTCTTTTCTCCAAATATCGTGCTTCAAACAACATTTCGTCATTTCGAAGATTACTAAGAATGAAATAATTTTTTCCCTTCTAAGATTAGCATTTAAGAAGCAAGAAACAAACAGAAAGAATTTTTTAAGTGATCCCAACAAATTGAGTTCTTTCCAAAAAATGAAGAACGAGGCCAAGGAGAAGCTACAAAGACAACAAGAAAATGCGAAACTTCCTTAACGATGGCAATTTTTTACGCTTTTCTAATGTTTAGAATTTGTCTTATGGCATTCGTGTCCTCATTTATTGTTTGATGTTACAATAAATTTCGAACCTTAAAGCGACTATGTAGGATGTTCGAAGATTTACTTGAATCTCTGATAAATGTTTGAAGACTTCACGCGTGCTTTTTGCTTCTTTTTTCAGATCATCGGTTTGTTAAATGCGTTCACGCCACAACGGACTTTGGAGGAATTCCAAGATGTATATCTCGTCATGGAGCTGATGGATGCAAACCTTTGCCAGGTCATCCAAATGGATCTCGATCACGAGCGAATGTCATATTTGCTTTATCAAATGCTGTGCGGCATTAAACACTTACACTCGGCCGGAATTATTCATAGGGTGAGTTGAAAATATCCTCAAGTTATAAATTGATTAAATGTTGACAACTTTCGTGATATTCAAAATTTATTGAAAGATTTTCCAAGTATGGAAATTTATTGCGTCACGCAGCATGTGCTGGCTGCTTGATTTACTTCTCTCATACTTTTATTTTCGTGATTTTAATAAGAAAAACATTCACTTGTCTGTCGGTGACACAAAGGCTGGTAGAAAATTTAACTGTGGGAGTTTTCCTTGTCCGCTATGCGAAACATTCTCTGACGTCAAGTATTCAAACATTGAAGCAAAATTTTTGTTTAAAAAAGAACAAAAGGGGGAAATAAGATGGAATTTTGCTGACAAAGAAATTTCAAGTAAACAGATTTCGTTCACCTGCTTACAAAAAGGAAAGAAGGAGTGTGGAAAACTTTAATTCAACATACAAAAGAAGAATTTCTTCAACGTTACGATGAAAGAGAAATAAGTCAAAAATGTCGGTTTGGAAGGAAACGAAACAGAAAAGCTCGTTGATTTGATTTCCGTTCTTCAGTTTCAAAGCGATAAATGATTAAATTTCTTAGACTTTTGATTGATATCAAATACTAACTCAGCTTGACACAGCATGATATTTATCAAGATAAAATGAAAGCATAACATCAAGTCGCAATTGGAAAAAAAGGACCACAAGATAGATTTATGTTTATTACACAAAAGAATGTTGGCAATAATTCGTAGCAATACAAAAAGAAACTTTGTGACAAGAGAATGAGGAAGAAAAAAGCAATAAAAATGTGTTGCACATTTTCATAAATATTTTCGAGCTTAAACAATGTTCAATTGTGTCATATAATCGAGTAAAACCATAAAAAAAGAATCTCTGCTCTATCTGTCCATCTTGTTCTTCATTCTTCTACTTCATTCACCGTTCGATAAATCGATTAACTTAACGCCCTATCAAGATCGTGCTGTTTAGTTGAGTTCAACTAAATTGAAGGGAAATGATTTGTTTAGGAATATCTTCGACTGGAAAATCATTCTAGCGTTAAAGTAATAAAAATATTAACAATCGTACTAAAGTATTTTCTTACTTAAAGTCACTGACATGATCAGTAATTTCATTATTTTTTAATTCCTCAACTTTATTATTACGACATTAACTTTCCAGGAAGGAAAACGCTACAAACATTTTTATTAAATAACACAAAAAAATATAAAACTCGAAAGAAAACTTGCAGAGAATTGAAAGCTTAAAAAGCCGTGGGTGGTTTTTTTTCCTCGAAACCAGTTAAGATCCTTCACTTTTTAATTACATTCTAACCATCATTGAATTTTATGGTCATTACAACGAACAGCGAACGTTCAATTTCAATTAACCGCTGCTGTTAAATGAAACTTTAAAGCTTCTTGTTTCATCATCGATTGATTCTGTTTTTATTCTACAAAAAGGAGATAAAATGTGAGGATGATTAATTGACGATGAAAATTTAATCATTTTCTCACATTTTCTCATCTCACCGTTGGCTTACCATTCGTGTAGCTTCTCTTCTTAATAAATATACCAAATTTAATTACGATGCTTCATATCCGACTGCTCCTCATTCTAATTTGATATAAAATTTGTTACGTAATACAACCCAATTTCCCGACAAATGAAAAGTGCGGAACGTTAAGTGATTGAAAACATTTTAAAAATGAAGTTTTCATGTCCAAAAGTGTTTTGTGAATGAAACTTATATTATTTTTAATTGAGGTAATGCGCCACGAGACTGGAAGCGAATTTTTCCAATTAAGCGTTCGTTTCCCTTTTCAAAGTTTTTTTATGATTATATAACTTTTATTCTTTTTTATTATTCCAACAAACAAGTGAGGAAAGATAGCTAACCATTACTTTATTTATAACGTTTGCAAAGTTGAATATCAGACACAAAGAGAAGAGCTTAAAATTTATAAAAGCCTCAAGCGTTTGGTTTTGCTTCGGATAAAAGTTTGTACATGCTAAGGGTTGAATTCATGTCCTTTCAACACAGATAGAAGTCATAATCATAAAGAAGAAAGTTCTAAATTGCACTATTTGTAAGAAACTTTAAAAGTTTTCTTGAAGTACCGAAAAATTTGTCTTCCTCAGAAATTTACAAATTTTCTTATTAAACACCGAAAATTTTTGAGAGAATTTCTGAAGGGTTGGAGTGGAATCTTGTTAGGCACTTTTAATATTAATTATTATACTTTAAAATGAGGGAAAAAAGAGCGAAGTTTGTCGCCTGTAGCAATTACTTAACTTATCTTTCAAAGTGATGAACAAGTAATTATGGCATAAAATTAGCTTGCAAAAGAAAGTTTACTGCTTGGTTGCTTTTAAATCATCAATGGTAAAGCTCCTTATCGCTTTATGCACAGTTTTAATGGAAATTTAAAAAAAGATTTTCGAATACTGAAGGGTTGTTAATGTGGGCGCGTATTTAATGTTGAATTTCTTTCTTCTTTTACTTCATGAAGCTTCGAGCTGGGTAAAAATTTTCATTATGAATAAAAAATACTTTGTGATTATATCGCGTTTAATTTCGGCTAATTGGATCATTTTTGTAATTATTTCATATTTTAAGCCATGTTTAAAAAGTCGAAGAATTTATTTCATGTAATTGACTTCAAAGAGAATTCATGTCACGCAACATGCAACGTTTGTGTGTCTCTTGCATTATTGCAACATGTTGCAATGCCACAAACCACGCTAGAAAACTTTTAATCGATTTTCTACAATTTTCCAACTTATTTTTCATTTTTATGTTTTTTATTCTTTTCTAGGACTTAAAGCCATCAAATATCGTCGTAAAGTCTGATTGTACTCTGAAAATTCTCGATTTTGGTTTGGCTCGTACAGCTGGCACGACATTTATGATGACTCCATATGTCGTCACAAGATATTATCGCGCACCCGAAGTCATTCTTGGCATGGGCTATAAAGAGAACGTCGATATATGGTCAGTAGGCTGTATTATGGGTGAAATGATAAGAGGTGGTGTTCTTTTCCCTGGAACGGATCACATTGATCAATGGAATAAGATAATTGGTGAGCTTTGAAACATTTCAAGTTTTTCATGCCAAGTTAAATAAATTTATTTTAAATTTAGAACAACTTGGTACACCGTCACAATCGTTCATGCAACGTTTACAACCGACTGTAAGAAATTATGTCGAAAATCGACCCAGATATCAAGGCTACTCATTTGATCGTCTCTTTCCCGACGTCCTCTTCCCGAGCGATTCCAGCGAGCATAATCGCTTGAAGGCATCACAAGCTCGGGACTTACTCAGTAAAATGTTAGTTGTTGATCCTGAACATCGCATTTCAGTTGATCAAGCATTATTGCATAGTTACATTTACGTGTGGTACGATGAGAGCGAGGTCAATGCGGTGAGTATAAAAGTAATGGAAATTCAAACGTTTTAGGGCGTGAGTCCTTTTTAAAAAATAAAGTTCGATGTTGAAGTGATGTTTAGATTTAAGAATTCATTACGATAATTGACATCAAGCTTTATTTTTTAAAACAAGAACCACATTCATTGATTTTGGCTCATTTAATATTTCAGCCGGCACCTGGTCCTTATGATCACAGTGTCGACGAACGTGAGCACACTGTTGAGCAGTGGAAAGAGCTCATCTATCAAGAAGTTGTCGATTATGAAGGTCGCAATCATGTGGAGCAAGAGCAACCACGGTAGAAATCAGCGTATTCATATCAACAACCAAACATTCGTTTTGTTTAATCTTCAACTTCTTACTTTATTTAAAAAATGTGACAAAAAAGATAAAAGAAAAAGTAAAAAAGAAATATAAATTGAGTGATAATATGGAGAAGAATAATGTAATGTGCATGACAACATCATCATCATCGTCATTGCTTCATTAAATTGTAGATCCTCGTCAATATTTATGATGATCCAAAAAGAAAAGAAAAACTATTATCGTGTAATTAGCACAAAGATAAATGAAAAAGGAAAGTGACAAAGAATATAAAATCTGATTACATAAAGTGAGAAAAACTATAAGGAGCAGCTGTTTAATCAACCCCCGTCTCTCTTCTCCTCAAATAAATAAAAAATAAAATAAAAAGACTCTTCATCGTGTTCATAAATAAATTGTGAGGCAAAGTGAAAGATGTCAGATTGGATAAGCAGAGGTTTTAGGATGACATTAAAGGCAGCCTCGTAAATATTCATGTAAATAGTAAAAACCTTTTTAATCGAAAGGATAATGGACAGCAAAAACTAAACTTTTAAAGAAAATTAAAAAAAAAACGTAATAAATTGTTGAGAATGCAGCTTAAGTTTCATAGCGTAACGAGTCATTCGATAATGAAAAAAAAAATTAAAAACTTTTATAATTTTCTCCTTTAAATATCTTTCTCAGATATTTGTTTCCTTCTTTTGATTTATGCTTCTCTTTTTTCCTCTAAGGATACTTAACATAATTATGATGTGAAACACTCATAAAGTAGTGAAGAAAAAAAAAAGTAAAATAGTTAATTAAAGAAAAATAACTTACGCATGAAAGATTGAAGAGTTCGTGCAACAAACTTTTCTCATTTTTAATTAAGTTAAAGGAAGAAAAAATAAGAAATAAGTTGCAAAGAAATGTGAGAGACTGTGCAATAGGAAACACGACATGATAAATAGTATAAAATGCTTATGAGATTGGAAAGTTTTATTTTATTTCATTTCAAAAAGATTGAGGAAGAAAGCGAAGGAATTTATTTTAATATAGAAATGACGAATGCAAAGAATGAATTAGAGAAATATCTAATCGACAAAAAATTACTTAACTGATGTATGCAAACGTTCAACAATTGCAAAATTACGTAAATAAGACTTCTTGTGATTCAATTAAGAGTTGAATATGAAAAGTTATAAAGTAAAGATTTCATTTTACTTGAAATTCCTGATGCGTGCTTTGAATTATGTGAAGCCAAACGGGGATTTTATATTTAATGATTAAAAGTTTCATTAAACTGAATTTCTTCTTCTACTTCGAATGATTAAAGTTTCTCTTTATCTTCGATTTACGAGTCTGTTTGTAATTGTTTTAACCGACTACCGGTGATTCTTCATTATCATGTCTTTCTCAAAGTTTCCCAATATTCTTCAAGACAGATTCTTACAATAAATAAAACATAAAAATTTATCAAGTTCATTGCACGCTTGAATCATTTTCATAAATTTATCAATACATGATAAAAGTTAAAATATCAATCGCACACATTGAAAATTATTATCTAATAATTTAGAAAGGAATGAAGAAAGAGAAATAAATAATTATTCACAAAACTTACAAGCGAAAGGTCATTTGCTTAAATATTTATTGTATCATTGTGTCTGGAAAGTTACCTACTCTTGATCATCAAATTAATTTCTTTCCTTTATTTTAAATTAAATTATATATTAAAAAATTTAACAAAGTTTATCATAATTTTTTGTTGACTTTACTTTGTAAGATTATGAAATAGAAAAATATTCTAGAAGTGAAACTTTTCACTGTAAGTAGATTTAAAATTCAGCAAAAAGAGCGAAAGAAGTTTTTGTTTTCTCAAGATTCTTATTCGCGTGGGAAAAATAATATTGTCAAAGAATGTCGCTTGAAGCAAGTTGAGAGAGAAAGCGAAAAGCTCGCTAATGAGCCTCGCTTTCTTCGTTGCGGATGGTTCAGTATCGAATACATAAAATAAGATGATAACAAAAGCTTCATTTTCCACTACCAAAAAGTGAACTCAAATAAAGTTATTGAATTAATTTTCCTCATTTTTTTCATCTCAACCTTCCGGTCTTTCAAGAAGAAAAAAAAAGAATCCTTGCCAGGCACAATGATCGTAATCCAACCTTATAATTTATTTAATAAATTCAACTCCTCGTTCTTTTGTACATTAAAAAGACAACAAAATATGTAACAAAAAAAGAGAAAGCAATGTTTTTATACATGACAAAAAATAATAAAAACAAATATCGCACAGAATGTTTTCGCTTTTCATATTTTTTCTCCTTTTAAAAAAAAGAAAAATTAAATTTTGTAAATACGAGAAGAAAACGAAGGAAACGTTGAACTTTTCTTCCTACGATTTATAAAATCATTAAAGGAGAACTTTTTAAATTATCAGTTCAAGTTTTCCATTTCTAACTTACAAGCTTTCTTTTTTACTTACTTTTCTCTGGGAAATGAATTTTCTTTTTCTCAACAACCAACACAAATGAAATCAATAAGAAACACGTCCAAATGCAAAAAAGAAATGTCTCATGAGACAACTTAATTTTGTATAAAAAGTTATAAATAAAAACTTTCGAAATGATGCATAAAGTAATGTAAAGAAGGAAACGTTAGAAAAAAAAATATTTAATCGATTTCCTTTCGCCTAAAACTCCTTAAACTTCCTTTTTCTCTTTGCGATCTTTAGGAAACTCCTCTCCCGCTTTTTAAAGCTATTTAATTGACAAATGAAATAAAAATAATAATAAATTAAATAAAGTTAAAACTTAAATTGGAGTGAATGAATGGCGAAGGCGTTTTAAGTGGAAATTTCATAGATCTTAAGATATTTTATGTTCTGTTTTGACTGTCTCTTCATTTACTCACTCAAATCAAGCATTTTTTATTTAAATGATGATTGATATAATGAAAAAATATGAAATCTTACTTAAAATGACAAGAGAAGAGAATTAACTAATAATAAAATGAATTGTAAATCATTTGTATTGTCCTTGTCTCGTTTCATAAGAAAAGCAAAGAAATTGATTGATATAAATCATGAAAGAAAGAAACTTTCTAAAAGAAATTAAAGTTAAAGGAAAGCTAGTTTCAAAATGAAGGTTAATATTAGAACAATAGGTTTTTAATCTTACATTTATTCTCCCTTCGAAAGAAACACAACACACAATAATGAAAACAAAAATTATTAATCAAACTTCTAGCAAAAAAATTAATAAAAAAAAAATAGTTTGGCTAATTTTAAAGAACAGAAGAAAGAGAAATGAAATTGAATAAAAAATAAAGAAATGCCCGCGAATGAATTCGAAGATAAAGATCATGATGATGAGAATGATTTTGAAATTCTTTAGCAAGCTTAATTGCTTTGCAATGTGCAAGAAAAATAAATTGAGTAAAATGAAAGAAAATATGCAATGGTGAAAATATAAAAGATTAAAGAAAAGATAATTAAACATGAATGGTATGAATGATGAATAAAAAAATGTGAAAAATTAAGAATGAGAAATTAATAAACAAAAGAAATATTTATCAATACTTTGTAAAATGTATTTTTACTTTTAATCAAACATTTCAGACATTTTCAGATATTTTATGAATTAGAAAAACATTTTCCTTTTATTAAATTTAATAATTTTATTAAAAAATTTATTTATCTCATTGATCATGTCTTTTATGTAAATTCAAGTGCAGATCCATCGCCTATTTCTAATTATTCGAATGATTTTTATTCTAAATCAACTCCTTGTTGGTCCAGTCACTCAATGGATCAGAGAATTTTTATTTTTATTATCAATCATCTTACAAATTCGCTCTAAAAGTTTATTTAATTTTCAATTGTGATTAAGTTGTTCGAATGAATATTTTTCTTCTTTAAATCATGGCAGCACGTTTAACTATTTTAGTTTCTCCAAAAAAAAAATACTAAGCTGAGGTTGAAGAGAAATTTTGATAGTTAAAAAGAAGAAGAATAAACATGAGATTGAAGGATAAAGGAAGGGGGAAATAAGAATTAATAAAGAGGAATGGATCGACGGTCAATATCGTCAAAGTATTTATGTTCAATCATTTCACGAGCTGATATGCGATAAGCTGGATCATAAACAAGACTTTTTTGAAGAAGATCCATTCCAGCTGAGTTAATATTTTTTACTTGATTAGCGAGATTGTTTTGAGTCCAGCAAGGGAAAGTTGTTTTGTAATCTGGCAAAGATGTAACGCCTGGCCAAATCTCTTCAGTTGGTGTACGAAGAATGCGGAACATACGGAAGAGCTGATCAATTTCAGAGTCGCCTTGGAAGAGAGGTTTACGAGTCGCCATTTCAGCAAAGATGCACCCAATTGACCAAACATCGACTGGACAAGAATAGCGTTGAGAACCGAGGAGAACTTCAGGAGCGCGGTACCATAAAGTGACAATCTCATGTGTATAGTTACGAACTGGAATACCGAAAGAACGACCTAAACCAAAGTCAGCTACTTTGATTATTCCTTCCTTGTTAATGAGCAAGTTTTGAGGCTTTAAATCACGATGCAATACGCGACGTCTATGGCAAAACAGCATTGCGGCAGTTATTTGAAAAAGATAGCTACGAACTAACTCAGGATCCATCATTTTCTCAGATGGCAAGGAATCCATGTATTTTTTGAGATCCATTGTAAGAAATTCAAAGATCAAGTATAAGCGATTATCCTCCATCACAACATCCTCCAATGTAACAATATTCGGATGTTTTAATTCCTTTAACAATGATATCTCACTACAAATAAAAATAATTAAAATTTGTGTTGAACATTATAAAAATAAGATTTTTTACCGGATAGCAGTTGATGGTATTCCTTCATCCTCAGATTCGAGACGAATTTTCTTCATTGCGACGGTATTCCCCGTTTTCTTATTTCGTCCTTTGTAAACAACTCCATATGTGCCTTCTCCAATTTTTTCGATCTTTTGAAAGTCTTCCATGGTCTTATGATGTATTGTGGCACTTTATTAATGATTAGATATGAGTTAATAAAGAAAATAAAAATATTAGGTAGTTATAATTTCAGTTGCGCGCTTGAATCAAAAAAGTCGTTAGCTGAGCAAGAACTGAAGGGAAGGAAAGAACAAGAAAAAGAAGTCGTTTGACATCCTGCCTTGAATTTCCCATAAAAATTCCAATCAAAATTTGAAAGCTACATTATCATGAACGAAGAATTTAAAAGAATATAAAAATTTCAACTTACATCACTTGTGTTGACTTCTAGTGGTTTTAATTAACTAAATCTTTTTTTCATAAAGGAATCAAAATTCGACGGTTTTCAAGTAAGCTTTTGAAAAATAATTTTAGCCGGTTCAGAATTGGGCAACATTTTGCTCACTTTCATTTGTTTACAAATTTGCGGCAAAAGCTTATCAAAATTCATTCGTGTTTTCCTAACAACTTTGGCACTGTTGCATCAAAAAGATTAAATTGTCATGTAGATTTGTTCCAGATAATTCTTATTTTTACTTCATATACTGTTATTATTAGATCCTTCTAAGATTTATTTACCTTTTTATTTTATATTTAAATATGACAAAGGCGAAAGATGTTATCTTTGTTACATTTATACATATCTACTTAATGAAAATATAATCTTAAAGTTATAGTAGCAATTGAGAGTTAGCAGATATAAAAAGGCTCAGGTAAATTATTGTTATATACTTAAAAAGGTTCCGATCATGATCAACTTTAACCTGAACTTCAATCAGTTTTAAATAGTTTGTCAACGTATCAACTACTGTCAAGTTTTCTAAGCTGCTAAATAAGCTAAAATAAATTTAGTTCTGAGGTTATATTAAAGATTTTTCACTCGATACAAACAATATGGAAACAAGAAAGTCAACAAGATTAGCTGAAAAATATAAACGTAACTTAATTGATCATTTTAAACCATTAAGAACAAATTTCTATTTATTTTTTTTAAAAGATTTACAGATAAATCAACAAAATGCTTATGCCAAAGATCAAAATAAACTTGATCCATTAGAAGGCATTAATAATTACTTACATCCTCTTATCTTTCAACATCTCAATATGTCTGAAATATTATGTCTTAGTACAGTTTCAAGGCAATGGTATTATGAAATCGGCATGTCAGAGCAATGCATGAACCGCATGTTATTGAAAATCAACGTAATACCACCACATGGAATTTTTAGCTTTAAAAAACTTCCCTCCATCAAAACAAAGCGACAGATATATTCAAAATTAACCACTGTTAGGAAAACAACGATGAGACGATACAAATACATTTCCATAAATACTAATAACGTTGAGAACATCAGTTATCAAGCAATCAAATTAGTTATGGCATTAGCACCTTCAGTAGTTCAAATGACTTTGTTAAATCTAAAAGTTCCACCAACAAGAAAACTCAATTCTGTCAAATTTCCTTCGCTCACAAAGTTAATTATAAACAACGCCGATCCTTATGTTCAAAGAATTTTGTTTCAAGGCATGACAGATTTAATTGAACTAAGAATATACGAACATTTTGATCCTGACATTCAGCCTATTTTGGCATGTCTTAAGAACAACTACAAATTAAAGGAATTGTACATTTGGAATACTGGAATTGGTGATTTATTCTCGACTTATGAGCCAGACAGTTTTCAATTTCAACTTGAAGACTTTTCAACTGGCTCCGAAGGAATAATTTCTAATGAAGCTGAGACAAATTTAATGAAATTTCTAGATTCACAAAAGGATACATTGACGACTTTTTTCCTTCGCGTAGGCATGTCGATTTTAAGAAACAGTGTGGTCTTCGGATTATTTACATTACCTAACTTAGTGACTCTCCACATCAACTCATACATTTTACTCCATAGAATTTCAATAGAAACTAACAGTAGTGTCAAAGCTTTTAATTTTGGATGGCATATTGCTTCAAAAGAAGCGACAATGGGAGTTCTTGACGCTATACCAGAAGTTGAAGTTATCACTATAGAACATATGACCAAAAGTTTTCTAAGACATGCTGTTAAAAATCTTAAAAAACTTTGGAGGATTAGATACACCAAAGGAAAAGCTTGTCAGAAATGTTTCAACGCAATATTAGCAACAAGAAAAGATTACTATCCAAAAATTCAACTTATTCGCATGGATTAAGTTTGATGACATTGATATATCAGATGCCTTTACCTTTAATGAATGATCGATTTAATTTTAATTTCGTAGTATAAAAGATAAATACAAATTATGACGAAAAATACAATCTTGCTGATGGAAATAAAATTTTGTTTTTTTTTTCAAGAAGACTTTCAATTACAAGGTGAAAGCCTTCTAAATCATGTAAATATAAACAATTTCTTGGAAGTGAAAATTCAGAATTTGTGTGGGAGTTGATGAGATTTGAATATGAACCGGTTCAAATTCATTTTGCGAATATTGACACAAAGGTGGAGCTAGTGAGGTGCTAAATGCGTTCACTGACACAAAGATTTTTTTTTCGCTCGACAAGGATTTTGGTTTTCCGTAATTAAACTGAATAAACAAGAAATTCTGCAATATAAATTTCCAAAATAAGAAGAAATCATTTATAAAAATTCAAGTTGTGTGGTGGTGAAGTTTAAACTTCAAGAAAGTGTATTGAGCTTGTGAAAATTGAATTTTTCATTGAGTCGCCATATTTCTTTGAAAAAGTGCATGAGAAATTTATCTACACGATAAATGATGAAACAAAAAAGTTTGTTAGCATTTGCACTGTTAGTCATTGCGTGTCAATGCTTTGCAGACAAGAAGCTTTCAATTGAACATGATGATTACGGCTTCCCTGAATATCGAGGTAAGTTTAATGATTAAATTGTGTAAAAATAAATTTCATGTGAAAACTTTTCCTCGAATTTCTCTTCTGCAAAGATCGTGTTCTCGAAAAATCATATCATGGGTTGATTAAGGAAAATGAGACATTCGTTGAAATAACGCCAGTGATAAAAGTCGACGGTGACAGAGTTTGCAATCTCAAAATTATAAAATCTCACAAAGACATTCCATTTAAAGTAAGAAAATATTCGTCAAATGATTTCATACAAACACCAAACTATTAATAATTCCACGCTATTTTCTTATACTATTTTATCCAATAAAGATCAAACTTTACAACAGTGTTGGAGTTTTGGAAGCTAAAAGGACTTTAAATTGTGAAAAAAGAAAAAACTACAAGTTCGAAATTTATGCTGTTTTATGCAATGGAAATAAATCCGAAAGGTTTGTTTATTTGCATCTGTTAATTCTCGTCTTTAAGTTAATGAAGAAATTTATTTGAATTTCTTCCTCTAGTGCTGCTGTTCACATTTCGGTGGTTGACATAAATGAATATTCTCCAGTATTCTTGCAACCATCCTATGTGACTGAAGTTGATGAAGGCAGATTATATCAGGAAATTATTCGTGTTGAAGCAACTGATAAAGATTGCACGCCACTCTTTGGTGATGTTTGCCGTTATGAAATTTTAACCGCTGATCAACCTTTCATAATAGACAATGAAGGCTCCATCAAAAACGTAATGCCATTGTCGCATAAAGCCAGCCACAACCACATTCTATCGGTCATTGCTTACGATTGTGCAATGAAACAGTCGGCTCCTGTTATGGTGACCATTCGTGTGAGAAAAATCTGTGAAGCAAAAATTATGGGCATTCAAGAGCGTTTAGATTACTCAGCAAATACCCTCGAGAAAGTTTTCCTTTTCCCGAAATTCAATCTCGAGCTCTGCGACATCAAGTGTAAGGGCGAGGAAATGTTGATATCAACAAAAGTCACATTAAAGACAAAACATATTTCATTTGGCTGCGATCGCGATGGAAGTAAATGTGAAGCGAAAAATTCAATGATTGAACTTTTGAATAAAAATGCTGAATGGACGAAAGATAACAGTTTCGATGAAGGTGACGAAAATATTTTTCACTTTGATGGATCAAATGGAATGGTCATACCCGACACTGTCATTAACTTGGATAAACTGGCAACACGTCGTTTCACAATACAAACAATGTTCCGTCATCATAGCATCTTTAATAATGATAAAATAACAAAGGAACATGTTTTATGTTCAGCTGATAGTAGCAGTGAGTGGAAATACTTTTCTGTACAGTGAACGTTCTCAAAAGAGAAAATTTCTTTCCTTGAAATGAAAAATTATCGATTTTACTTAGAAATGAAAATCTTTTCTCTTTATCAAACTTTCTCTTATAGAACATTCACTGTATTTATAAAATCAAATTCTCTTAACAATTTCATTTATTGTTCTTATTATATTTTCTTCTTCAAACAACCAACAGAAATGAATCGACATCACTTTGCTTTATTCGTACGACATTGTCGTTTGATTCTTCTTCTACGTCAGAATAATAATGATGGAAATTTGAACATTTTCTTGCCAGCTGAATGGCGTTGGAAGATTCCAGAAGTTTGCGACAATGAATGGCATCAATATTTGATTACTGTTGACTTACCAAAAGTTGAGCTTTTTATTGATGGTGTGAGGTTTGTGGCGAGTCAAGACAATCGTCACAGTAATCCGGAAATAATCGATGATTGGCCTCTTCATGCTGCGTCAGGAATCAACACGACATTAACTGTTGGTGCTTGCTATCAAAGCTCCGAGAATCGACTTAAACATGGCTTCCGTGGCGACATTTCCAGCATTAAACTGAATGTTAATGAAGTTTTACGAGAGAATGAAATCAAATGTGGAATCGATTGTGCTGAACGTTTGCTTCAACCAGATGAAAAACTTATGGAAACTGATCAGCAAGTTCAAATTAACTCACAAATGAACGAGATTACAATCGAAGGAACGTCGAAGGAGAATATCGAGAAACTTGTCCAACAGATTCAATATATAAACGAGAAGATTAATCCAACGATTGGAAGACGTAATCTAGCAATTGAAACCACTGTCAGTTGTCCAATGAAGAAAGCAATCAGATTGCCAATCATTGATTCATTTATTATGGTCACCGATGCATCATCTGAACCAAGAAATGTTTCAGATGCTGACAATGATGAAGATATTGATGATGAGAAGAATAACGACGATGATGTTGCTGCATCAACCAATGAACTTCCCGACATTACAATCTCAGGAAAGCAAAATAATCTCGTTTCATATCAAGACATAAAATCCGGAGTAAAATTCATGGAGAGCATAACGATTGCAGTTTATTCTGGAAACGACATCAACGAAGACTTACAAAAGCTCGATTCATGTAATATTAACGTTTTTCCAAGTCTCAATGCTGACCACGAAGAAATCACTTTAAGTCACATCGACAAGTCTCAAGTTTCACCTGATGTTGATATAAAAACTGTCATCACCAAAAATGGCGTTGAAATGATAGGATCGGACACGATTCATAATTATCTTCACATTCTTCATAATCTTGTCTATAAAAATTCTTTCGGACTTTATTATCTCAATCGAATCTTTAAGATTTCATGTTCACAATTGGGAAATCAAATAAAATCTGGAGAATTGACGATAACATTGACAGTGTTACATCCAAAATCATCGACATTAGCCGATACACAAACGACATCAACAGAGAAGACTTCGGCAGCGATTCTTCATCAATCAAATGACAATGTCAATTTATTCAATCATGTTTTGTTGAATCCACAAGAAGTGAATGAGCCACATGTGAAAACATCGCATAATTATAAGCTTAAAGAAAGCAACTCGACAATGTTAATAGTCGTAATTTGTGCTTCTTTCATTATTTTAATTTGTGGTGTGGGTGTTGCGAGATTGAAGAGTCAAACACAAACTTTAAGTGGAAAAAATAAGCAGCAGCCATCTAAGGTAAAGCATTGTTTTTATTTCTTATAACTTTGATAATTGCTGTAATTAAGTGACGCCATTAAAATGGTTTTTGAGGTTTTCATTTGAGTCTTACGTAAGATTTACCTAAATAAATTTAATTTGTTTTTTTCACAGAGTTTAACTGATCAACATCAACAACTTGATTGGGATGACTCAGACTTAACCATAAGCTTAACAATTAATCCATTTGTAAGTTAGACATGAATAATTCACGAAACAGGAAATTATATAAATTAACAAAATAAATAAATCTTTTTCCAGCAAAATGAAAATGCGACCGATGACAGTTCCGATTCAGAAAACTCGGAATCGGATGAAGAAGAAGGTAAGACAACCAACATGTATTAAGTAAATCGGAGTGATGACTCGACTTTGATGAAAACTTCAATAAAAGAGAAAAAGAAATAAAAGTCGTCGAGATAAGAAGACAAAATCAAGGTAAATATCGATTCGAGTCATACCAGCAGAATTTTTTTTTCCGAGCCAAAAAAAGAAAAGTCATAAAAGAACCAGCAACAAAAATGAACATCAAGATAGTCACCGGGTTTAAGTTGAGTCAGCTTTTCAAAACTTTCACAAATATTTTAACACAAAAGACGTTTTATATTTAAATTTAATTTTTAATTTTTAATTTTCTCCTTGAAGGAATTTTTATAACAATTAAATAATTAAAAAGGTTCGAAATTTGATGTTATGACAACAAATTTAACTTTTTTTTATCATTTATCTGACTAAAATAAATATCTGAAGAAAAAAAAGAAGATTTTTGATCTTTATGTGGACTTAACGTCAATCATTAGTTGGAAAAAATGCAAGAAAAAAATAAAAAAAATATCTTAAGTCACCTTTAAAATCTTATCAAAAGAAAAATTACTCAAAAGCTGTAAGAAAAAAAAATAAAAATTTCTTTTGGGCATGTTGAAATAAACTCGAAAATTTTTTTTTATAAAAAATACTCAGTGTGATGACTACAAAAGATGTTAAACATAAATATGTATAATGGCAGTTCAACAATTTGTTTGAAGAAGTTAGTTATGGAATGATAGAAATTGCCCAATCAAATATGTATGTAAAGAAAGAAAATTCAATTGAACAACTGCATAAATATTTAGAAGAACTCGTAGCATTTATTTTTCATTTTTTTAATAAATTTAAACAAGTTTTGAAATGATAAAATGTTAAAGAAATAATTCCGGGACAATTTCCGTGTCTACGTAGTTTAACAAAGTTTTTTTTTTGTTTCTTTATGCATTATTAAGACGATAACTGCTTTTGAAATCCTTGAATGAAAATGTTCAAACTTATGACCTGAATTATACAACATCTTATTTTACTTTAGACAATGTTTTTTCTTCCATTTAATCGAGAATATATTTTACTTATGTAATCATTAAAAATTTATCAGAAGAACAGTCGAACCAAAAATTTTCTTTTTGGATCTCTCAGCATATCTTTGAAGCATCTAGAAGTAGGAAAGAACCTTCTTTGCTTATCATTTTTGTTGTAAATTTTCACCATTCCGTCCAATTTAAAAATATATACGAAGATAAAAATCATTAAGATAACTAACATCAATGAAATGATTTTTCAGTTGAAACTTTTTACTATGAAACTTCTCATTTATCCCAATGCTTGAGCACAGGTTCGACTGTTAATTAATTTCATCGCATGCAAATATTTGGAAATTGAAGAAGAAATTTAAAATAGTGAAACGTTGATCGTTTAAGGAATTAAATTGAAAACACGCAGCAAAGTAAGGAATTCGAATGGAACTTTCAATAAATAAAATTAAGTTAATTTAATTCACACAGTTACAGTCTTCTTGATAACAATAACAAAAGAACTTTTTTTCTAAGAAATATTAATTTGCTTTTAATTACCTTCATGAAATTTTATATTATGCTTAAAAAGAAAAGTTTCCTTTATTTCAAAATTGTGAAAAGAAAATTTAATGAAAAACATAAAAGAAGAAGAAAGCATTGAAGTTATAGCAACACTGAGTTGAGAGAATGAAAATTATTACAAGTTAAGATTAATGTTGACTGTTTTAAGACTGTAAATACTTAAAATATTTTACTACTTATACTTATCCTACGATGTTATGCACTAATTAATTTCTAAAAACCTTTTTTTTTTGTATCATTGTTTGAATGATGAGTGTCATTAGAATAATACAACAAAAAGAAAAATCTAATCAATCGAAGAAAGAAGAAAAGAGAAAACACAACATATATCAACATAGATGAGCATAAAAGTAATGTACTTAGTAGATATTTATGTATTGTCAATGTTTTCACGAGCTGGAAATATTCCTTACGTAAATATTAAGCCATAAATTGAAATTTTTGTGTAAACCTTCAAAAATTTTCGCCATTTGTAAGGAACTTTGCATTAGAAGAACAACACCACAAATGTACATGTTCTTGTTCCTGGTAATAATTCTTTGGTTTCCTTTATTATTCATTTATCTCTAGAAATTATTTCACCAATTTATATCTAACACATTCAAGATGGCTTTAAGTCGAAAGACGTTTTTCTCAAATTATCACAGATTTATAATTATTGAATGTTAGGCGTCGAGTCACCCAATTGCAGCTTCTTTTTTTCTACCCTAGAAAGTCTTAAACATTTCAATGAACAACACAAACACCCACACAATATTTTTCACAACAGAAATTCGATGATCTCCTTAGCATTTTCAAGTAGATCACATTTTCGGGTGTTTTGAGAACAAACGAAACGCCTGCTTATTGCCGACATATCAAAATGAATGAATATTAGGTCTTGCCTCTCCTTTACCACCTTAAGCTTAAAAACTTTTTCAAAAAAACAACAAATTATAAGAACAAGAAAGAACTTGTATCACTATCTTAATGCCGTCACAAGAACAATCTTTATAATCTCTATCAACAAACACACAACATAAACACTCACTGACACAAACACTTAACAATCAAATTGAATAACTTGTAACTTCCCTCAAGAAATGAAGAATAAAACAGAAACTGGGAAGTAAACTCACTTAAAACTATAAATTACCTTATAAATGAAAAATCAATAAAAAAATAATGTAAAAAACATAAATTTGATGTTCTGACTTTCTTTAAATATTTCAGAATGTTGCGGTTGGTAAATTTTCTGGAAATAATTATGTTTGCTTATGAAATGTTTTTATTTTTAAATTCATGACCGATAACTGGTTTGTTATTTATCTAATTAATGAAACATTCAATATCATATCTGAAGAATTATTTCAAATATTTATTACTTTGACTTCCAAATTGATTAAAGATAAGGAATCGAGATAACTTTTTATAAATTACGAGTTTATTTCAAGAATACTCGTCAGTCGTTATCAAAACTTTTCGTAAGTAAGTCAGCAGTGAAGAGAAAATTTTCTCGTGTAAGTGTTGAACAAATAAAATTTGATGTGAAGAATGTTTTCAGAAACTTTTCAACAAAAATAAATTAAAATTCTTCTTACAGCTTCTTAAGAACACAAAAGCAAACATCTTAAAGATCAAAAATGGGTGAGTAGATTAAACAAAAGAAAAACAAAATCAATGAAAAGATGATGAAAACATTTTAAATAGTTTCCAACAATATTTTGATGACGCAATGAATCAATCAAATCTTGTCATTATACGAATTTGCATGAAATCAACAAAATATTCGCCTTCTCCTTATAAAAGTAAATGTTCATGATTTGCCATAATTAACTTGGTGATATTTTCATTCTTTTTGCTTTTAAACAGATCAATTTTTAAAATGGAAGAGACCAACATCGTTCGATGAAGTTGAGGGACATGGAATTGTCGCAGGTGCTGAAGAGAATGGAAATAAAGTTTATGTTGGTCGTGTGATTGATAGAGATGGAAATTACGTCCCAGCAAAGATTATTCCATCACTAAAGTCAGGATTTTATGCTTACAACAACGCTGAGGAATCATCCGATGAAGTCGAATTTTTGGATAACGCTGACGACTATCATTGGGTACGAGCTGATGGAAAGAAAATTCCCGATGCTGCCATTGTTAACGGATATCAAATAGGACGAGCACTTTACAATGGAAACATTGTTGTTGGACGTGTTGATCCCGATACGAAGGAACTTGTTGGATCTTACGATGGAATAACTTTCAATCTTCCATCGTACGACGTCTTAATCTACAAAGCCAAAGGTGAGTTCAGGGATGTGAAAATGTTTCCTTTTACAATCATTTAAAACGTAAATTGAAGAAAAATGTTCAATAACAACCCTGAATGAGAGTGGAACGTGCCAAATTTTTCATGAACTTTAAGTGCAATTTCGTGATAAAATTCCATTTCTAAGCTCTTCTTAGATAATTCTTAAGGAATGAATGAAAATTATTTCTCAGTGTGGGTGTTGATTGATAATTTTTCTGATATGAAAAGAAAGATAATTGGAGATTAAATATTAATCTTTGTTTACTTCTCAATTATCTAGGTGTAGTTTACGAAGCGATTCAGAAAGCTTCAAATGTTTCAACAACACGACAATCCTCCGTGACGACATCGAAGACATCTTCTAAGATTGTTACTGGAATTTATGAAGACAGTAGATTTGAACAAAATAACTACTTTAATCTTGTCAATAAAGTGCGAAGTCTCGAAATGGAAAAGCTTTCTTATCAGAAAGATAAGCAAAGTTACGAACAGCGAATTGAGTTTGAGCAGAGGAAAGTCTCTGAATTGAGTAATCAACTTAAAAAGTTGAAAATTGAGAATGCACGATTCTCAAGAGATAGAGAAAGTTTCGATGAAAAATCAACTGAAGAACAACGAAGATTCACGGAACTTGAGATTCAAAATCAAGAACTTTCAATCAACAATGGTTATCTTTTGAAGAAATGCAATAGTTTGGAAGAAGCGATTCGTTATGAGAAGCTTTTGCTTGAATCGATCAATGGACGATTCTCGAACAGTCAAGCAAGCAATAAAACGCTTTTAACAAAAATTGGCGACTACGAAGAAACGATGAAAATCCAACAAGAGAAAATCTTTGAATTGGAAAGTGAAATCATGATTTCAACATCGAATAGTGAAGCATTGTTGAAACGAGTCGCTGACTATGAAGAAACCGTCAAGTATTTGAGACTTCAAATAGAAACAATCTTGAAGAAACTCGAAGTGTCGAATGCTGACAATGAATTCTTAGTGCAAAAGTTGGCAATGTTAACAAATTCATTGCGCGCTTATCAGATTCAAATTGAAGGTCTTACAATTAAATTACAAAGTTCAAAGACCGTCATTGCAAACGCTCACGCTGAACTTTCACGTGCTAATGCACAAGTTTCTAAATATCAAGCTGCTTTGTCTTCTTGTTATGTTTTGAATGGAAAATTAATGACGAAAGTTTCTGGTATGAATTCGATTGCGCAACATCAATCAGAAGTTGATTATTCATTGAATTTGATTAATTACTCAAAGGATATGAATTTCTTGAAAGCGACAACTTATGGGAAAACTTCAACTTTGCTTGAAATGACCGGATCAGACACATTTTTGGTTTCCGACAACGCTCAACCATACACCGTCACTACGCCTTCTGCCGATGGCCAACCTTACTCCCAACAGTACGAGGAAATCACTCCATACGGTGGAACACAAGCTTTTCAACCCTTCGCCGCTGAAGTAGCCGTCAATGGCACAGGCGAAACAGAAATTTAGATCAGAATCTATTTAACTCTGATATCTTATCAGACGGGCATTACGGTTGGCTTTCTGTTTATTTTAAAAAAAATTATCATTTTATTATTGCAGAAACATGACATCACCTTGTGTCATCATAAGATAAAATGAAAAATTGAGAATAAATGAATGTTTCGAATAAATTTGAATTGTATTGAATTGATTAAGTAGCTTTTTCTCTGTCATGTGTGTTATGAAGAGTTTTGTGGATTCATCAATCATCAAATTGATAAATTTCAGCCTGTTCTAGTGAATTTGTTTTCAAAATTAATCATCTCATATATAAGTTGTTTAAATGTAAAATTTTAAATGTAATTGTCGTGAGACTTCTTCCTTATTGACACATCAAAGGCTTTCAATTGGAAACAATATTTGGTTTGATTCAGTTTTCCATCACGTGTAAAGAGGTTTTTTTGTAGGTTTTAGGTTTTAGAGCCAATCCTAAACCCCCTCACCAATTTTTTTTCAACGAAATCAATAAAATTGAAAAAGTCGATTAAAAAATCGATAATAATAAACATAAACAAATAAAAATCAATAAATAAAGAGAAACACCCTAAAACCATCCTCGATTTTTTTTAAATTTCATATTCATGCCTTGACAGAAACTTTTCATCTTGATTTCGATACAATTTTCCTTGCAATTTTCCATCAACAAAAAACCGTTAATTTAAAATGTGAATAAATTCAAATTGAGCTTTTAAATAAGCTTTTCACTTATTTAAAAAAATTGACCGTTATTTTTATGTAATGTTTAATTTTACAATAATTGAAACCAAAAACCTGAAATTGAATATTAATACTAATTTCTACATAAATAATACTTTCATAATGAGCAGAAATAAAATTGCAAAAACAGATTTAATTGTAAAGTTTCTCACAACAGTTTTATTGCCGAAAATAAAGTTTAATTCCAAAATACTTAATTTATGATAATAATTAATATTTTATATATATTTAATATTTATATTTGCATTTAATATTTATGTTTCATGAAAATCTTGTCCCATGTGAATGAGTATTCAATTGGCAGGAGCATTAAAATTAGCAGCAATAATTTGTGATGCGTCAAACATTGCTTTTGAATTTGATCGAATAAGAAAAATTAAATGACATTCATCGTAAATTGTCAAATCAATTTTGCTGCCTGCCAGTGAGCGTAATGCCGTAGCTCTTGACAAATCTAACCATCTTTGTAACGTCACTTCTCTTTCACGTAATGGACCATTTATTGGAACATCAGCAGGTCCCCAAAGAAGATATTCAAGCACTGATTTTGATCTGTAATTAAATAATTAGAAATGACAAAACAATTTTCTTATTTTCTATAAATCTCACTTTGATAAAGTATCAGCACGTTCTTGCTCTAATAAATGCGACAAAATAGGAGTAAGTTTTGTTTCCGGCAAAAACTCTTTGAGAACTTTCAAAGCACATTGACATAAAGTTCCCATTTCTTCGTCTTCATCACTTGAGATGTCAGGATTTAATCTAATAATTAATAAATTATATAGAATATTTTTCTCAATGTAATTAATGTCTTAAATCTCACCCTTGAAGAATACATAATCTCGCTTGAGTTTCTTTATCCAACTCACGACACATGATGATGTTTGAAAGACCCAACGGCATTTCTTCAACACCTTTCGCTTGCAACATTTTTAATCCATTCACCAATTGCAACATAATGAAGCTAACTTCTCGACATAACAGATCATCGAATAATCCATTTTTATTTAACTTTATATCACTCGATGGCGATTTTTCATTCATTGATATTGTGTCGTCATCGAGATTGCTATTATTGCTGTTGAGATTAATGTTTGAGCCATTGAAGAGACTTTGATTTTGTGCTTTTGACTTAATCATTGCACCCATTGCTTCGAGTGTTTCCACATTTAATTTCGGCAGTACAGTGATGGTGGCTTTATATAAAAATTAAGATTTAGTAATAGGAAAGAAACAAAACTTATCTTGCGTTTACCTTGCACCATCTGAACTTTTGTTGTGGGCATTGATGGCAAGTAGTTGTTTGGCACCAAATCGCAGAATTCAGTAATCATTTTAAGTGCTCCCGAAGCACCGCCGCTCATTTGATTCAATTCACTACATACACCCGAAACCATTTGATTCGAATCGGATGTCAATACAAGCGTCACATAAATTGAATTCTGCCAGACAGCTTGATGAAAAACGCTCTTACCAACGACCAGTCCAATCGAATCAATTATAATGAAATCGTCAAAACGAAGATTTATAGAATTTGCGATGGGGCGCATTGTTGGTGGAATCATATGCGGTTGCTGAAGCTGTAAAGATGAAAGCGATTTTAAAATTATTCACAAATAAAAAACTTCTCAAAACTTACTTGATCAAGAACTTGAGCTAAAGCTTCATGATTAGCTACGATAACCGCTGAATAATTATCTTCAAGATTCGTATGAACAACACTCCTTCCTTTTCGCATTCGAAGTCGACTTACAGTTTTATTGGAACGTGAAGATGCTTGATAGCCATCAATGGGATCACCTTGTGCGACATCAAATCCCGCTTCACTTCCACAAAAACTATAAGGCGAATAGATTTCAGATTCACCCATTTCACTTCCACAATAGGACATTGCAGCAGTCGAACGTGGGATGTTTGCTATTATAAGATATTTTTTTAAAATAAATTATGTGACATTTGTGTTTATTTCATTGCTAAACTTACCAAAACTGTTCGCAGTTGATGACGAATAAATGACATTTTCGGGATAGCTTGCTCGTTGATAGCTCAGCTTTGTTATTCCGTTCGTTACCGTTATCGGCTCGTAATTTCCATTTGTTCTCAACTCAATATTGCTGACATTTGTGCCGCTGTTTCGAATCGAATAATTGCGATTATTGTTATTGTGTGTAAGTGGCGCCATCTCTTGACTGGCGCTTGAAAGAATTTGCGGAGGTGTCGGTGACCGACTATTGTTGAGTAAGTTTGTGTCTGAAACACTTATGAGTTTCTTATTCTTTAAATAATTATCAATCGTCACGTTCATTTTTTGAACTGATGACTTCAAGTTGTCATTGTTAAGATAATACGTTGTCGTTTGTTGCTTTCCACCTACTGGTGAAACCGGCGGCGATTTACTCGCTAAAACTTTTGACGATTCTGTCTTCACAGCATTACTTTCAAACATTTCTATTTTACTTCGTGTTGAAATGTTTTCAATCTCAAGTAATTTCTTCTTACGATCGCTAAAGGAATCCGCTATAATATTAACAAGAATTGGTTTCGCTATAATTGATTCTTCGCTTTTGCAAGTTTCATCAATTGAAGCTGAATCATCATCAATGTCGATTTGTGATGATGAACCAACTGGTTGACGTCGTTGAAGCTCCAAAGCTTTAGCTTCGCGCTCTCTCATACTTGCTGTTCGTTCAGGCTTACGTGGTGCAATGGAATTTCGCACTTCACCCAAATTAGCATAAACATTGTCGATTGGAGGCGACGGTGCCTTCGATTTTTGTGATTGACCTTGTTGTTCGACTTCCGATTCTATTTTTGATCGAAGTTCAGTATTTTTGGGTGGTGGAGGTCGTGATGGCTTATTGACTTCAAGCTTTGTTGTATCAGCTCGAACAGGCGGCGCTGGAGGTGGCTTGTGCACGACAATTTGAGTCTTGTCACATTCAGGTGACGAGGTCGGTGAAGCGCTGCTTGCGTCTTTCACGACTTGAACTCCAGTGTTATTAATATCCAAAGGATGAATTATTATGAGTCGAGGTTTAACTTGTGGAACGCCACCTTGACCATCGCCATCACTTGTGGGACTTGTGGGAATGTCAGCATAATGACTGTAATCTTTCTTCGATCCATTCTCAGTCTTGTTGTTTCCCATTCGAAGAAATTTCTTAATTGAAAACTTTTTTTTCTTAGATTTCTCCATGTCAGCATTGAGTGAATCTTGTGACAATGAAAGGCTATGACGTGGCGCTGGTTCTGGTGTCGATGGCTTCTGAAGTTTCTCAAACTTTTCAAGCTTTTCTTGAGCGTCGTGACTTTTGTTAAGATGATTTAAGCTACGAAATTTTGGATTAATTGCTGGATAACTTCGCGCTTCTTTCAATTGAACTGTGTTTGTCTTCACTTGCATTTTATTCTTAACTTGTGCAATCTCTTTGAAGCTCATGATGGGTTCATCATCTCCATAAGGCTCTTCTTTATATGTTTTCAGAATTTCACTTTCACCATTTGGTGGAACGGGAGCTCGCGTCTTTTTCGGTGACTTCATCACATCAAGCGAGTCAGCTGACAATGATTTCTCTTTATTTATGACTTGTTGAAGTTGCATGATGATCTCAGCATTTCTTTTCTGAAATGGCTTAACGATGTTAACTGTCACTGGTTTTGTTGGGACTTTCGGCTTGTCAGGCGTCGTGAATTTGTTGTTAGTTGCTGATGATGAATGAAGAAAAGATTGACGTGGATCAACAGATGGTGGAGGATTTTGAGGCAATGCTGGTGCTGGTGAAGTTTCGGAACTTCCATCAGGATCTGACCTGCCATCAGGTTCACCAGCTAACGCACGACTTTTCCCTTTCTCCATTGCTTTTTGAATCTCATCAGCAACTTGAATGTCTTCATAATCCGAACTGTGATTACTGCTGCTGCCATTCTTCACATTACCTCCTGACGTTGTCGCACTTTTCACATTTATTCCACTATCAGATTCACTTCGATTATTCGACAATTCTTCATCGCTACTTGAACTGTCAAAACTTGAACCAGTCGAATCCAAAGCATCTTCATTGATGTGACTTTTCGTGACAATTAAACCATCGTTTGTAATCTTACTTGTAACGAATGTTTTGTCAGCTAAATTGTAAGACTCACTTCGTTTCTTAATCGCATCATTAATCGGCTTATGTGCTAAGAACATTTCCGAAACTGTCTGATTTGAGAAGAAATGTGATTTCTTTTTAAGAAGAGTTTCTGAAGTTTTCATTGCTTCGTTTTCAGTCTTTTTCGGATCGGGACCGTCAACTGAAATGGAAATTTTCTTGTTGTTGTTATCTATACCGTCGGGAATATTTTCATAACTATTCCGTGTCTCAACAACGTCATAATAATCAGAAGTTGTTCCATTCTCCATGTCACTTCCATTATCAGATTCTGATGTTTTCGAGAAGATTTGAATTTTCGGCTTTTCCATGTCCTTTAAAATTGCATTTCCACGTGTTATTGATCGTTTGCCAGCTGAAATTGTTGATGATGTTGTTGTTAAGGTGGAATCAGATGAAATTATAGCGGATGTAACGCTCTCTTGGTTCTTGATTTCCACCTTGATAACGTCGTTTTTTGACTGTTCCGATGATTTTGACTCGACGATTTCTCTTTCTTTTCCTTTCTTTTCATTCACAACAATTCTTTTACTAAGAAGCGTCTCAGAAATTTCTTCAAGTAACGATTTCTCATTGCTTATCTTCACTTCATAATCTGGTGACTTATCAACTTCATCATTTCCATTCGTCTTCGAACAACTCCCTTCATTTGATGTTGATGTAATTGATTTGAGAATAATTCCATTGTTACTCTTCGATTTCTCATCTTTCGATTCATTTGTTGGAAGTTTTGATTTGATATCGAACTTTGTTGATGTCGGTCCAGTGTTGAATGGAGTTACAGAGATTTTCAGTGTTTGCTTCTTTCCAGCTGAGTCTTTTTGTGGTGCTCCAAGTTTAAGTGCAGCAAACGATCGTTTGATGTTTGAAGTTGGGTCACCTAAAAGATTCCCGTTGTTCATGTTGAATTCCGTGTTTGTTTTTGTCAAACGTTGAAGATTCTCGTCTTCGTCGTAAACAACTTCCTTCCCTGGATCATTATTGTCAGTCACATCATCATCGTAATCACTTCCATCTGATCCCGACCATTCACCTCCAAATCCGATCACCTCACTCACTTCTTTAGGAAAGTTCACAGATTTCTTCTTACTCGACGATTTCTTGTTGTGACTCGACGATGTCGTTGGGAAATTTACTTTAATGATGCTTTTCGCTGGAGGCGGTGGAATTTTTTGTGGCGATGTTGGAATTGACTTTACAGTTTGCAATACAACTGCATGTTCTTCTTTCGATTTAAAGCAATTCGAACATAAATCTTTCTTCCATGCATTTTGAACAAAACGCGGACATTGTGCAATTGACGTTGTCGACATGGTTGAAGATTCTTCTTTCGCTGATTTACTTTATTTATTTATTCATTCAATGTTTTTCTTTAACTAAGTTGAAGCCATTCCTTGCAGTCGATTTAAAATGAAGATTTTTTCGTCTGTAAAGAAAAGTAAAAACCGGAAGATGAAATTTAATTATTGAAACATGTGGTGATCTTATAATTTGATTTTAATGATCTGGCAATGAGTGAAATGAATTATGTGGGAAATACATTGATCATGGTTAAAATTAAAAGAAAAAGAAGAAAAAAAAGCAACAGGAAAATCTCGTTTAAGCTGTTTGATCCATCGATCAATTAAAGTTTTTTTCTTTCTAGCTTGTTTTTACGAAGAATTCAAGAAATGGAAATTAAATTTAATTAACAAGCTTTTATCACTAATTCAACTGAACTTAAACTTCTTTTTTCTTTCATGTTATGAACACTTAAGTTCAACCATGAGTGGATAAGTTTAGTGAACTCTGGAAAATATGAAATTTTTATGTTTGATGTTCTTGAATAACAAATAACAGAAGTCCGCTCATTTCTAATTACTGTGGGAAATAAAAAGAATAACATTGATAACCAGCGGATGTTTCTAGTCAAAGTGAAAAGCTTTCATCGTCATTTGTATCTAAAAATTATTTATTCGACACGAATGAAATGAAATGTGTTCGACAATGTGGGCTAAATTGCACATTTTCATCACGATTATCTTTTAATTATGTTTTAATTAATTTTTCTTTTCTTCTAAAGTGGGCCAGCAATCTTTCAAAGTATTGTTTTCACACGATTAATTTGCTTTATTGTCGTTTTGAGATCGGTTAAAAATATCTGACTATTTATGTTTTTAACAACCGTGATGAAAGTTTCGTCATGTCTGATAAATTTAGGCGTTGTCGATGTTAATTAAAAAAGAATTTTTTGTCTTAATCTTTGTTAAATCTCTAAACATGACGAGTGAATCGGAAAATGAATGTTTTTGTAAGGTTGTTGCATTAATCTTATTCAGTAGATGAGAACAATAAGCGAGTAACTAACTTAAACGCATCTTTCAACGCGCTGATGGAATGCTTTGGAATGCCGAACGTGCATACATAAATTAACATACAAAGAAGTTCGTTCTTTGACGCAATTAACTAGCAAGCAGTAGATGAGAAACTGATACACTATGCATCAATGCTTCTTCATGTAATTTCATTTGTTTTCTCATTATTAACATCACAGGAAGGGAAACTCTACCGTTAAACATGAAAGTTTTTGGTGTTTTCTTCTCTCGACAGGTTATCGTGTTTAATTTTATTCATGATAACAAATTTATTTACATGCGTAACCAAACACGTGATGGATGGATTTCCTATAATAATCTTACAACAATGTAGACTTTCCATCGCTTCAGACGTGAAAGTTGTGATGCTTCGAGTGATGCTTCGAGGTCTAATGAACAAAAGTACGAGCAACTAACAAAAAAAAGTGCTAATTATGTGTTGATAGAAACAACCAGCACAGATTCATTCCATGAATAATTCGATGGGAAAGCTTTCCATCATTTTTTAAACATTTCTTTATCAACCTTAACAGCGAACTTAATAAATTTGAATTTAATTGAAAACCTTACATACGATGTAAGGAATGTGTGAAGAAAGCGATTCGTCGTGACAGGGAAATCAGGTCGATGAGCGTCTTACGCAATCATCCAATGTTTAGTGACTTTGACAAAAAGCTGTGAAATATAAAACAGCAAAAATATATAAGAATAGTCGTCGCATGTGGGTTGACGATTATCTCGAAGACTTTTGAATACTTTTGACCATTCTTTGCTGATGATGACAAATGTCAACTTGCGAAACTCGTTTTTTAAAGTTAAATTGCAAATTAATTCACTGTGATTGTTACGTTAGAAACAAATTTTTATGAATTTCTGAATTTGAAATAAGGAAGAGAAAGATAAATCTTTCGGATCAAAGATAACCGCGCAGCAACTTATGCATTTTTATTTTGTTTCGTGTTTGTTGCGACAACAATTTCTGAGTCATCATTTTCAATGAACATATTTACATCAAACTTATCGACTCATCGTAATCAATGATGCGTTGAACGAAAAAAATTCCATTCAGCAATTTCAAACTCAAATCGAAGACAGAAAGAAAAGAGTCGTGTGAAGTTTTCCCTTCAAATTCGTCTTGTTACGTCATAAGTAGGTTATCGTCATTTAACTTAAATACATTCACCGTGATTCTCTTTCCACCTTATTCATGATGATGGGAGTTTAGATAAATAAAATCCTCTTACATTAGAAGAATTATCATAATTGAAGTTACACGATTCGGACAACAAACTGAAAATAAGTTAATGCTGTGAATTCAAACACCACAATTTTGTTCCGGTTTTTCGAGTTCAACAAACCCAACCAACAATTGGTCAAAACAATCATGATTTGCTTGGCTTTGTTGTGTTAATACGAATAATATTTGTTTACAACTAAATATATGTGCTTACTTCAGTCACGATCCGATCACCATGACACTTATGAACGTACCACGATTGATTTATGCAACAACTTAGAAAATTTTTATGTCTATGAATCGTGTAAAGTTGTGCAATTTTTTTCATAATTTTTCATTTTTTTATAGGGAAATTGTTAGATCATACAAATACAATTAAAGTCAATTCACGCATTCTTGACTTCATTCCAACAGAAGAATCTTGAGCAGTGAAAATTTTTCAAATCTTACATCATTGATGGGAAATTAAATTCATTGACAAATGCGGTTTCGAATCGTTTTTATATACTCAAAAGTGTTAAGTATGAAAACTTGTTGCAACATTTGTTGACAGTCGAGACAGTTTTGAATTATTAATGAATGGGAAAAAAGAAGTCGTTTTGATCGTTAACTTTCCAATCAAACATTTGTTGATATTAAATACTTTCGATTTTCCCTTTTGTCGTCTTCATTTATGTTGCTAATGTTGGAGTTTGAATGACTAAACATGATCGAATTCCAGTGACTTTCTGATAAGCCAACAAGTTTCATTTTTTGCTCCTAGAAGCAGAAAATATTTTAAAGAAACTCAAAGTCAAAGCAAGATAGTTGAACCAGAAGTCGATTAATTTTTACAATCTAAAATCTTAATTTTCACTTTGAATGTGTCCAAACAATTCGCATTAAAACAATTTGACCGACACAAAATGAAAGTCATTGCCGTAAATTGCATCAATCTGATGGATGGCTTGACTGGTTTGAACTTTCGAATCTCCCGGCAGATACATTTTCACTCTTTAGCTTCGCTCTGTTCAAATCGTTTAAATCGTTCAATAGTCGATTGTTGCGTTTGTGACCAAATCAATTATCTATCTATTTTTATTTATGAAATACTTTTTTCCGCCATCTAATACTTAATAAGTTTGAAATTGCAAAGAGTCAGATTACAAAGAAATAAAAGCAGTGAAAACTAACATTACATCAACATTTATATATTTCAAAATTCATTTAAAGAGTGGTCAACATAAAGCGAAGAGAATAATTGAAAAATTTCACGATTTTTTTTTATTTCTTTTCATTCTGTTTAATTGAGTTGCAAAATAATCGCTTTAAATGATTTTCAGATCATGAAAATTTTGTCGACGTTGCCAAATTTCATTTCATAATGAATGAAACACAAGAAACATGAAATATGACAGCAAACTCCATTCTCAATCAAAGTTTCTCGTTGGATATCAACAAACAAGCATCAAATTAGAACAAGCAGGATGCTGAATAAAATTTTCAAGGTTTCGTTATTAACCGACCTGCGCTTATGGTGTCGCAGAGGCAATTTTTATTCGACTCCAAACAAGGGAGTGACCTCCAAAGTTTCATTAAAATGCCATTCTCTAAAAAAAATGTTAAAGAGAACAAGTTCAAAAGAATGCATAACTCATGATGCCGCAAAAAATATTATTAAAAAAGAGATTCGTGTGGATTGAAAGTAGAAGTGCAAAACCTCGAAATCATCACGATCAGTTTCGTTTGCCAGAAAGTGTTTACTGTTGAGAGAAGTCATTACATGTTTACAAACAACAATTTAACACTTTGAAAGTGAATCAGTGGGAAAGTCAAAGATGCAGGGGAAGATTTTATGTTCAACCTTTAAAATATTCACATTTAAAAGTTATTTATTTACATCAAAATACCGTTTCTGCAATGAACATTCAATCAAATAAAAATAAAAATTTGTTATTCAGTGAATAGTAAACAGAACAATAATTGAAACATGCAAAGAGACAGAGAATGAACGACACAGACATTTGAATAACAATGTAGATCACTTTTTAAACACACACAGAAACAATAATAAAAGGTTAATAAAACTATGTACAAGTTGATATTGTCTGGAATGTTTGAAGAATTATGTAAGTTTTGTTTTTTACAGCTAATAATTAACTTTTAATTACTTTAATTCGTTCCAACCTTGTACGATTTCTTTCTTCACTTCAATTCTTAGTTCTAGATTAAGAGATTAAACGTTCTTCAACTTATATAGTTTCACTCTTAAGCTTAAGCCAGCTCAAAAAATATTGAAAAGAATTTGTTGCAGAAACTTTTCGACGATAAATTTTTCTCAAAGGTTGTGAGAAATTCCAAAGTTAATTAATCTTTTATTTCTTTGGAAAAACAAAAAGCTATTAAAGCATAAAATTAGTCAGACCGCATTAAATCGTATCAAAATGTCTGACAGTTGATTGTTTGCATAATAAAAATTTATTTTCAATCTAGAAGCAATCCTTGAAACCAAATCAAATTAACTTTGAACTTTAAAATGAATTCATTCATTGTTCATTTAAGTATGGAAAAGATGAAAATAAATTTTGTGATTTTCAAAATATTTAAGTAAATGAAAGAAAACCACATTTGACGACTTAAGTAAAGGTTCATTGGCCTTATGTTTCGTTTGATGTTTTTGCATGTTGTAAAGCTGTGAATTGTCGTATCTGATGATCAAACAAAGATGACCTTTGTGTAGATCCAACATTTCTGAGGTTCATAAATTTAAAATTTTGAAGTGACTTCTAATTAAGTGATTGATAGACGAATAAGGGTCAACATCGAGCATCAATTGATTGTAATTATGTTTAACTTCAATGCCTTCAACACTTAAACGAGCACAAACAAATTTTTATTACTTAATAAAGTTTTGATGAGCTCATTTTAAAGGGAGAAGCAAACCAGCATCAGCTATGTCAGTAAACAATTTACTCAATAACAGAAGCCACGCATTGGATTCTCTCAAGGCCAATCCAGAGAATGTTTCCGTCAAAAGCCATCAATGATCGATTATCCGGTGAATTATTTCTATTGTCAAGCTTGAAACTTTAATAAGCAGTTTCACTGCACTCGAAAGGTTAAAAAACATTCAATTCTTCAAGTAGAGAAATCATAATCGAAATATGAGACGTGAATATAAAATTAATTTTAAATCACCAAAAAAGCTTCTTCAATGTTTCTGTCTGCATGAAATTAACATCAATTTGCTTGTATTTTCTGCTCGAAAGATTCGAAATTGAAACGGTGATTAAATTTTGAAATGGGATATTAACATTATCTATCGACTTGTGCATGAACCAAACTTCTCCCTCATCTCTAACAGAAGTTAAATAATTTACCAATCATCATCATAATAAATTTAGACTGTGAAGCTTAGATAAATTTTTATGAATTTAGAGAACTTTTCTCCATTTTAGACTCACTGTTTGTGCTTCCTACCAACAAAAGAAGCTTCACCAACAAAAAGAAAAGGCCAAAAACAGCGATAACATTTAAAAGCATTTACAGTTATCACTTGAAACTGTGCAACATAGGGAAAAGAGATTAAACGAGAAGTTACGAGTTTATGGAAAGACGAAACCGGTTCTTAGTTCAACCAAACTCGAGCTAAATATTGATTGAAGAATAATTTTTATATTTTCACTAAAATGTCGAGTAGAAACTTAAATTACGTAAGTATTAACTCGTGACAAAGTTGAGTTAGTTAAAAGCATTTCAGGTTCTTTTTCAACTGAACGGTCATGAATTTCGGTCTTTACCATTTTAAGTAATTTTTATTTCTTTCTTTTTCATCTGCGATCATTCATGAAGTGATTTAACAATGTTTCGACTTGTATTCGTCTACTTCTTTAATGTTGTTTATGATAATGATGATCGTGCAAACAATAAGAAAGCAAACAAGTTTTGTTATTCATTCTTAATTCACGAACTTGCTAAGTAATGGAGGATGAGAGTTGTGCAAGATTTCTAACTATGATTCAGTTCTTTTCCGCAATTACTTCACTTAACAATTTGTAGCACGAGTTGAATACATATTCAAGAATGTCTTAAGTTGATGACGACTACTACATTGCTTGACGCTTATCATGAAAGGCTTTATATATCAAGGTTTGATTGGTTTCTGCAGAAGCTATCATCGTTTCTTTATGATTATTATTGTCGTAAGATTCTCGAAGATCAACAAGGTTGTTTACCTTTCTGCTTACGGCATTTGCAGATGAAATTTGATTCATTTGCCTTCTCTAATCATTTACGATTCTTAACACGTTAATAATTCTTTAGAAAATCAATTTCCTTCATCTAAATCACTTCTACCATTAACGATTGCTTACATCAACCGTTTTAATGATAGACAAGAGCATGATAATCATAATTTTTATTTAAAATTTATATCCATGCATACATTCGCATTCATACTTTTGACCCATTTGGCACATTGAACAGGAAAGAAATTCTCCACAACAACTTCGCTAAACATCGATTGAGTTATTTTTTTTCCTCTGTCGACATCACGTCATTGCTAGACTTGTTACTTTCACATGTTGGTGCCAAAATTCTTTCACTTAAAAACTTCTTTCATATTTATTGATAACCTACTTTAGATTATTTGGAAATCATTAATTTTCTGCTATAAATAAACAAACAAAAGTTTATTTCTTCTAAAATATGTTTCAATTACGTGGGCATATGATTTGGCAAGCATTCCAATTCCAAATTTCAAAATTCAATTCCACACAAACAATAATTAAAAACCAAATTAATTTCCATCATTTCCAACTCAGTTTTAAAATGAGAAAAAAAGTTTTAAAGATCAAATTGGTGATTCATAATCACATCATGGCTTTAAGTTCGTTTTTCATTCACATCACTTAAGATTGGATGGAAAATATTTCCTGCAATTCATGTCTTAACTTGTCTCGCAAAGTAATTGATGGAAATGACGCATCAGGTATCAAATTTCAATCATTGAGCCTCTTGATCTTAAACTTCAGCAATGTCAGTAAAAGTAGGAAGTAATATTAAACATTGTACGCAATTTTTCGGTCATTAAAACATTTCTAATTAATTAAACTCTTTTTTTCCTTCTTCTTCTTTCTCTTTTCTCGCACATTTCACAGGTTAATTAACTTAATTGTTTTTATAAAATGTCGTGATGAATTTTGGAACGAGTTCAAGTGAAAATACAAAACAACAAGAATCGTGTTGGTCAAAATTGCAATTTTCATTTCGTTGACGAAGCGTTAAGTATGATGAACAGTTAAGAGTTCCAATAACCAAACTGTGCTATGCATCTTAGATTGCAAGCGTTTCATAAATAATTTAAGTAGAGAAAGAAGTCCAACTTTTTAAATATGCCAAGGCGATTTCGAATAAATGAAGAAATGTGTCATGGACAACGAGTTTTCTGAACTGATTTCTAAATGCATTCAAAGCAGCATAAGCTTAAGAATCATGTTAACGACTAAAAATCAGATTAAACTCTAATTAAGAGAAACAGAAAGGCTCAGCATTGATTCCAGTGTCGATCGTTCTCTTTAAATCTTTCAAGTAGTATCTAATTGAGTTCGTGACTCATTCATTTACACTTCTACAAGTTTCAACTTTGCTGGAGATTGCAGCGACGACCAATGAGTCAATAATTAGCAGTGTTTCAAAAAACTGAGTTAATCCGTAACCGTCGACCGACGTCTCAGGGATTACAAAGCAAATCAGCGACTGCTGAATGCTGTTAACTGCAGGTTTCAACTTTCAAGGTCGATGCTAGAAACCTCATCTAAAGTAGCAATCAAGAAACTGGTCTTTTGTTCCAACTATAAAATGTTGAATAGAACAATGAAGCCATAGTCGAATTTTTCGTTCCATCATAATGAACATTTAGAGCAAAAAAATGATTATTATCAAACTTATTCGATGACAATCAGTTTCTTATGACTTATTGTCATGGTAGATTACTAAATAGTCTTTTGTTGACGACATTATTACATGTTTTGAATTTAATCTTGCAGCAAATTAGCGAGTTTTATTTAAATATTTGCATAAATACACTTCATGATGTTACACCACGAATGAGAAAAATATTTATAAACAAACCAAAAAGTCAGTTTAAGTTTATTTTTAGACATATTTGTCGATAAGATAAGTAAGAGAAATTATCGTCTAATATTGCATCGAATCAATAAAACAAATCTCGCATGAGTTCACCTGTGACTTCCCAAAATACTTCCATATATGGTTCTTCGCTCTGCTTCAAAGATAAGAATAAAAACCGGTTGCAAACTCTTTAAAATTACTTCAATGTTTGTAATTATTTTCAGTTTCGTTTGAAGTGTGGCAGTGAAGAGTTGGGAAAAATGAATTTAGCAGAAAATATTCCCGTGTGGATGAATCAAGATTTCTTTGACAAGGTCATTCGATTCATTGAGAAAGATCAAGCAGCCAAAGTTACAAAGTTTGATGTCAATCCAGGATCGAAGGCAGGAGAGAATTTTGCAAGTGCAATATTTCGTAGCTCGATAACTTACAAGTCAAAGTATTCGAAAGATGCGAAAACAATTTCAGTCATCATCAAAGTGAAGCCAGTTCTTGGTCCAGAAATGGCAGCTTACAGCGAAATCATTGAAAAGTCGAAATTTTTTGAAACTGAAATGGCTTTTTACGGGAAAATTCTGCCTGATATTCAATCGTTAATGTTATCAGCTGGAGATAAGGACGTTTTGTCACCAAAGTAAGCTGATTGGTTATCATGTTTAATAACGTTATAATTATGTAATGCGTACATACAACTTAGATTACTTTATCAGTCCAATGAACCTTCTCCAGTCATCGTTATGGAAGATGTTTGTGTTGATGACTTTACAGTTATCAATTATCCTCCAACAGATTTTGAAGTTTCACGAAAAATAATTCAACGTTTGGCAAAGATACATGCTGGGACTTTCTATTTGATCAGTGAAAATGTAAGAAGTTGTTGATCGTTTCACAAAAGTTTTGAGTTCTTCTATTTCTTCTGTTTCTTGCTTCTTCGTTTAGAAGTTGGATCCAACAGCTTTCAGTCAGAGTATATTTGAAATACCATCAACTGCTGAGATGATTTATGGAAATACTTTAGAACATTTCGCTTCAATTCTTAATGATTGGAAAGGTTATGAAAAATATGCTGAGAAGTTTAAACCTTTGAGAAAAACTTATTTGAGTAAAGTTTTGAAAACTTACAAGCCAAATCGAAGTGAATTTGGTTACAATGTCATCAATCATGCCGATTTTCATATTCGTAATTTGTTGTTTAAGAAAACTAAAGATGGAAGCATTGAAGATTTTCTTTTTGTAAGTAAAGTTTGCAAGAAAATTGTGAAAATGTTAATTGAGATCATTTCAGATTGACTTTCAACTTTGTAATTATGCAACGCCAGCAATTGACTTAATCTACGCGATGTATCATGTATTATCCGAGGAAAACCGTCAAACGAGACGTGATGAGTTCATCGTCAGCTACTATAAGCAATTTGTTGAATCACTTAAGGCATTTGGTTACATGAAATCCCCACCATCACTTACTGATCTCCATATTGAACTGTTGAAAAATGGAATTCTTGAAGTTTTGTTGTGTGTATGCAACACTTCCATTTATTATTACGACTTTTCGACAGTCAAACATGAAGATTTTCTGGTCGAAGATGGAGTGAAAAACTTTATGAAGAAATTATTCGAGACGCCAGCATTCAAAGCAATGCTACAGAAGGAATTGCCGAGATTCCTCTACAATGGTTTCATTTAAATTGTTATGATAATCTACTCACGGTCAAATCGACTAATAATAAAAGTAATCAGAAATTGATATATCACCTCAACCTGCTTCCACTTTAAATTACTCAAAAGCATGTCAATAATGAAAGTGAACCGACATTACCTTTTTCAGTTGATTTTATAAAAACGATTGAATTAAATCCAAAATAAAAGGTTGATCGCTTTCAAAATAAGATATCGAGCAATTGGATTCATTACTCAACGAGTATTTATATATTTTTTTGAGTATTTAATCTTTTGATGTTTATTGATTTTCATCAAGTTGAACATTTTCGAGTATAATGAAAACGCTTACATTGAACAAATTGCATTTTCAGCTTACACATTTTTCACTGCTAATTAACCGACTTCTTCCGCTGATCACAGCATGAACATTTGTAAGAGTGAATGAGATTTCTAATGAGTTGGTTGCTCGGGTTTTTTACAGATTTTTTAAGGCGATCATCGATTGAACTAAAAGTTGAACAGATTTATTTGATTGTTTGATCTTTCTCCGGCTCAATTTCTCTCCCGATTGTGATAGAAAGAAAAAAATGTTTTTAATGAATGGAATATGGAACTTTCTTGAAAGTTAAAAGATGAAGAAAAGCCGATAGTTGGATATTGTGATGATGAAATGCAATTGAAAGTTGTCAAAATGCAGAAACAACTTTTCTATTTAACGCTGTTATCGTCTTTCTTTGTGATTTTTCCCATTCAATGATGAATTTTCTATTGTGAAATTGAAAGTTGCAGTTTTTATTTCTGTTATTTATTCACCTAGATAGACTTTAGTCTTTAAAGAGAAATTCATTTGATGTCGCAATTGATTTTGCTTACAATCAGCACAACTCACTTAAGATTCAATAACATTCCAAATAACATTCCCAAGTGTTAGATTCCAATCAGCAACACAAACAAAAAAGAGGAGTTTGCATTTTTTCAAGTCAATTCAAGAGACTTGGAATACTTTTCAAGTTTCGTGACACTTCCATTGCTTCATAAATCTTTTGCTTTTCCCGTAAATCGAGAAATTGGAGCAATGTCCAACTGGTCATGTTTAAGAAACTGCTGCGTAGTGGAATTTTAATTGAAAATTAAACTCCCAAAGAATCAGACACGCTCTGATAAAAGGAAAGGTTTTGCTGTGAACTGTTTCCCTCGGTAATGAAATGAAAAAGAAAGTACCAATGAGATTTGTTCCGAAAATAATAATATTCACAAGCAATTAGCACTTTTTTAAAATTTTATTCTTCTTTCTTGTCCACCAGACCCTGAAAGTTTTCTTCTTTTTATTTTTCATCATCCACACAACAAAAAGTAAAGAAACAGTGGAGATAACTTTCCCATTTCACTCGTAAGAGATGGTGTGATCATCAAACAATCAATCAACTTGTTTTACAGCATAATTCAACCAAGAGAAATCGTTTGAATTATTCAATAAATAAATTTCTGTTATCAGGTGGTCGCACTTGAATAACATTTCCAATATTTATCACTCTTTGATGTCTTGAAAGTTTAGTTTGTTAAATAACAACTCTTGAAACAACGACGATGACTCTTGTCAATTTTTCGCTTTAAGAACATAAATAGAGCAAGAAGATTGCGATTGTTTTTATTGTGCCGAATGAATGTTGACGGGCGCTATTCACTTATGCAACAGCAACAATAACAACAAACGAGAAACTGAAATTCATATTTCTTTTGTGTGTTAATTTCCATTCAATTAATCGACACTCAGACGCATTGAAAGGTGGAAACAAATCAGACATTCAATTCATCATGTACATCAACTAAATTAGTAAGAATCATATCATGACATCAAATGTTACACGATGTGAATACATTTAATTAACGATGATCTTTTGAGACTTAAACTCTCATCGACGCACTTTTCATAAACATAAATTGGATAGAAATGAGTTGGGAAAAGAGTTTGAAGTCACTCACGCGACAGCTGTTCATGTAATTAGTAAGAAAAACAATGAAAAGATGTTCATGGAGCGGCACACTTTTTTTTCTTACGTTTGATAAATTTAATAGAAACTCAATTGATGAGTTGAAAAGAAAACTTAAAGTGCCATGTTGCCAATGTGTCGAGACTTTTTTTTCTTCTTAATTTATATCTTCACATGATCAGAAGTTTCCCTTCTTTGCTTGTATTTATTCTCAAATTGATTGCAGCAACAGCAACGCATTCTTCACATAAATAAAAGCAACTTCATGAAACCTTCAAATGCCGAACGATGAAACAAAAGAAGTAGAAATACTTCTCATGAACATGGAGAAGAAGTTTAGTTCTTGACATTATGAAAATAATTTTATGTGGCTTCACAAGATTTCTTCGTCCGCTTTGCTTTTAAAATTATCTCAAATGTAAAGCACTCAACATTAATTTATGTCAATTTGTCACGTTTCTTGTATTCACTTCAATTTTCTCATGTTTATGCTATCATAAAAATGTTTCTCAGATTGTTTCAAATTGATTGATGGCAGCATAAAGAAGTAATCAATCGAAAAAAATCTTTTTATGAAGGTGAACGAACTTCTTTTTAATGTCGAAAATCAAAACCTCATTTGAAATCAAATATTTGATGGAAACAGACACTCTACTCATCATTGAAAGCAGCCGATCATGTTTAAGCAATCTTGAATATGTAATGATTATGAAATAGGTATAAGGGTCAATTTGAAGAGAAAACAGCCGCAATATTAAATGTCTAGAGAAGCCACAAGACAATCGCCTTTCAGCTAACTTATGAAAGGTTATTAAACAGAAGAAAAACTCGGTAAGCTTTAATACGATTAGCTGTGCAATAATGACGGTGTGGCTCATGGTTTATAATCATTCAGTAAAGTTCAAGATAAACATCGTTCTAAAACGAGTAGTTATCGAATGCATAAACTAAACGATTGTTCCATTTACCATCAAAAGAAAGAGAAAATCGCCAACGATACTCGATTTTCAAATGTGTCACTATGTCAGTTCATTCTCTTTATGTGACAAGGAAATGCATCGAGTTTTATTTAGAATTTGAGATCAAACATATGTATGCACAAGAAGCTAATAATTGGGAAGATATTTGTTAAAGATTCAAAACGGTAAATTGGAAAGAAGGCAAACAGAAGAACCGTTCGATATGATTTTAAGGTTCTTCTATAGGGTCAATGAATAAAAGCATCAACCAATAATGAATTACGATTTGTATCGATATGTTATTTATTTCGTTCGATATTTGCTTTCATACACCACCTGCCCTATGACAGCGAAACCGGTTCTTCTACAACTTGAACTCCATTTTCAATCCTTTCATTTTTTTCTCTTGTATATAAATTGCATGCAATAAGATCAGTTTTTTACTTAAGTCTGCATTGAAATGCATTTTTAAAATAAGAGAACATTGGAATGAGACAGAAATTGATTTTGTATTTAGATTGCTTAATGTCAACATGAGACAGACTGAATAAGTTTAAATGAGAGTAAACAACAAAGAGCAAAAGGGCAAAGATGATGTCAACTTAAAGATTCAAGTGTCATAATTCAAATGTTAAAATGAACAACAGAAGAATTTCACAATAGGAGATTTATAACAATTGTTTCCTGATTCATTGTCGTCTGTTTCCTTTAGCATTGTTCTCAATACGAATTGTTCCACATACTGATCAGGTTTCAATAAGAAATATAATTTTGTGGACGGTTGAAGGATTTTTTAATTTTTAAGTCTTCAAATTAATGAATTTTTATCGTTCCTGCAGCAGACTTCGTCATTTATTTTTGCTTCTTCTGCTTTGCTTTTTTTAAGACGTTTTCTAACGACAAAGGCGTTTTCTTCTTTACTCACCGTTTTTTTTCTTCTATTATTGCTGCGGTAAATTAATCCCAATTGTGATTGAATGCGTGTCGGTGATTAATCCCAATTAGGGTGAATAAGACAATATTTCCACTTATGAATAATCTCTTAAAATGCTTAATAATTTCTTTTTTCAATCTGTCGAGATAACTTTCATTTATGAAACACAAATACACATGGACTTATTCTTCTTGATTTTTTATGCACTTTTTTTGCGAAAAACACTCAATTGATGTTTCTGTTATTCTTAAAAATTTACTTTGAGAGTAACAAAAACATGTGATATTATTAATTAAGACAGTTTTTTATATGAAATATGTGTAAATAATTGATATCGATTATTAAACTCAAGAAAAAGACCTCCGAGCTCGCCTGCAACTAAACTTTGAATGATCGGTTGAAATTCTCTCGCAAGTTTTTTTTTCAAAACCTCTCATGGGTTTCGGATTACGCTGATTCCTCTCTCGGATTACACCAGCGCCTATCACAAATCCATCGATCCCGATCGAAGTGAACTTAGACTTTTAATCATTGGCGGCGCTGCCATCGCAAATCTCGTGGTCGGAAATAAATCTCGTGCACGAAATTTTTCATGTATGTTTTGTATGGGAGGTCAAATCCGCGCGAACGTACAAGTCGGAAATTCCATTATGGTACATCATAAACACGGGTGAATAACTTGAGTGGGTGCAAATCTAATAAACAGTATTGTCGCGTTCAAGAATTTCAAATTAGTGTTGCCAACGCGTTTCAATGTCTGAGGAGTTCACGATTGTGCAATCGAAGAAAAAGCATAGAAAATTCGGAAAATCTGCACAAGTAAAGTGTAACAGAGCTTCTTCTCCAGCTGAATTTGATCGTGATAAAATTTTAAAGTAAGTTGAGATGAAAATAATTTTAGTTTGTCCTTAATTTTTCGTTATTTTAGGAGAATAAATTATTGTGAAACGGAACTTGAAATTTCTGAATACTTTCAAACCGCAATAGATATCATCAAAACAGCTGTAAATAATCACAGAATATCAGAAATCATCTGTCTTGGAATTGGAAGTATTAGCGAAAGTCTTACAGCTAAATATCAACTTGCTTTCATCAATCTCGTTCAGAGAAATTTGAATATTCAAAGTATTAATTTCTTTGATCCTCTTTTGTCTGCTGGCGAGCAAGAAGTTTTGAAGGCACTTAAGCACACAGTTTTAAGTGAAAACAAAGAAGGAAAATACATTGCCGAGTCACCTACACTTTTCTATCTTCCGCATTGTCCAAAACAACTGACAAATAATTTGCTTTTTTCAAATTGGGATCCAAAATATCTCGCAAATATTTTCTTGATTAGTAATAGTTTCCAAAGAATCATAACTAAAACACCTGAAAGATTTTTAAGACCAAGTGCTAACTTTATTTTAGAAGTTAATCCATTTGTAAGTGAAGTTGAAATTGAGAATTCATTTGAATTGAACACCTGCTTTAACGATACATCAATCCATTCATTTACACCAACCAAACTTGACACTGCTTCTGCAAATCTTTGGATTAATCCATCACAACCAACTTACATTGAAGAAGATTTAGAAATTGTTCTCAATGGCAGCAAGTAAAACTCTTCGCGGAATTTTGTTGGAACTTCGACTTTCATCGCCAAATGGATCCATTAAGGATTCCTTAGCTTCCAAATATATTCTGGATCAATTCAGAAAGTTCAAGACAACTGATGAGCAACTCTGTAAAGTTAAAGATGAGATGCACTTCTTAGGACAAACTTATCTTTGTTATCTTCAGTCAGCAAGAAATTATAAGAGAATCAATGACGAATATAAAGGAGCTGGTGAACGAACAGTCGAAGCAACCGCAAAACTGGTTGGATTTAAGCTTCCTCATGATCCTAAGTAATAAAATATTTAATGTTGTAGATCATGTTATGAAATTTTCTGGAAATAAATTTATGAATTAAAACATGAAAAAGACAGACCGCCATTTAGACAGCAACAACAATTTTTATCATTTTATCTATTAAGTTAGCCGCTCGTAAACAAAACAAAAATGTCTCAAAAGAAAGAATTTTTTAACATTCACAATAACCTTACAAGTATTCCTTGTTTATTAATTAATAAAAATGTTCTCATTTTCCTTCGGAACGAGTCATGGGTTGCTGGAAAGATCGTCGATGCTGATGGATTAATGAATATTTTTATGGAAAAAGTTGTTTATTGTGATCAAAAAGGACTTCAATATAAATTAGATAATTACGGAATCAGAAATAGACAGATTTTGTACATTCAAATACCAGAATCAATCGATCTCACAAGTGCTATCAAGGATTATTTAGATAAACTTCACACACCAATGAATAAGTCAACTAAACGAACATTCAAGATTAAACGAGCTCAAATGAAGAATCAAGAGACGGTCAATGAATTAAAAGGAAAGCAGTTTTAAAAGATCTTTCAACAATTTATTTTGATTGTAAAGCCATCATCATGTTAATAAAAATCAGGAAAATTATTATGATTGATATTCCTTTCTTAATATTTTGGCGATTGTGCTCAACTGAATGTTTGACGTTCCTTCATAGATCGAACCGATTTTGCAATCACGATAGAATTTTTCTTGTGGAAAGTCTTTAGTGAATCCTACACCTCCCATCCAATCAATACAATTTATTGTCACTTTTTGTGCCATTTGAGATGAAAACACTTTACACATTGCAGCTTCTTTAAGGAAAGGAAGACCAGCTTCTTGAAGACGAGCAGCATTATAGGTCATTAAACGAGCAGCTTCAATGAGTGTTGCTGTTTCAGCGATTTGGTATTGCATGCCTTGAAAACTGAAAATATCACTTCCAAATTGCTTTCGTTCTAAGAGATAAGGAATTGTAGCGTCGAAACATCCTTGAGCCAGGCCAATCATTTGAGCGCCAATTCCAATTCTTCCTTCATTTAAAAATCCAGCTGCATATTGATAGCCTTTTCCTAACTCCCCAAGGATATTTTCTTCAGGAACTTTCACGTTATCAAGATGCAACATGCAAGTTCCACTTGCACATATTCCCAACTTGCTTTCCTTCTTTCCTACTGAAAATCCTTCCATTCCACGTTCAAGAATAAAAGTTGTGATTCCACGATAACCTTTCGATGGATCAGCATTCGCCATTACAAGGAAAATATCTGCAATATCTGAATTACTAATCCACATCTTTGTACCATTCAAAATATAATTCGATCCTTCTTTTCTTGCTATCGTTTTCAAAGCGAAAGCATCAGAACCAGATGTCGGTTCTGATAAAGCAAAACTTCCAGCCTGAAATGACATTTGAATGATAAGAAATTAATTTATTATGTCAAAGATTATGCTAAATGTTTAGTAGATTTTTTTTTTCTTAATAGTAAATGAATTTAAGTAATCAAGAACTGTCAACAAACTTCTAGCCCTGAACTTGATTTTTGAAAAAGGAAGAAGAAGATTATCTGCACTAACTCATTATTCAAGATTATGCTTTACTCACTGATTCTGTCGCCAATTTGGTTAAGTATTTCTCCTTCTGTTCCTTCGTCCCAAGTCTGTTAATCAAACTATTGATCAAAGTATTTTGAATGTCAACCAACACAGACACAGCAGGGTCAACTTTGGATATTTCCTCGACTGCCAACACCGAAGTCATAAAATTAGAACCAGTCCCACCATATTCTTCTGGTATCTCGATACCCATTAAGCCATTGTCAAAAAGACCTTTTAACAAACGATCATCGAGTTTTCCATTTGCTTCCATTTCTCTCACAAGCGGTGCGATTTGTTCTTGAGCAAATTTGGCAACTGCGCATAAATTGATAAAAGAAAAATTTCTTAGACAACCAAAATAATTTTTTTTTCGAAAACAACTACGCATTTCATGGATAATGACAAGTTCAAAGTTTCTGTGGTTTTTTACCAGTTTCTTTCATTGCAAGTTCATCATCAGTCAATGTTGTAAGCGGCTTGACAGCTGAATAATTTCTTACTTTAGTGACTGCACTGATAAACTAAATTCCAATAAAAAAAAATAAATAATGAAAGTTCATGACAAATGCTAACAAAAACATCTTACATTAGTGACTGGCAGTTTTCTTAAGTAGTTCATCATTGAATCTTATTAAATATTTGTACTTAGATAGTCTAATAAATGCAACAAGTCACAGTCAATAATCTATGAAGTGCCACGATCGAGCCACGAAATATTACTGAGAGCAACACAAAACATTAACCGAAAAAAAAGAAGTTTGTGAGAATATCGCGAGAAGTAAAATTTTGTCATTGCAAAGAGAACAAAATGTAAACGATTGGAAATGAAAAATAAAAAGATATTCAACGTTATCAGAACTCGGAAGACGTCAAAGTCACCACCAGCAATTCTCTTATCACAACTAATAATAAAAAAACAAATTTTCTTTGTTGTTTAATTTTAAATCCGAATGAAAAAGAAAAATATAAATTTATTCACGTGATTTAAAACGTTAACATGTGAAAATTAAAATAAATGCAATAAAAATCCAATATGGTCGGTCAATAAAGTTGCGTAAATGTTATGCTCAAGATTGATATTCCTTTTTCAATAATTTCGCAATTGTACTAAGTTGCATGTTCGATGTGCCTTCATAGATTGCTCCAATTTTACAATCACGATAGAATTTCTCTTGTGGAAAATCTTTGGTGAATCCAACACCACCCATCCAGTCAACACATTTCACAGTCACACGTTGTGCCATTTCAGATGCAAAATATTTGCACATGGCAGCTTCCTTTGTAAATGGCATGCCGCATTCTTGCATACGAGCTGCATTGTAGTACATCAATCGAGCAGCCTCGATATCTGTTGCTACTTCTGCGACTTGGTATTGCATGCCTTGGAAGCTAAAAATGTCACTTCCAAATTGTTTCCGTTCCAGAAGATAAGGCATTGTGGCATCGAATGATCCTTGTGCACAGCCGACCATTTGTGCTGCGATTCCAATTCTACCTTCATTCAAGATAGATGCTGAATACTGATATCCTTTGCCATATTCCCCAAGAATGTTGTCTTCATGCACACGAACATTGTCAAGATGCAACATGCAAGTTCCACTCGCACAAATTCCCAACTTGTTTTCTTTCTTTCCAACTACGAATCCTTCTTGGTCACGTTCAACAATGAAGGCTGTGATTCCTTTGTATCCTTTTGAAGGATCGGCATTTGCAAAGATAATAAAAACACCCGACAAATCTGAATTACTGATCCACATTTTTGTTCCATTTAAGACGTAATGATTTCCATCTTTTTTTGCAGTGGTTTTTAAAGCGAAAGCGTCACTTCCAGATGATGGTTCTGACAAAGCAAAACTGCCAGGATATTCCGTACAAAGTTTTGTAAGATATTTTTCCTTTTGAGCTTTTGTTCCAAGCCTCGAGAAAAGATTGATCACTAAGGTGTTGTGAATGTCAACAAGGGCAGCAACAGCTGGATCAACCTGTAGATTAAATGATAAGAAATGAGATCATTCTAGGATAAATTTTATCATTTTAAGATTTACTTTGCTAAGCTCTTCGCAAACCAACATCATGGTTAAAAAATTACATCCACTTCCGCCATATTCTGGATCAGCTTCAACTCCCATTAATCCGTTATCGAAAAGTTGTTTCACGATTCCATCATCGAATTTATGGTCGTCATCCATTTTTCTAACAAGCGGGGCGATTTGTTCTTGAGCCAGTTTCGCAACTGTGTAAATAAGAGAGAAAATGAAACGAGAATTAAATTCATGTTTGATGAATGTGTGGAGGCTCGTTTTCAGGTTTTTATTCCTCGCTCTGCTTTAACGTTGTTCGCATATTTATCAATCACTTTAATTTAAAATATTTTCTCAAAGCAGATAACTAAACAACTTCGTTATGTTATCACCAATAACTTGTGTGTGTAAATGTATGAATTTTAGTTTTAAAAATACCTGAAACTCAACAAGACAATTTTTTTCTTGTTTTTCACATTCAAACGATGATTTCCAGATTTTCTTCTCATATCGTTTTATATGTTTGCGATTTTCACTCGTTTTATATTCTTTAATATCTTAAAATATCTAAAAATTAACGTCACAAGTTGTTTTTTTTTCTTCTGCTATTTTATTTCATTCACTACGTGGCTGTGGCTCGTACTTTGTTTGCTAATTTTCTTTTGGTTTTGTTTGAAATTGACTCAAATCAAGTATTTGCATGAAAGTGATAAAAGAAACTTTCGCTTATCAACTCATAAATTCATAAACACACGATTACTGTCAAGGCTAATCCGTGAAAACTTTTGACGTCGATACAATGATGAAAATAATTGAAAAAATCTCATCAAAATTAAATTTTATCACTTGTCGCTTATCACAAATTATTATTTTAGGATTTGTTGTGGAAAATTATTTGATTGTTATATAATAGAAGGTACACCAGACTGACCTGTTTGCTTCATCACTAATTCATCGTCAGTTAATGTCGTTAAGGGTTTCACACCCGCAGAACTCATAAGTCGGGCTTGACTTTTGCTGACGGTCTTCATCATCTATTTTAAAAAATAAATGATAAAACTTATTTATGAAGATGATTGAATAAATTTTTATCCACTTACTGATCGAAGCGGAAGTCTGCTGATTAAACGATTCATCTTAAATATTTTTTTTATTATTTCTTAAAATAATTTTTCTAGAGACACGACTTGGTCGGAATCGCAAGAACAACTAACGAATAAAAGCGATCCCGAGCAGAAACATGAACTTGAAATGTGGATTTATTATCATCATTGCTTCACTCTCTTCACTCCGATCTTCGTTCGCTCTCTTCAAATTTTTTTCATTCTCTTTCCAAACATTCATGTTTTTAACTTTCATAAACTGAAACTCTCAAAAATTATCAATAAAACATTAATTTTACTTTATGAATCGATTTATTAATGCGAAAAAAATTATTTGCTTTAAGCATGACATGAAAGAAAATTTAAATTCTCACACGTTTTTATGTCTACTTCGAACCGCTTCCACCTTTACCATCCTTATCTTTATCAGAATTCTTATCCTTGTTGAGGGAATCAACAGCCCCACGAATTGCTTCTGATTGTGGATCAACACCAGGAAGATTTTCTAAAACACTTTGCAAGAATGCGGGATCGGTGATGACCTCATTGTAGTCTTCATCCACATCCATTGGAGTCTCTTCTTTTTTAGGACGCTTAGCTTGTTGTGAAATTGGTTCTTCTGTAAATTTCATATTCATTAGGTGATTTTCAAGGGAAGAAATAATAATCAAAGCAACACTTACGAGCATCTTGCATTGACATTTGCATAGCAAATGCAATTTGCTCTTCTTCAGTCATGTTTGAAAAATCTGGCATAATTTCGTCACTCTAAAAAAGAAAGGAATGTTAATAAAAAATGCTTTTAGGAATCTTAAATTTATCTTAAAATTAAAGTGAAGACAGAATTTTGTAAGAGTTCCAAAAAAATGAAAACGGAAACGAAACGAACTCGATGTCGTTTTACCGGAGTCTCTGTTGAGAGAGCAAGAGCGCGTTCAAGCATTGCTTCGTCTGATGTTGGAGCAGCAGTTGTTACTGGCGGTGCTTGACCAGTCATATCTGATTCTTGAGCAGAAGCAGCCTGAGCCCGTCGCTGTTCTTCCTCTTGTCGCTGTCTTTGTTCCTCCATCGACACACGAAGTGCTAAAGCGAGTTCTGGATCTTCGTTCGGATCAACTCCAAATTCATAACCTGCTCCACCTAAACCAACTCCTCCCAAGCCATCTTCACCTAAAATTATCAAAATCAAGAGAAAATTAAAAAAGATGACGACAACATTTTTGAAATTTCCTTACCTTGAATGATTGGCGATGAGATGAGAGCTTCTTGAAGTGCTGAACCTCGAGGAACACTAACAAGATGAGAACCAGTACCATCTTTACCATTCAATGCATTGATGAAAGCAGTCAACAAATCGTTGTTCTTTTGATGATCACCAAAACTAACAATGTCAACATTTACTTTTTCTTTTTTCAATCTTTTCGCGAGTTTTACAACTTCTGCTTCATCGGCTTCAAGTGGAGAGCCAATGAATAATACAATTCGCATTTTATGGTTCTTTCCTTGACGATGTTTAAGAACAAGCTAATTTGGATAAAATTTTAATTAATAATTTGAATGATTAAATCATTTCATGAACTTACATGAGCAACTCTGATTCCAGTGATGAGATTGACATTTCCATTTGGTTGAACCAAGTGCATTTTAGACATGATACTTCCTACATCTCCTGTAAGTGTTGCTAGAACTTCCACATTGCTGAAAATAATTCTATTAATTAAACTGCTTTCAAAACAAATTTTGCACAAATTACTCAGCGAATGTAAGAAGACCAACATTATTCTCGGGATTAGAACGGATTTTAGTCATGCATACCAGATTTATTCCATCTTTCTGGGCATTTAATCTTGTAGGTAGGTAATCACCATTACGCTGGTAGTCACTGTTGTCGAAGCTACAAAAATAAAAATTATTTTTTGCTGAATCACTCCTCATATTTTTTGGTTTTCCATGTCTTATTTAACTCTCCATGAAACAAACTTGAATTCATCACAGTGAAAGATTTGAAACTTACCAAATCATTGTACTCTCGAGCACCATTTTGCTTTATTTTATCGAATAATAACAATATATAATGATCAAACTTCCTTTGTTGACTTTTGGATTTCGAGGTTTATGTTAGTATAACAGTTGTATAACAACTGTACATTAACCTCAGCTGAGGCAACCCTAAATATTCAAAATTCATCTAACCGTTAAATTATTGACATTATTTTATGTTTCTGGTTCTGGATTTTTATGATTATCACTTACATAACAGACATTATTGTTTATTACTTAATTTTTTTATGCTACCTATAAATACATTTAGAGTTTGTTTTGTCACTTTAATTATTACAAAGTTTATTTACAATTTTTCTGTAAAAAAAACATTAAAGAATTTAAAAAACTTATTGTCATCACTGATCACACTATTGATGAGTAAATAATAATTAAATTTTAAGCCATTTATTATTCATCAGACCACCAAATATTACAAGAAAACACACACAAACGATTTCCTCTTAAATCAACATTTGTCTTGTTGAAATAGCAAACAATAAATTGAACTGATTTTCAAGAAATCACTTCTTAGCAAATAAAATATTATCGATCCATAGATCAGAGTTTTGACAAAATAATTCAAATATCTCATGCGGTGAAAGTTTTTCAGTGCTTTTGGTAAATCTTTGTCATCCTCTCGCAGTAAATATCGGCGACCACCAAGAACAGCATAACGGAAGTAGAGAATGATGTCGTACTCTAAAAAGTTATTATAATTAAAAGATTTCATATCCGAAAGTTTCAGGTTTGAGCAGAGATTTATAAAGTTTTCATTTTGGAATTTCCAGTTGTTTAGAATGAAATGTTCAAGAGCTAAATTGGCTTGGTAAATTTTTCTTTGAAGTCTCACGAGGCTGAAAAAAAATCGAGTTCAAATGTTTAAAGGAACTTTATCAAACATTCGATTAGAAAAATCTTACAATGGTTTATGACCTTTTAGACCAATCGCAAAATCAACGAAAATAGCAGGCAGCAAATGGAAAAAAATTACTTTCAAATAATTGAGATAACGACACTTTGTCAACCCTCCACCCGGCGCCCAAAGCATTTTATCCAAAGGAAATTCATCTTGCATTCCTTTTCCCATTTCAATAATTTGCTCCATTGTAGCAATTCTTTGATTTGAAGTGGAGCAATTATAAACAGGCAAACTTCCGCTGCAAAATAATTTATGATTTTAGTTTCAACCTTTGACATTTTCAAATTTATAAATAAGCATAAATGTTTTTGAATTTATATTGACTTTGAAAAGGCAAAAACAATGTTATGAAATTTACCTCGGTTCAAGTGCACGTTTCCATGCTGCAACTATCATTGCCTTAATGCAAATATCGACGGGTGTGAAATCTGCAATGTTGTCAGGGCTGCAATACATTGTCCTTGTCACACCCAATCCTGATCCGACTAACAGTCCAACTGGACCATTAACTTTAATTAAAAATAGAGAGATAGGAACAATGTTTTGATTTGTTCATTTGGATATGCTTACAATTGTCGATCCAACCTGGAAAAGGTTCTTTCATCGATGATATAACAATTGATGGTCTAAACAATACCAAAGGAAGTTCATGCTTGTAATCGTCAACAACTTGTTCAGCAAGAGCTTTTGTAAATGTATATGTGTTCGGTAAGAATTTCATATATTTCGGTGTCAAAATATTCAACAAATCTTCATCAACTTCTTCACAGATTTTAATTGTTTTCTTCCAGTCAACATACGGCTTGTGAATCTCTTCACCGACAACTTTTAGTTCAGGATGACTGTAAGTTGTTGAAACATGCATAACAACTTTGATGTTCACCAAAGTTTTAGAAAATTCCATAACTTCACGTGTACCTCGAGTGTTCATATGCACAGCATATTTTAAATTATCATCGAATCGTACACTCGCTGCTGAATGAAAAATAATTGAAACATTTTTCATTTTCTTCAAATCATTGTTCGAGAGTCCAAGTTGAAGTTCAGTCACATCACCTTCAATCGGAATTAATTTTTCGAATACCGTCGGCACCCTTTTTCTCAAAGGCGTAAATAGCGGCAAATCAAGTATTGATTTCAACCGCTTTTCAATAGAATTTCCTTTTTTAGGACGTAATAAAACATAAATTGCTTTAATATCGGGACATGAACGTAAAAGCTTCTCAATTAAAACTTTGCCCATAAAACCGGAACCACCCGTAACAAAAATCTCCTGACCACCGTAAAATTCAGGTATTGATGGAGCATTTTTCGTCCATTCACACTCATAATCGTCTAAATTAAAAATAGTTTTATCTTCCAATTCAGGTTTTATGATATGACTTGAAAACTTCATTTCCTTTCAAATAACTTTTTTCTTTAATAAAATCAACTGATTGTCACCACGTTTGACTTCTTTCTAATTCTAAGTTCAAGTTTTGTACGTCGCATTTTTAATTTCAATAGTTTTTCAAGACTGAGCAAGAGAGTGAGAAATAAACTCAAACTTTCAAATTGATCAAATTGATGATTAAATGAGAATTGATTTAAAAGAGAATCAATTATTGAGCTTTTGAAGCTTTGAATTTCCTTTATTTAAAAAAATTACCTCGACAACCATTAAAAGTGAAAGAAAAATTATTGTACACTAGAAATAACTTCTGCAAGCATTAATCAGATCATATTTTACAAAAATAAAGTAAAATGCAATCATGTATGGTATCCTTGTGACAAATCTGTCAAGCATCTTCATTCTTTTGAAGTGAATTATGTTCTTGGGAATATTTTCTTCCTTATCACCCAACAAATATTTTTTAACTCCAATGAGAGCATAGCGAAGGTACAAAATGATGTCATGATGGAAATAGTCTTCAAATCCAAAATCATTCATGTCGTCTAGCTTCAAATGTTGTGTCAATGAATAAAATTGTTCGTTTTTGAATGTCCAATCATTTGAAACGAAATAGTGAAGTGCCAAGTTAGCTTCGTAAATTTTTCGTTGAATTTTTACGAGACTTTAAAAGAAATAAAATTTCAATTGAATAGTTTATCAAAGATAATTTAACTCACAATGGTTTTTGTCCTTTAATCCGGAACATTAAATCAATGAACATCGCAGGCAGCAGTTGAAGAAAAATGGTTCGAATAAAGTTCTTCATAAAGGAAAGAGTTATTTCACCTCCAGGTGTCCAAAGCATCTTATCCATGGGACATGTAGCCGAAAGACATTTGCCAAGGTCTGTTATTTGACACATGGTAATATCGACATGTCCCGACGATGCGCAGTTATAAACTTTCAGTAAATCTCTACAATTTCATGAGATAAAATCAAAATATCAAATCACATTAATAAACTTTACTTCGGTTCATGAGCTCGTTTCCATGCTGCAATTATCATTCCTTTGACACATAAATCAACTGGAGTGAAATCAGCAATGTTATCAGGATTGCACCACATCGTTCGAGTTATTCCTATTCCTGATCCTACCAATAGACCCACGGGACCGTTGACTTCATAAAAATATTTTTTTGTTTTGTCAAATCAATGTTAAAAGTTATTCAAAAAATATGAAAATTTCTCACAGTTGTCAATCCAACCTGGAAAAGGTTCTTTCATTGTTGATATAACAATCGATGGTCTAAACAAAACCAAAGGAATTTTATCTTTATAATCTTTCACGATATGTTCAGCAAGATTTTTCGTGAATGTATAAGTGTTTGGCATAAAGTTTGAATACTTTAATGTTAAACAATTGAGAACGTCTTCGTCGAGTTTCTCACATATTTCAATTGTCTTACGCCAATCTGCGACTGGGTCATAAATCTTCTCTTCAACGACGGATCTTTTTGGATTACTATAAGTCGTCGAAACGTGCATGACCACTTCGATATTTTTAAGGCTTTCAGCGAACTTCATTATTTCTCTTGTTCCCCTAGTATTCATGAACACAGCATATTTCAGTGAGTCATCAAAGCGAACACTCGCAGCAGAATGAAAAATGATCGAAACATTTCTCATTCGGTGAATGTCGACTTTTGACAGACCGAGTTCAATTTCTGTGACGTCGCCATTTATTGGAATAAGTTTATGTAAAACATCAGGCATCAATTTACGTAAGGGAGCATATAAAGGTAAATCAATTAATGCTTTCAATCGTTCGTCGATTGACTTTCCTTTTTTAGGTCTTAGAAGAACGTAAATCGTTTTGATTTTACTGCACGATCTTAAAAGCTTTTCAATCAAAACTTTTCCTAAAAATCCACTTCCACCTGTGATGAAAATCTCTTTATCAGCGTAATAATCAGAAATTGCTGGTAAATGTTCTAATCGTTCTTTGACAGTAAACAAATCATTTACAATTTCATCCTCGGTTTTAATGCATTGCATAGAATGATTCGAAAAGCGCATCATTTTTGAAACTATTTTTATTCCTACACTTTTGTGTTCACTTTATGTCTTATTGCCCGACTAATTGTTAATGAGTGAAAGAGTTACGCTTACCTCAATTCAACTTATTAGAATATCTAATTTATTATAATCAATTCTAGTTAACTAATTAAATTCCAATTTGTTAAGTTTCCGTTCTGTTATGTCATAAATTCGTTTTTGAATGTAGAGAAAGTTGAAACTTTGAGTGTCATGATTACTTTTGATACTTCTCAATGAAAAGATTTCTTAAAATTGCTTGTAAAATTTCTGTCAATGAAGCTTTTTAACGCGCCAAATTTTAATTTTATTTTACGCTGAATTTAAGAAAACTTAACACAATCTAAATTCATGTAATTGAACCTTAAACTCAGTCAATTCAATGACCACGCTTTGGTTACCAAATTATGTACAATTAAATTAAAAGTCTAGTCGACATTTTATACAACTTTACAATTTTTTATTCGATTCCTAAACCAAACTCAGAAATTTTCTTTAACTTCAAGAACATTTCTACATTCCAAAACTGTTTTTGAGAATTTTTACAATATCATATTTGAAGAAAATAATGTAAAAGGCAAGCATGAAGATAAAGCAATAGATTGCATCAAATGTTGCTTTCATAATCTGATACCTTCTTCGACATTTAGGAAGACTTTCATCCTTTTCATGGAGAAGATATCGACGAAATCCTAACAAACTATAACGAATAAAAAGTATCGAATCGTATGTGAAACCAGTACGAAAATCGAATTCTAAAACGTCTTCAGGATGTAAGAAATAATTTAAGTCACAAAAGTTTTCGTTGATGAAATTCCAATTGTGAGTTACAAAATATGATAATGCGTTGTTGGCTTCGAACATTTTTCTTTGAATTTTCATTAATCTGTAATGGACGAAAACATTAATTATTCAACCATCTCTTTAAGTCTTTCATTCTTACTTCGGTTTCCTCATTTTCATCCTTAGAATGAAATCAAAAAATAATGCAGGCAATATTTGAAATAGGATCAATCGAATGAAATTGTAACTTTTACAAAGCGTAACACCACCACTAGCTGTTAGAACCGTTTTTTGAGGTGCCACTTCCTTGCACACTCCATGGATGCCAATTTCAAGCATTTGTCTGATTGTGAGTTTATTTTTATTTCCTGCTGCACTGTTGTATACAGGAAATGAGCCACTAATTATGAAAAGGCAAAATTATGATTGACATTTTGATTAAAACATTTAGTAAAATTTACTTAGCTTCACTTCCACGCTTCCAGGCACTCATAATCATTGCTTTTGCAATTACATCAACAGGCATCATGTCAAGAACGTTTTTTGGATCACAATACATTGTCTTGCTAAGACCTAATACCGATACCAACAATATTCCCATAGGTCCATTAACACTATCGACCCAACCTGTGAATTTGAAACAACAAAAATAATTTGAACTTTGATTAAATATTCCGAAAGAAAATTTTACCCGGGAAAGGTTCTTTCTGAGACCAAATAACGACTGAAGGTCTGAATAACACAATCGGAAGTTTATTTTTGTAATTATTCGAAACATGTTCAGCAAGATTCTTTGAGAACACGTAAGTATTCGGCATGAAGTTGATGTAATGTTGGGTAAATTTATCAAGTTGATCTTCATCCATTTTCTCACATATCTCAATAGTTTTTCGCCAGTCAGCTGCTGGAGGATAAAGCTTCTCTTCCAGCGTGTGAGTGTACACATTGCTATAAGTTGTCGAAACATGCATTAAGACCTTCAAATTGACGAGCGTTGTAGCAAATTCCATGAGCTCGCGAGTTCCACGAGTGTTCATTAGCACAGCATATTTCAATGAATCGTCGAAACGAACAGTTGCAGCAGAATGAAATATAATTGAAACATTTCTTAGAAGTTGAATTGATTCATTCGATAATCCAAGTTTTAATTCTGCCACATCACCAGCAATTGGAACGAGTTTTGATGCAAAATTTGGATTCAATTTTCGAACTGCATCGAAAAGCTTTAACTCGACGAGTTTATTTAATCGTTCTTCAATTGACTCTCCTCGTTTAGGACGAATAAGAATGTAAATTAATTTGATATCAGGACATGATCTCAAAAGCTTTTCTATCAACACTTTTCCAATGAAACCCGATCCACCCGTGATAAAAATTTCCCGACCAGCATAAAAGTTTTTAATGTTGGGAAATCCTTTGATTGGTGTTTGTTCTCTCAATAATTCTTTAATACTTCCTTCCTGAGTCTTCAACTCATGCATGTGATCGTCAGGATATTTCATTTTTAAACCTTTTTAGACAAACTTTCTTTCCTTAAAAATTAAACGCGTCCGCACTTGTTGGTGTCACTCAACCTATTAAACTTAACGTGTCACAAAATTTGGATTTTTAATTTAAATTTATTCCGCTTTACAGTGATTTTACTTTTGTGTGTTGAAAAGGAATACTTTTTACAATTAGCCATTAAAAGTGTTGAAGTTCAGTCGCATCGACATTAAAAATCTATTCACTTAATAATTATTCATTAATTTTAACTTCGTTGAGAGGCTTCGAACATAACGACATGAAAAGCTTCTTGCGGCAATGATCATGAGCAATTTTCATCTCTTAAAATAAAAGAAAGAAAAGAAAATCGAGAAGAAAAATTGAAAATTCTCTCAAACTTTTATCATCGAATGATTTAAAAATAAAAATGAAAATGTTTCTACACAACATCGCAGTTTTCACAAAGATTTTCATCGGTTTGGGTTGATTTTCAAGAGATCTTAATTATTTATTCATTCGAAATCATGGACGCGCTTTACTTAAGTCAGAGAATTCTGATTAGTAGTGATTGCTGTAAGAAATTGATATCCGGTGGAATTCTTGTCTCGAACACAGATGGAACAATTAAAAGAGTTTTTACGTCGCAAGAGGAAATCAACAGCTACTTGTTCATTGAGCACGGAGCTGAGGTAGTGAGAGAAACTTTTTCGCACTCATTTGTGCGTTGTTGATAACAATTTTGAAGAGAATTTTCCTTTTTACTCTCAGGTTTATGATTTTGGCAACAAAGTGATCATGCCAGGCTTGATTGACGCAAACGTCAACATTTGTTCTGGAACTGATGTTGAAGATTTCTCAACTGTCACGAAAGCAGCAGCTGCTGGTGGATTCACTTGCATTGTTGACAATCCAATGTACGCTCAAAATTCATGAGAATTTCAAACAATTTTTATTTCATTCTCTCTTTTACTTTAAAGGTTTTCAGTTCCCGCCACAACTTCATTGAAAAACTTAAAAGCAAAAGTCGACCAAGCTCGTAAAAATTGTCTTCACGTTGATGTTGCCTTTTGGGGTGGCGTTACTGGTGAAAATAATTCTGAACTTTTACCTTTGGCACATCATGGTGTTTGTGGATTTAAAGGTATTCTCAATCCACAAGACAGTTTTCCTGATTTCCCACATCTTACAAAAGATTCTTTGAAAAGTTCACTTGAAGTGTTGGAAGAGACTGATTGTGTTTTGGCTGTAAGTTAAATTGCAAATAATTTTCAAGGAAGTTCAAATGAGATTTGTTTCAGTTAAAACCCGACTTGGAAGAACAAGAATCAAGTTTTCCCAACGATGTAAAGTTCAAAGATTATGCAATGTTCTTGTCAACAAAGCCATCATCAATTGAGAAAATCGGAGTTCAACTCGTATTGGATTTAATTAAAAATCATAAAATGAAAATTCATCTCACTGATTTATCTTCAGCTGAGATTTTTCCTTTGATGCAAAAATATCAAAATATGAAAACACCAAAAATGTCGTCTTTGTCTTATGAAACTTCTCATCACTATTTGGCACTCAATGCAGAAGATATTGGAAATGGAAAAACTGAATTTAAATGTTCACCGCCCATTCGAAACCACAACAATCAAAGCAGTTTATGGGAAAAGATAAAAAATTATGAAATATTTAATGTTTCAAGCAGTCATTTGCCAAGTTCGATAAAATCGAAATGCTTGATTGGTGGTAAAAACCGAGGAAATTTCTTTGAAGCTTCAAATGGAATTTCATCACTTCAGTTTAGCCTTCCAGTGTTTTGGACAAACTGCCATAAGCACGACATGACCTTGCATGATGTCAGTCGGTTTTTAAGCTATCATCCCGCAAAACTTTGCGGTCTTGACAAGAATAAAGGAAGAATTCAAATTGGTTATGACGGAGATTTTTGTGTTTGGGATCCCGATGAAGAATGGACGGTGACTAAAGAAGACACGTTATTTAAGAATAAAATTTGTCCCTACTATGGGAAAGTTTTGAAAGGTCGAGTTTATGCGACAGTCGTTCGAGGGTATTTTGTTTTTGATGTAAACAACCCACAATTCGATGAACCGATGGGAAATGTTCTTCTAAAGAAACCCATGAGACGATGCGAGCGATCGATCAACTTTCAAGATGATGACTTGGAAACTTGAAAGACAAAACGAAAATTTCAATGAAATAATTTACTTTATTTCCTTACTTTCTTTTTCATTTTCCACAAAATTTTCAATCATAACAGAATGTCAAAAGGAAAAACTGTGAAAACGACATAAAGATGAAAAATTTCTACTTTCAAGAATGTTTAAACACAGAACTTTTAATTAATTTTTTTTTTACTTTTCAACATACTTTTCATAAGAAAAAAATTATTTTCTCCACTTATCGATGAGTTAATTACACAATTAATTAATTATCATAATATGTAGTTTACAAAGTTTTGTTTAAGGGTAATACTGATCCTTAAATTAATTTTAAATATTTATTATCAAATTTAAGTCTTAATTCTATCATTAATTCTTTTCTTTTATTAATTATTAATTATTTTGAAGGATGGAGACAAGTCACTACATTAATAAACATTAATTTTTAAAATATTTACATTTCACGACTTAATTATTCTTTTCATTCAACAAATTGCAAAATTTGTTTCTTCTGATCTTAAATAAAAAAAAAGATGAAATGGAAAATTTTTTAATGAATTGGTGGGAGTGATAAGTGAAAAGTCAGAAAGTTATTTGAGTAGCAAATTGTTCATTTAAAGGTCTATCAAAATTCTTTCTATTTCATAAATTTGTTTTGTCATGACTCATGATGACTTAATAAATAAAATTCTTACATTAAAAAGCTTCGGGGAAAAATGAAAATCTTTCTCAGTTTAATGTACAGAAGAAAATGAAAAGATTTTCCATAAAGATATTTCTAAGGTTGTTTAAGTAGATATTGTTGATGATGAATTATCTTAATTATATTTCTTTGTCGCGAGATCAATGATAATTGAAATTTATCATTGGTCAAGATGGAAATCAAAGCTACATTAATTTATGATGTGATGTTATGAATAAAGAGCGCGAGGAATGATGATCGACAAATAAATAAAAGCTTTTCTCTCAATGAAATTTGTAATTGAGCTTCACAATTAAAAATGTATAAATATGCAAGCTAATGCAGATAATTGAATTTCGATAAAAGATGAAAATTTATGAAGATTTAATTTATTATTTACACGTGTACTCTTGAATAACTTTTTTACACGTGTCGCAGCGAACATTGCAACACCATTGGAACTTGCAGTTGCATCGCTCCTGAATAACAATTTTCTTTGTATTGTAGCCTCGGCCGCAGCAAAGGATGGAACAGCTGTCTAACCCTGTTGATGTTCGATTGCATCTTCTGCCATGTGTGCCTAGAACGAGAAATAAAAAAGGGTTCGATTGTAGATGAAACAGCAGGGATTAAATTAAATATTTAATTAACAATTACCAGGCCATTGAAGTTGCTTATTCACACGACACCAATCGGGACTTTCATCAAGATAAACGAGATCAACTGCAGTTGGAACTTTATATCGAGGATCTTTCACTTGAAGTCGACCTCGTTTATTCATTTTAACTTGAGTCGCTTGTTCGTATTGTTCTCGTAAGAAATCACCTATGAATAAAATTAATTAACTGGTTGATTACATTAAAAAGTGTAAAACCTTATTTACCAATCTCTCGGATTGTGCTTAATTGCTGCCAACACGTCACAAGACTGCAAGATCCACTGACACCATGACATTTGCAGATTATTCTGTGCTTTTTAATAACAGCCTGGAAAATAAGGAAAGTTTCTTTAATGAAAGATTCACGTAATTAATATAAAATCAGTCACTCACTCTACGACCTGCTTCATTGTTATGCAAGTTCATTAATGAACGAGCCTTCACAGATGATTGCTTGTAACGTCCACCTTTTTTACGTCCGACATTTTCTTCTGCATTGCTGACAAAAAGTTTTGAGTTAAGAATTTCTTTGTTGATTTTTTCCTGAAATAAAAGAATTTCATTTTATGGCAGTTAGTTGCAGATGAATGATTGAAAGCGAAAGACATAAAATTTTCTTCATCTTCTTCATACCTGCAATTCATTTCGTTCATTCTCTTTCAAGTTTGAATTGAGAAGTTCTTGAGTAATTTTTTGTTGAAGTTTCAGCATATCATCTGCTTTTGCTTGCTCTTCGGGATTCAATGTTGTTGAAACTGTCGTCGCATTATCTGCAGATGTCTCGTTTCCCATTGCCTCATTTTTCGTTGGCACCGTTACTAATCCTCGTGCACCTCGTTTTCGTTCCTTTTCCCGGATATCAATAAAGTTTTGCGAAAATCTTTTTTATTTTTGAAAGAAGAAATAGAAGAAAATAAAAAATAAATCTCAGTTAATTTATTGGACTCTTGAATAAGATTTTTGTATTTCATGAATAAATTCAATTTGGAATTTCAAACTTTTACTCTGACTTTTAATGTGCAAACGTTTTCGTTTTTTTTCCTGTTTCCCTTCGCATCCATAATAAATAGCACAATAACAGTTACAGACGAAATCTGAAACTAATTGAATGTTAAGTGGCTGAATTGAGGAAACGAAAAGTAAGAAGGAAAAAAAAGAGAAACAGAAACAGAAACTAGAAAAGAGATTGTCATAAAAATAACATCTTTCTAATATTGCAGAATATTGACTTCAATAAAATTTATTGTTAAAGAATTAAACGCATTATTGGTCGGTGATAGTTGGTGACACATTCTGATATTTATGACAATTTAAATGCTTTTCTTATCCCACACTGCTCTCATTTCATTCCTTTCATAAGATTACATGGATATATTAGCTGAAATAAATCCGCAACTGTTTCTCTTAAGGGACTCATTCGTAAGTTAAATCACAACCTTCTTTTTACTTTCTCCAACATATCGCAAACCATTTTTCAGAATTAGCTGACGAGACTCATTAATTCTCCGAGCAACATAAATTTGTCAAATAAATACGTTAACATGGTAACCTGCGGTGAGAAATGAAAGGGAGAAAAGTAAGAAAAGGACTTTCTTGTTGTCGTACACAACTGAAAGAAAGCAAAATTTATGAACCCAAACTTTGCTTAAGACGAACACATTTTATCAACAGATTCGACAAATTTGTTTATTTACGATTAATACGATACGAGACTTTTCCTAAGCTGCACTTGACAAATATTTTGAAATTCCCATCAAAACAGACAAGCAATGCTGCATTTAATCTGATTTTAATTCATACAAAATTTGTTGACAGTAGCAGACTCTGTTTCTCCCTTAAGCTTTAATTCTACCTCTGCTCAACGATGAGGGCACATCAACATCGATTCGTAACTATTTAAATATTTAAAGAGGCCCTCAAACAGACAAAAGGCAGTTTGCAGAAGCATAAATGCGGTTTGTCGATATGACGATGAATGAAAACTGATGAGACGCAATTTCCTTTTACTTCTACGCCACAAAGCCAATATGGCAAACATATTCATATCTAAGAGAACGAGTATCGGTTGTGTTTGCGATTGTTATTAATATCATTATGATTGCTAGAGGCTTAAGATTTCTTCAGATGTTTGCACATTTGTCTTCAAATAAACATTTATGATCAAAGTCAGAAACATTTATTTTATGATAGTTTCATCGAAAATGAATATTCAAACTTCATAAAACAACTTTCATTAGAAAAGGATTAAAATTTTGATTCCTTTTTAATGATGTGAACTTACTTGTAGCCGAACTCTAAATCATCACCACATCCACCCCAAGTCCAATCTTCATGTAGTTGGTTCGGTCTTGCTGAGCGAGAACAGCCACATGATGCAAGTTGTCCATCACGACAAGCTCGCGCTATGAAGCTTGCTGTTGTTGCGGCTGCTAATGCGTGAATAAATGCCATTTCAGGGGTTCCTAGAAGAAATAAATTAAAATTGATATTAAAAATAGAATTCTTAGAAGATTATGCAAGCACAAAGAAATATTTCCGACCCTTGAACACTTGAAATCTTTTCTGATGTGAAAAAAGCGATTACGTTACATCAGTTCAGTTCATATTCGAAAATACCATACAAAAAATAATTTTACGACCCTTTAAGTTGCTTTTTGTACAACTATTTAATCACTTTCGTATAACTTTCCATTGAGTTTAATTTGATTTTACATTTCCATCTTTTACAATAGAAACAGAGAAGATTTGTTGTGAATCATGAAGCAAAATCAGTTTCGCTTAATTGCGAAAGTATTTCAAAGCAAGCAAATATGAAGCAGGATTAAACAAAATTGCTTTTAAAGTCTCTAGTTTACTGCGTAATGAATGTTTGAGAGGTTGAAATGGCATTTTGTTGCCACACACATAGCAATTCGCATGAGCTTAGATAAATTTATAATTCGCCATGCGTCACCCAATTTGTCACGGGCATTAAAAAGATGCCTTTTCTGACTATTTTTGGATACGTTGATGATTTCTTTTATACTAGTTGAACAAAGTTGTAACTTTTGTTACAAAATGACGACAACTTTCTATCTCAACCAACCCGCATTATTCTCTTTTGTGATCATCTGAAGTGCTGCATTTATCAAGAGAGTCTCTGAAAAGAAATCCCACACACGATTTTCTCAATCATAATCATTCACGGCAATAAAATTAGTTTTATCGAAATAATTTCTTTTTTTGAAAAGTCAATTTTCATCGGAACCATCTTTGACGACCCTTTTTTAACAATTCTTTTTAATAATTCTTATTTTTGAATTCAGTGGATGAGAAAATAGATAGATTGATGCACAACGCCTTCTTTCTGTTCCCTTCCTGCTATGGGATGTAATTTTAATTATGGATTCTTCAACCTAACATACTTCAAATCCTTCATAAGCGATGATCAAATGTAAGTATTAAAAACTGGGAATGTTTATTATCACAAGACAGAGAGTGAGATGGAAATTTCAAATTTGTTACGTTCAAGCGTATAATTTTATATCCGAGTCGAATTATATTGAAATTAATATTAATTTTCGTTTGTATTTGTTTGTGAAGAATAATTTCAGAAGAATGTTGTTTACGTCAGAGAAATTGTGCTGGGGGAAGCTTAAAAATGGAATATTTTTGTTTTCAAATGAGTTCTTGCACGAGTAAAAACATCGACTAAATTCCCCCAAACTCCCCAAAGCGACGCATGTGAAAAATGCTTTCGAGAATTGTTCCAAGATCTTCTTTGGATCTTTTTTTATGTTTGTTAGATGAGCAACGTAGAAGTTTACACTGCAAACAAATATTGACTTTGAAATTATTTCTGGGCATTAATCTTGTGCTATTTGGTTATGCCTTCAACGTTTTAATGATGGAAGCAAACGTTTGTGAAAAGCTTTCTCGTCATATTGATGTTGAACGATAAGACTTATGAATGTATATAAGGAAAGAAGTGAAGCAGAATATTTTAATGTTGTCTTTAAGGTGGATTATTTAAGGCTTATAAGAAATATTCAACTTTGAAAATTTTCCTTTTTTTTTCATCCTCAAATTTACATTCATAAACAATTCATTGTTAATCTTACTGAGTTGAAAAAAGCAATTTGCTTTCTGGCGTAAAAGTTACAACAAAAAAACTTCTCCACGAGAGACATGCTGATTTATTTTAATTTTTTTTCTGGTTCAAGAGTATCACATGCTTCATATTTAAGAATAAAAAGTCAACAAGAGGGTTTAAAACTCTGTCAGATTTGTTGAAGTTCAAAATCCTTTCGCAAGGACGTGAGAGAGAAAACAAAAGTTAAGATAAATGTGTTTGAAATTGTGTCATTGTTTGCTGCAAATTACCAAACGTGATTCCGGTTTTTCTTCACTATTCACTTTAATGTCGTCAACACGCTTGCAAGTTACAACCAAAAGACAGAAAGAAGTTCTGTACTCACCATGATGAAAAAGACTATCAAGTTGAACAAAGAGAATGAGATTCATGTTGAATAGTGTAATATAATTTGATGCGTGTTATTTATTACCAACCCTAATTTATAATAATTTTACATGTTCGTTCTCGTATCTTTAGCGTAACAAATCTGACATAGTCAAGGGAAAAAAATTGCTTTCCATCGTTTCACATATGTATGACTTTTACTCTGATTGAAAAATGTTCTGTGAAGCTTAATTAACTCAGCTCTTTTTCCGCTAACTAAACAGTATCGATATATCTTTTTCGAAAATATACATCGTTGTCTAAGATTGAGAAAGGCCTTCACCAGCTTTCTACTCGTTTGCTTGTTGGTAAACAACTAAGGTTTTGTTGAGCAGAAAAAATTTCCACTGATGACGATACTCGTAAAATATATTTCAGAGTAAATCGAATTTGCTATTTTTTGTTCGCTTGTTTCTCTTCTTTTTCCCTTGTTCTAAACGAGCGATGAAAATAAATAAAAATTTATCCACGCGAACGCTACAAATTGGCCTATTAAATTGACATTTTTTTTCTGCTGACGATAGATAGTAATTTTTTGTTCAGCAAACGCTTTGAATTGTTTACATCCCAAAGTCAAACTAAAAGGATGTCTTCATAAATTGTAAACAACGAGACTTTCAGGCTGAATGTGAAAGCAAACAAACAACTTTGATTGGCATATTCGCCAACGGGCTAAGAAACTTTTAAGGTGAATATGATTGGCTTGGTTATTGAATACGAAAACGATATCGTTTCATGTCATCATCACTTTATAAGTAAAAGAAGTCTTAAAAATATTAAAGCACATGCATTAACAATTGCATTTCCGTCTTCAACAACAATCATCATCATCTGAAAAGTCGAACGAACCCTCAGAATTGTGAATTCTCTGTGCACATAGTTGAAAGAACAATTTTTTCTGTTGTTTCAATTATCATGATTCGAAGTAAACTGGAACCCCTTCATAAAGAATTTAATAATATATTTTTTGTTGTACTCTACAGCTTGTTCGTTTCCCTTGTTATTCATGTTGATGGTCATGTCAGTTGAATTTACCGAAATCGTTTCATTCTCAAATAACAAAGGCAAGTTATAAAAATGCCAAAAATAATAATAATAACGAAACCGTCATGTTGTGTCGTAATAAAAGAACACTTGAAACAGTTTTCGCGATGGTTTTTTATGCTTTAAATAAGCAAATATTAAAAGATTTTTCCTTTATTCAATGGATGCTTTGGAATTTGTTTTTATTTTCTTTATGAGAAACCTTTCACCCTACCGTGCTTTATATCAATGGCACATTTTTCTATTATGAACATTTTTATGGGGCAACTTAACAATACTAATTTGATTTCAGTTTTTCTCCTTTCCCATTCACTTCAAGTCATGAGAATAATAAGCGTCATTGAATGGAAAGAGAGAGATAGAGACAAAAGTGTGGGTGGGAATATTTATCCATAGCATAGCGAAAAGATTTATAAAGTCAGTTTATCCTTCTTCCAGCTTTCGGATGATGATTCGTATCTGTTTCGTTAGTAGATTGTCAGAGTTTCACTTATAAAACATTTGAGAGCCCAAGGCGATTTGTTGCATAATATTTACGGATTATACGAGTTAATTAAAAAGTCATAAATCATTCATGGAAGTCAAATCCTCGAAGGCACTCGAAACTTTGATATGAGAATTATTCATTCACAATGAAGGGATGAAACAATAAGCTGGAAAATTCATAACATTTGAGTTTAAGGAACACTTTCAGCTGTCATCGTTGAGATTTAGAGCTTCATACTGGTTGAGATCAACGAAAATGAAATTATTAATTCTCTGGGGATATAAACAATAAAATGGAAGCATGATGCGGTCAATATTTGCTTTTAAAAGCTGATAAAATATGAACAACAATCAGAAGAAAAGGAAAGTGAAATGAAGGATGAAAAGCTTTTCGTATTTTATTTGAACTTTGAACCCCGTAATCTGTTATTCAGATATTAGAAAAGTAAACTTTCCTCTTGTCTTAAGAATTTTCCGAAACTTCGGAAGAAGATTTCATGTTAAATTTTTCATGGATAAAAAGGTTGTTGATTTACAGAAAGCAATTCTTTTTTATTTCATTTTCTGATATGAAACATTCTTTTTAGATTGCATTTGAATTTCATTTTTTACCTAAACTTTCGTTACGATTTACATGAAAGAAAAAATTCCGACTTACCAATGGCGCTGACTGGTCCGAAAACGGTGTTATCATCAACAGTCGAACAATTCCATCGACGGTTTTGAAATTGATGTTGACATTCCTGAAAGGAAGATATAAAATAGTAGAAAAGGATCAGAAACCATTAATTAAATGCTTGACAATAAAAAGGCGAAAGAGAAGAAGTCTCGCTTCTTGTTTTATTTATGAGAGTTGAGAAGCAATTAACGAAACTTCTCAAACACGTCCGGCGGCAAGTGATCAAAATACAAAAGAAATGAATTGAATTTCTAAAACGTTAATTAACCTTACTGACTTATTCAAGTCCTGAAATGCTTCTGCCTTATTTTGAATTAATATTCATAATGTCATTCACATTTTTTTTCTCATCCTCACAACCGCATAAAGGTCAACATTAACGTTTAGGTAGAGAGAACATTTTAGAATATTTAATCAAATTTCATCTTCTGAAAATGTGTGTGCGCATCTGGGTGGTCAATTTGATTTCTCTCAAAAGTTGTCTGAAGAAAGCAAAGCATTAAGTAGCCGTAATATTTTATTTTCAGCTGACTTCGTATGAATACGAGCAGACAGAGACATTGAGACTTTTAATTAAAAATAAATATTTCGCCTTTAATGAAAGTTCAATGAAATTATTCGAAAAATTGTACTTTCATGTTTTTACAAGCGTGCTTACCACAACATTATACACACAATCAATTTCAATTTAATTAAATCCAAATATTTGCTTGAATAACTCAACATAAATATCTAATGTCATAATTTTCTATGTTGCAGAATTTTTTGAGGTTTTTCTATAATTTTTAGATGTTTGCTGTGAATGAATATTTATAAATCTCTTTAAAAGCAGATGCTCGTAGATGTATGAAAATTTAATGAGTATTTTGCTGAACTTGCAACACCTGTTTGTTTAAAACTTATCTAAATTACATTTTTAAGCGTCATTGCATGTAATTATAAATAGATTTTAATGTTGCATTTTATATGTTTTGAGGCTGTCAGAAGGTTATTAAACAGCGTATTTAATTAAGAGAATTTAACACTTAAGGTTGGGGATGTAAAAGAGAAGCAATTTCTAATTAACATTCTTTTTGTTATTTGCTTTGTTCGCTCAAACTTTTAACACAAATAATTTTCAACTTTTTTTTCCTTTCAACAAGTTTGCACAGCTTGAAAAAAAAGGCTCGTAAAAGAAGTGAATAACATTTTTAACTTTCTGCGAGCAAATAAAAGATTTTAACTTCTTGTTGACTTTATCCTTCTTTCTTTCCTTTTCAAATTAACATTGACAAGCTTTAGAATCGAGTCGACTTAAAAGATTAAAGTAAATATTATAAATTCTTTGTTGAGCTGATTATTGCAAGACGAAACCTTAAAAAACTATTCAATTACATGACAGTTGATGTTTCATCCTAAGCGATGATACATGAAACGTTTTCTATGTTCACAATATAAAGAGAAATTCTTTTAACGATGTCGGTCGAAAAAGGAAGCTCACAATGTGATTAAAACTAACGAACATCCTCGTTAGACTTTTTTGACTGCCAACCAATGAAACCTTTTGTGCTCAAAGCTTCATGAATCATGATTTTTATTTGTAATGTTAGGTACTAAAATATTTAAGGAAAAATGATGATTGAGGCGGAAAATGCTTAAATAATTTATTAGGTTTGATAATTGAAATTTTTACGAGAGATATTTATGTTTAAAAGAACCGAGAAGATATTTAAGCAGCATTAATCTCTTCGGGGGATTTGAGATTTACTTCAGTTTCGATTCGCAAGATCAAGACTCTTTCAACATACATTTTCATGAAATATTAATGAATGCTTTAGATGAGAAAAGTCATGTCAACAAGTTTTTGATGCTCGAGGGAAAATTTAGAAAAGAAAATTCTACTAAAAGCTCCATTCGCAGGTTTTCCATCATTAAAAGCCATGTTGTAGCATATTTATGTTGTTCATGCAACTTCCTCACGATGAAACTCCACTCAACAAAAGCTCAACTCTCAATGAATGAATCATAACATCACACAATTCTAAGTGTCAAATGATGACGAGCATAAATCACTTTCAAGTGTGGAGCATTAAAAAGAAATCATAACGTGCACGAATAAAGTAAAGCAGACATTTTCACGTTGGCATTTACTCTACTGAAAACGATAAACCTCTTTTAAGATACTTTTCTTCACTTCTTCTTCTTTCTATTCAGAACATCAATTCAATGGAGAAATATTTTTAACTTGCGGTTATTTTTAACTTTTCAATATTGTGGAAAACTTATTGAAAGCTTTGAATAATGGGACGTGTTTCATCAATAAGAAGTTTAAGTTAATGGCTGTTTAGTGTCTCACCTGAATAGCTGAACGTGCACCTCGGGAGATAGCAGGCATGATACTTGTGTACTGTTCGCAAATCTTCTGCTGTCCTTTACTCATTCCACTCACTTCATAACAATGCTTCGGATTCAAATCGATTTTCTCGCTTGTCTGATTTCGTCCGCTATTAAATGACGACTCAATTGGCATAATAATATCTCTTTGCATTTTGTTTTGATTCCTTCTACGTCCACCTCCTTGTGATCTACTGCGAATTGTTCTCGACAATTTCCGTATAGTTTCATTTTGTCCTAATTGGACTTGCTTATCATTCAAATTGATTATGTACGGTGTGTTGGGCGTTGTTGTTGTTCGACTACCAACAATTAACACCTGACTACCGTTGAAAGATTTCTCATAACGAATCGGCGTCTTCTGTCCATTGGAGAATCTTCGTCGTTGTTCACGTCGAATCGATTTCATTGATGGAACAGCTGTAGACATTGGCGGCTTCATATTTTCAACTTTATTGTTATTTTTATTTCCATCTTTATTGTTTTTGTTCTTACGTTTTCTCTCCTTTTTCAGCTTCTTTTCATTCTTGCGATTCCTACGACGTTCTTCTCTTGCACGCACATCATCATCAGAATCTGGCTGTTGTTGATCATTTTGAAGAAAGACTTGAGGGACGACAGTCACACGTTCAACTCGTGAAAATGGATATGAAACATCACGTAAAATTTGGGAGTTCTGCAATGGCATATTTATCGATGGCTTTGTTCGGTACATTGTCATTGGAAACGGCATTGTTGTGGTTCTCATTGTTGTCGTAGTTGTAGTTGTTGTTGGCGGAGGTTGAGTTGTTGGCTTTTTGAAAACAACAAATTTACTCTGGAAGTTCTTATCAACGTCGCTGTAATTTTGCAACATCAATAAATGATTCTTGAGATCATCGATGTTTGATTGTGGCTTTGATAATGTTGGCAATGGCGTTGGAATCGGTCGTTCACGTTCAATGAGAGTCGTCTTCAATGCTAATGGCATAATAATTTTTCGGTCTCGTACGTCGTCGTACGGATAACTGTGGTGACTTGCCATCTGTTCATGGTGGTTATCGACATTTCCATTGGCAATTATTTGTATTGTCGAATGATCTTGATGGCTGCTTTCTTCATCATCATTTGGTCTGTGTAGGTTGTCTGTGACAATTGGCTTTATAATGTCCATTAGTATTTTATTCGTTGTCGTTTTGTTGAGATTGTGTTGTTGAAGCTCTTGAATTTGTTGTTGTTGCAGCTGATACAAATGCTTCTCTTGCTGTTTACGTGAATCTTTGGCATCAAGCAGGTCACTTTGTAAACTGAACGTTGTGTTGTTTATTCCTTTGAAAGTTTTCTCATCACGATTTGGATTTGAAATAGGATTAATGAAATTTCCTAAATTGTGAAGACCATTTTTCCTTTGTCTCATATCTGGATTGTTGTCAGTTATGTTCAATGTTATCGACTCATTCGATAGCAACTCGAATTCAGCTCTGAACTCTATGAATGGCGATTTCATTCCTAAGCACCTGTAATGAGATAAGAGATAAGTTTTTATCAATTTCTGTTGTTATTTTTAATTAAAAAATGTTTTTTGAAGTGTTTTGCTTTGTGCTTGCAAATTTTGACTCAATATTTTCAAGTCATACAAATTGTAATGATGACAATATAAGTGAAAGTGCAGTGAATGCAAGTCTTATCTTGTCTCCTTGTCAACTTATTCTCAAAAGTCATGAACGACATTTTTAATAAATCATCAATTTCCCGCATTATGCAAGAGTCGCTTGATTGAATGAGTTTCTGTTTTCAGTAAAAAGAAAGAAGTTATTTGCAATGAAAAAGCAGTTTAAAGACATTAAAGTACTAAATTACTGTCTAGATAGCTTTTTTGTGCAAAAAAAGCATGAAGGCGTTAAGTTTCGCTTGTATCGCATCGCAAATTAATCATGTGAAGTCTTTTGTAACTTTCATAAAAGAAAATTTAATAATGATTTTCAAGATTGTAAGAAATCTCTTTTTCACAGCATAATTTCATGTTATTCTTGTGAGATTTTTGTTATTAAAATAAAAACAAAATTGCAAGCTTTGAATGGTAGAAAAATGTGAGAAATCTCGACAATCTAAATTGGATGCAATAAGAAAAGTTGAGAGATTTTGAAATGTTTCTAAGCAACATTCTGTGAATGTCGCCGAACGCCTGTCACTGTCAGCAATATAGTCTCATGTAGGATTCCCACTTGTTTTCGCTTCGTTTCGCATAATTTCTTTTTGATGCGGTTCCGCATGTGCAACTCCTACGCAAAAATGAAAATTATTGTTTCGAGACATTTAAGAAATATTTCAGAAGAAAAATCCTTAACACAAACTTCGTTAAAAATATTTTCCCTAAATAAGTAAAAAGATGGAACCAGTCACGTATGAAGGATTTCCATAAGGTTGAATAATCAACGCTAGAAATTTCAAATTCTAAATGTATAAAAAAGAAATTTAATGTTCACATTCAGCTCAAATTTAGTTGCTGAAAATTCTCTGTGATCTCCGACTATAAATCAAAACTTTTCAGCTGTGACGAAAGAGATGAATAAAATTGGATTTTTTTTCTATGCTTGTTAAAAAAGTAATTCAAGGATATTTTTCACAAGAATTAAATAACTGAAATATTTTCTGGTTTCATTTCCTGTTAAAGATTTTTGCAGGATTAAAAGGTTTCGTCAGAAATATTTCTTTTTGTGATGGTTGTGAAATATTTTTGAATGGAATGTTGACGACTCGTCATTAAAAATTTGATGGCATAAAGTTGAATTTAGTTTTGTTTGACGATCAGTTGTTGCTAACTACGACCATACAGAAGCAATTATGTGCCGGGAAGCAGTGCATAATAGCTTTCTGTCAAGTTTCATTCACTTCGTTACCATTTTTCTGTATCTCAACAATAACTTGAACGTGCAATTATTTGTTATTACTCATACTTATTTTCCATTCAATTTTGATTTATTCTAATTTCATTCGAAGCCACCCAAATCGGTAGCAGTTACTGGCATTCCTTTTGTCAGCTCTTATTTACTCAGCTTGACTTTGATTTAAGAGATTTGAAAGACAAAATCATGCGGTTGGGTTATGAAACTCGATCTAAAATCTTTCTCACGGCTACCTTAAAAAAGACCATGCACTACATTTTCCACTTGAATTCATTCATAAAATTCTTGTTCATGAGACATCGTGCAGCATGTTTCTCAATTCTTTGCTTTTGACTGCTGTTTCTTAGTAATCAAGGTCGTGAATCATACTCATTCAGTTTTGACGCCAGATATTTCATATTTAAGTATTCTAAGATATCGAGATGACATGTAGGTAAATTAAAAAGCATTAGCGGATATTTGATTCTTTTATTGCTCTTAAAATGAAGCATCGAAATGAACGACAAACATGACAAATTTATGTCGACGATTTTTTTTTGTAAATCAATGATACCTTAAATGTTAAATGCATTAAGTCACGTTTGGCTTATCTCATCAATTTTCTTCTTCTTTGTCTTTGCTTTCCTTTTGTGAATCAATAAAACCAAATTTTAAAATCAATATTTTAAATCATCCAAAAGCAACGTAAAAAAATAATTATTTAAAGACGTGGAGATGTGGGAATGAATGACGATTAAAGTCTCACAATTTTCATTGAAAACAGACGAGAAGAATTCACTTGTGACATGGACGATTGACTAACCCAGACAAATCTTTTCTGGACACATCTCCTTGACTTTCTTCTCGATTTCAACGAATTTGAAGAAGTAAAAAATGTTTTCTAATGCATTAAACTGCCATCTCGCTATCTTATCACTCGTCTCGATTGTTTTAAGAAAAATTGGCTCCATTTTTCATAGTAAAACAAAACCAAATCAAGCGTTAGCCCACGGAACTTTGGAGAAAAGCCACATAGGAAGATGAAAAGAATTCGTGTTGTAAAATGCGTGTAAGTCAAATAATGTGTAAATTGAAATCTTTATTATTGTTTAGGAGCGGCTTCCATCAGAGAGACAGAGAAAACCTTTCTCATCATCACTCGCTTTCAACAACCATAAATGAATAATTTTTAGTCACCACGACGCATCATATGATTCGAGTGAAGGCATCATGTTAATAACAAGCATAGAGTGAGAATAAGCATGTAAATATTTATGCGACTCATTAATATTTTACACATGTAATCTGTATATCATTCGGATTACGATTCAAACTTGATTCATCACTTGTTTCGAACAACATAGGCGAGTCAGTTCTCATTAATTTAATGTAAAACATATAAACATAAATTCATACATAAAAATGTTGAAGATTTATATTACAAAATAAATTTTGCAATAGATATAAGTAAAAGGTGAAAGACTTCATGTCTCTAGTTGATGATTGTGTTTCACTTTGAAACTTAATATTAAAAATGCTTCATCATATCAATGTTTCGACATGCGATGTAAGATGTTTAGGTTTCCCATTAACTCAAGTATACGTATCTTCAATGAAGCGGCACTTTTGTAGTTACGTTTCTATTTTATCATATATTTATGCTTGCATGTTGTAAATATGTTGCCGCAGAGTAATGAAGTCGAATGATTAATTTACAAACAATTGTAACTCAACACAGCCATTCAAATTGTTATTATTTAACTTAAAAGTGCTTGGGAAGGGTAAAAAACGAAGTTCCAGTTGAATTTCTCTTGGCTTAGAATGAGAATTCTTTTCACTTCGCATTAATCGAACTTTGTTTCCAAACATTTCTCAATCTGCAAACGAAATCGTCTAGAAATTGCCCCGATATTGCCCTAATTCGCTGAATAACTGAAAAGTAACAGTTGCAAAAACAACAATGACAATCCTCCAAACGAATTTGATTTTACGATTATGTTACGAGTCAATTGTTTGTTAGACAGCGGCGAAGGAAAGTTCAACAACTGAAAGATTATCAACTTTTCATTGCTTCAGATGGCAACAGATTTCATTCATTTTGCTCCCCTTCATAAACATTTAATCTTTTTCTCTTCTTTTGGATTGGAAAAAGCAACGGAATGACTTGAAGTGTGAAACAGACAGAGCGAAATTGATTTCCGAAAATTAACTTGTTGCATTCGGAAATCATCCACAGTAAGTGAGTTAGGTAGTTGAATGAAATTGGCTCCTATAAGAAACATCTGTGAGTTTGCTGTGCTCATTCCATATTCGCAATCCCTTTTCAACTCGTAATTGAGCCTTTTCCAGCGTCATATTCCGTCCCATCAATCACTCAATTTATCAAGGTTTATAAAAAAACTTGTTGATGTATGAAGAAGGTTGGATTAAATCCATGTTCAACAGCATATTTTCGTGATACTTTTGAATGTTTGATTGGCTACTGTTTGCAATAATCATTATGAAACATCGCCAGTCAACAACACACACATTTCAACTAGCAAATGTCAACGAGTTATGTGAGAAGAGTTTTATTTACGAAAGCAAAAGCGGCGACATTGATGGGCGAAAAGGATTAACAGAATTAAAATATTTGGAATGTTTTTTCATCTCGAAATGTTCGTTTATTATTTTTTATAGAAATTTTAGGGAAGATCGCGATGGTTTGATAAAACTCGTTGAGACGAAACGAAACGATTTCAAGAGAAATCAGTAATCCCCGGAAATATTATTTTCAAAATTTATAACATTTTTTAGCGTGAAAAGTGCGTCAGTGTTTGGATGAGAACCAAGAAAAACAAAATCGTTCAGATAAATTTTTTAATAGTAAAATTTTCACAATATTTTGGGGCCGGGAGATTTACGATTTTCAGGAGTCGAAAGCGGTTTTTGGGAATATTTTCGTGCACCACAAAAGAGAATTTTCACTGTTCTCAATCATGCATCTGTTACGCGCTATAAATTTTCCTTTCTTCTTGCTAATTTGCCTTTTATGTGGCTTTACTGAGACTTCTCGATAACTTTTAAATGAAAATGCAAATGAACAAAAGAAAATAAAAATAAAAATTGCTAAAGTTTGTCGATGAAACTCATAATTCTGAAGACACACAAAGCATTTAACTTTCCGAACAAGCTGTTTCAACTTTAATATCTACAAACATTAACTTCGCTTTTGTTTAGTAAATTGCTTAATAATCTTTGCAATTCATTTGCACACTTAAAGGCGTTTGCTAATTATGTTTGCTGATGTTCTATGCGAGTGAACTTCAAAGTGGTGTCTGAAGTCATGAATAATGTTACAGCAACTTGCGATGACAGAAAAAGATACGAAAGTGGATTAATTCTCAGTCATTAAGTTTTCATCTTACATGGAAAATGTTTGCATTTGTTGCTTTTTTGTAGATTCTTAAAACGGTGTGGCGTGTCAGATGCAAGTTCACAAATCACGAGAATTTTGCACGTTAAGCTTTATGTCATTTCTTTTCAAAAAAAGTGTCACATTTGAATTTATTTTTGCCGGGATCAAAAACAAAAAAAGTTGAGCGACAACCTGTCTAAGGCAATGTTGCTCGTAAATCCAAAATTTAATAAACATCCAAATGACTTAAACATGAGACTGACGCTTCTTTTTATCGCGATATTTATTTATCTCATTCTCTCCTTTGATTATTTTCTTATGCTAATTGGTTCTATTAATAAAAAAAATCATTTATGCAAATTTCGGTTTATAATTTTGTCATTTCGCGATATTTTTCTCGCTTGTTTCTTAATTTTTTAAACTTAACGTGTGTTAGTTTGTTGCTGTAACATGAGAAATAATTTAATGCATTTTAATAGCACTTTCTGCATTCTTTTTTACTTCCATTTCACTCGAATTTATAATTTATTAATGACTAAATATTTCTCGCATGCAAGAAGCAAATTTTAAAGGCCTAGCACATTACATATTTACATGTGAACTGGATTTGTTCTTCTTGATTCATTTAAGAAAGGCGTAATGTATGTGGTAGAAGGTTTCAATAAATTCTAGTCAATTTATTAACAGCAGAATGTTTCAATTCTTTTTATTTTAGTCAACAAAACATAAGCAAAGTTCATAAAGTGCTTTCAAATTGTCTTTTCCATTCCTACACTTAATATAAAGTTGCTGCCTTAAACTAGTTTGTGAATAATTGTTCTGCAAACTTCCCGCTAAACACAATCATGTTTGCTTCCATATGTTGGAAGCTTTAAGAAATAGCACTTGTCTCAAAACATTTTTATTCTTCTTCGATAATTTTATGCGCAATAAACTGCTAATATTTATATAAGTTTTCTTTGTATTGAAGCATTTGTGAGATTTCTTTTTCTTCTCAAATGAGAATTTACTTGATTTTTATGATATTCTCCATCAAACCAATGATCAGAAATCAACAACAATTTTTTTATGAACATCACAATATAATCGGGTGAAGCAAATCAAAAAATCATTAAAAATTATTGCTTTTCAAATCATCATTAATACGAGTTATTTATGAAGTGAATCAAGAGCGACGAGAAGAAAAAAGAAAGAAAATGAAGAACTTTAATACACTTTTAGTTTTGGGAGAGTAACATCATTTTATTATTTAATCTGCTTCTTTTTGAGGTATTTGCCTTTCAACGTTAACTAAGAGAACACAAAAAAAACTTGTTTTCATGCTCCTTTCCTCGCAGTTTTAGTTTCTTTTCATTCTAAATTTCGAACTTCTTTTTTTCTCCTTTTTCTCGTTCAGAAATTCTTTTAACATGATATCGGCTGATGAGAAAGGTAAATTTTACATTTTCAGACACTTTCAGTTCACCTACAAATCTCTTGTTGTTGAAATTTAACGTCACTGAAGCTTAGTCATGATTTAATTATTTTTATTGAATGAAATTCATTCTCTTGTCTTGTTTTCAGATTCTTTGACATTGTCTTCAAGCTCCAAACAAGATATTTAAGTTAAGAGCAGTTAATTAAACCTGAGTAAGACGATTTTCTCTAACTATCGTTCTTCCTGGCAAATCTCATGAACTTAGATGATGAAACAAGTTTAATGAATGGAAATTTGATAGCTTTGTTTGTTACAATTTGTTGTGAAGATTTTCCTTTAATTCTGATTCATTTCTGTTCAATAACCTGAAAGATCCTTAACCCAAAGGCATTCACATTACTTTTGTTATATTTCCAATCAAGATATCTGCATGAAACCATGTAATTAACCAAGATGATATTTTGATGTTTTCATTTAAATCCACACTGAACTTCACTTTCATTTCACGTCAAAAAACTTTTCAAATTTATTTCTTTTCTGTTTTATTTTCGTTAAAATGAAACTGACAAGGAATTTCCAAAGCATCACGAGAAAGCCTAAAGTCATTTGTTATTTATAAGAAAGCATCAAATTGGCTTGTGGCCGTCGTAAACTCAATTAAATTTAGGAAGATTGAAATCCCAGAAATACTGACTGAATGTCTTACGTGATGTGATGCAAAGAAGATGCTTTTAATAAATTTCCATAATTTCATCGAGACCTTTTCTCTTCAAATCAGGAACTTCGCAATTATCTGTTGGGTAACCAACGGGAAGTAAGACCAAAAGTTTCTCATTTTGTGGACGATTCAACAATGATCTCAAAGCAGGTCCACAATTCAGTGGTGTTGTTGTTAATGATGATAAACCAGCTGATTGTAAAGCGCTGAGTAAGATGCCAACTGCAATTGAAGTCGATATTTCATTGTAGTAATGAGTCTTCCTTTCACCGTTTGCCTTGAATCCAAAAGCTTGTTTAAAGACAAGAATCAAATATGGCGCTTCTGTGAGATATTCTTTAATATGATTTGTTCGTAGAGGCTTAAGATCAGCTGTCCATTGCTTTGACATTCGCTGTTTGTAGTTCATGTATTCTTCTGCTTCAATTATTTCGCGGATTTGCTTCTTAACGTCAGCGCTGGAATGATTTAATTGAACAACGTTCTTGTACAATCATTAACAAGTTTACCTCTTAATGAGACAAAATGTCCACGGCTCTGTGTGTGCTCCACTTGGTGATGTTCCAGCTGCATGAATGCATTTCTTGACAATCTCAATATCGACAGGCTTATTACTGATCATACGAATGCTTCGACGATTATTTACCATGTTATAAAACTCATCAACTCCGCCCTTTAATACAACTGAAGCACCTCGATATGGAATGTGATTGACAACTTCCAGAGACGGCGACAATTCATCGTCTCCGGTATCAACCTCGCCATCTTTAGCATCGTTATCGATCGTTTCTTCATCATTAACCTGCTGTTGATTTGTTTCAACTGCTGAACTCTTTTGATTATCTCTCAATTTTAATATAAAATAAACAATTGAAACGGAAATCACAACAATTTCCCAGTGCTGAAGGAAGAAAGAATTTTCAATGTTCAACATCTTTTATATTTAAAGTTTGATGTGAACAGAATGAGTTAATCTTATCGACTGAATTTTTGTTTTCGACGACAGCCACGAGTGTTCGTTATAAAGATAATATTGAGTACAAGGTTAGAAGAAGTGAGAGTAGTGAGCGTTGAAATTAACTGCTGATTATCACTTGATGGAAGTCAGAATTCTCTTGTTTTGTTTGTTTTCTTTGATTTAATTTCCTGATGTTTCTTTCATATCCGACGGTTAAATGATTCCAGAGCATTTGCAAAGCATAAACATTAACTTTCTACATATATCTCGTTTCAATCAAGCTTCCCATTTATTATTTTACTGTCGTCGTTCAGTCGACTATCAATCAGTCAACAGATTTTAAACATTGCGGTTTTTTGATGTGTGCTTTATACGATTATGAGATCATTTTACGTTATTGTTGAGTTTCGATTTATCTTGATTGTCTCGTATTTTATGAGATCATTTTTGATTCGTATATGTTTACCGTTGATTATCCCGGACTTTAATGACAATCGGAATTCATCTTTCAATCTATCATCGCTATTGCTTTACCTTTTCACAGTTTTGTGAATTCATGATTGATTCTTGAATAATGATTTTGATTGTTGCAATAACTGAGGTAAGTTTAAGTAATCAAAAACTTTCATTTAATAATCTTAAATGTATCTTGAAGCGATATTAAATATTGATTTCCCAGGAAGCAAATAAAAGTCGAGATTGCTAGCAATCTCAATTATTTTTATTCGTAGCGAACATTTTTTTAGAACTGAAGTATTTTGACTTTTATAATTAATTTACGATGTCTACAAGAGTAAGTTGAAGCAGCAGCTGTATAATCGTGTACAATGAAACTTAATTGTTTCTTTTCACGGGTAGTTGAATTCTTGTTGAGTGCCCAGAAGGATCAACTCGACCGCAAATATCTTCCATCTATTCATACACAATTTATTAGTCTCATTAAAACTGATAACCTGCAGATTGATAAAATGCTATTGCTATTTATGTTATTTTTTATTCTCTTTCCTCATCGCAATCGCAAAACATTTATTTTATCTTGTTTTTTTTTCTGGTGTATTAATGATCCGTTTCTGACTTAGGCTCCAAACCATTCCAACTGCAAAACGTTTTGAAGCACTTTTAACTTTTATTTCACCGGACGAATAAGCACTACAAAAATTAAAGTAAATAAATTAAGATTGGAATCGGGTGAGGAGAGTTTCATATCTCTGAAAGTTGAAGTTTT